AGAATCTACACTACCCAACGATGTTTCCACATAAGTTTCAGCATTTTTAGTCCAGTTGCTCTTGAGAAGATGATTTTAAAAGTTTTTTCCTATATACTTCAATGTAAAACTTGGATTCCCTATTGTGGCCCAGCCCTACCCCCAGGGGTCATGATTTGAGCAATTAAGAATCTACACTACCCCAGGATGCTTCCAGATAAGTTTCAGCTTTTCTGTCCCAGTGGTTTTTGAGAAAAAGATTTTTAAAGTTTTTTCCTATATATTTCTTTGTAAAACTTGGATTCCCTATTGTGGTCCAGCCCTACAACCCGGGGGTCGTGATTTGAACAATTTAGAATCTACACTACCTTAGGATGCTTCCATATAAGTTTCAATTTTTCTGGCCCAGTGGTTCTTGAGAAGAAGATTTTTAAAGTTTTTCCCCTTTATATTTCTATGTAAAACATGGATTCCCTATTGTGGCCCTGCCCTACCCACAGGGGTCATGGTTCAAACAATTTAAAATCTACACTTCCCCAGGATGCTTTCACATAAGTTTCAGCTTTTTAAATTTTTTTCCTATATATTTCTATGTAAAACTTGGATTCCCTATTGTGGCCCCGCCCTACCCCCGGGGGTCATGATTTGAACAATTTAGAATCTACACTACCCCAGGATGCTTCCATATAAGTTTCAGCTTTTCTAGCCCAGTGGTTCTTTAGGAGAAGGTTTTAAAAGTTTTTTCCTATTTATTTCTATATAAAACTTGAATTCCCTATTGTGGCCCCGCCCTTCCCCTTGGGTCATGATTTGAACAATTTAGAATCTACACTACCTTAGGATGCTTCCATATAAGTTTCAGCTTTTCTGGCCCAGTGGTTCTTGAGAAGAAGATTTTTTAATGACCCCACCCTATTTTTGATATTTTCTTGATCATCTCCCCTTGGAAGGGAACTTGGCCCTTTATTTTAACAATTTAAATTTCCCTTTACCCAAGGATGCTTTGTACCAAGTTTGATTAAAATTGGCCCAGTGGTTCTTGAGAAGAAGTTGAAAATGTGAAAAGTTTGCAGACGGATGGACGGACGACGGACATTGGGTGATCAGAAAAGCTCACTTGAGCTTTCAGCTCAGATGAGCTAAAAAGGCCATAAAAAATGTTGATGCAGTTAAATAGCTTACATTAGTATGCATATGAAGTTTGATAAAAATAAATCTTAGCTAAGCAAAAAAACTTTTTAAAAAATGAGGTCAAGGTCTGAGACAGTCAAGGTAAAAAATATTGATAAGTTGAATAGCTTACTTTAGTATGTATCAGCATATGAAGTTTGTAAATGTTTTAAAAATCCTGAATGGTTTCTTTAAAACTGAACTAAAGACCTTTTTTTGAAAAGTGGGGTCAAGGTCAAAGTATCAGTGTAATAAAAGTATCTTGAATAGTTTCTTTGAATCTGAGCTTTGAATTGGCCTAAATGCAAAGCAGGTTGAAAGGATGGAAGATGGGCATGACAAACTATATGCACTGGCCATTTTCATGGTGGGGCAAAAAAAAAAACCCAATAGGAAACAATCCATTTATAAATTTTTGGTTGCTTCATTTAACAAGTATCCTTAAAGAAACAAATATTATTAGATTTTCTGATAAAGCGATTGAATAGAAAGTTAATGTGCATTATTAACTCAGCTGCTGCAGCCCTGCTCAGTTTACAGAGTAATTAAATAAATCTCAAAATGCACTGTTTATTCAAATCACAGGCCACAGGTGCTTATAATCACAAAATGTATACATAAACAATTAATATAATGGAGTCTAAAAACAGACCTTATAATTTTTCGTATAAATTATCAGATGGAAAACATTTGTTGCAAAATTGCAAAAAAAGTTCCTTATATTTTAAGCATATTCCATTTTGAGACAATCATATGTTAACAAGTATACAACATTGTAATAAAAAAATATCTGTAAGTATCAAATCTCATCAATTATAACTGGAAGAAATCTGGAAAAAATAGCAGTATATAAAAATACTAAATAATATCTGCCAAAGAACAAAAGTCTGGCTTCAACTAGACACAAGAAAATCAGATATCACAACCTCCGCGAATTGTACACTGCATGTAAAGCTAAAAAGCAACCATTAGTCTCTGATAAAACTGTAGCTCCACTGGTTTGTTTTTATAACAACAAAAGAGGAAAGTAGCACATGCACTTAGAACTATGCAACAGTATATAAATATTGCATGTAGTTGAGTGTAACATTGAAAATTCTCACTATTTGTATAAAACATGCAGTATAATATAATAAATATTGCATGTAGTTGAGTGTAACATTGAAAATTCTCACCCCAAGAAAACCATTGTCAACCTCGGCTGCGCCTCGGTTGACAATGGTTTTCGAGGGGTGAAAATTTTCAATGTTACACTCAACTACATGCAATATTTATTATATTACACTGCATGTTTTATACAAATACATATAACAGTGAACCGTGCGCGCATAAATTCTGCGCAGTTGCTATTTTTTGGAATATCACCCGTCGTCAAGCACTATTGACTGTTGCTACGCTGGAGGGCATGGCTTCATTATTCAGTGGGTAATAGTGTTTTTTAACAAATGTTTCTCGACCAATCAGATTCAACTAATTTACATGAAAGTATAATATTAATAAATAGAATATTGGTCTTTGGTTTATAGTTGCATTGTGGCAAGATTTATTGCAATTAGATTAAAATTGTTGGAGGAGTACCTTTTGAAGGAATTTCATGACTAATTTTTATTTTTAGTACTGTAAATTCCAAATATATGCGTTGAATTAATTATCGCATAATTTCGCGAGAAGCACCACACACGAAATAAAATTACTCGCCTTTATTTTTATGGTGTTGAAATCTATGTATAAAATATCTCGATCAACCGTCCATTTGCGAATTATTATTATCGCGATTTGCCGTTGAAGAGCCCATTTGCGATAAATAAGTACTCACGAAAAATAAGGAATCCACAGTAACCATGGCAAGATCATTCATCAAAGTAAGAAAACAAGAGGCCCATGGGCCACATCGCTCACCTGAGCACTAAGGTAGGAAAAATTAGAAAATGGTTTTTTATTGTAAAGTTTAAATACATGACCAATCATATTTGCTATTTTTTAGAAAATGATTTTTATAGAATTTTCCTATATATATCTTTGAAAACTTTGGTTGGCCATTTTGGCCCCACCTTACCCCCGGGGGTCATGTGTGCAAAGTTTTATGGAAATAAATATGATGAATTATGGCTTTGTCATTCTTGAGAAGAAGATTTTTAAAGAATTTTCCTATATATTTCTATGTAAAAGTATTTTTCACATAACATTTCTTCCATATATATATGATGAATTATGGCTTTGTCATTCTTGAGAAGAAGATTTTTAAAGAATTTTCCTATATATTTCTATGTAAAACTTTTCATCAACAACTTTAAATCTACACTAAGCATGCTTCCATATATATATGATGAATTATGGCTTTGTTATTCTTGAGAAGAAGATGTTTAAAGAATTTTCCTACATATTTCTATGTAAAACTTTGGTCGGCCATTTTGGCCGGCCCTACCCTCGGGGTCATGATTTGAACAAACTTGAATCTACACTACTTGAGCATGCTTCCGTATAAATATGATCAATTATGGCTTTGTCAGAGAAGAAGATTTTTAAAGAATTTTCCTATATATTTCTATGTTAAATCGGCCATTTTGGCCCTGCCCTACGGGGGTCATCAGCTAGAACTTGAATCTACACTACCTGAGGATGTTTTTCTAAGTTTCATCTTTCCTGGCACAGTGGTTCTTGAGAAGAAGATTTTTAAAATATGCCACCAAATTTTCATTTATTCCCATTTATCTCCCCTTGAATAAGGACGTGGCCCTTCATTTGAACAAATCCCCTTCACCCAAGGATACTTTGTGGCAATAGCATGCCTGAGAAGTGAAAATGTGAAAAGTTTACAGACAGACGGACAGACAGACAGACGGATGCCGGACAAAATGTGATCAGAAAAGCTCACTTGAGCTTTCAGCTCAGGTGAGCTAAAAACTAATAAAAAATTAAATACATGTATTTCAGTGTAGTCTTCCTGTGTGCAAAGTTTTATGGAAATTAGAATAAAACTGCAGGAGGAGTAGTTTTTTGAAAGTATTTCACTAACATTTCTATTTTAAGATGCCATGGCAACACTTTTCATCAAAATTAATAAGTGATGTACTATTAAAATTGTGCATCTTAGTGTAGAGTACATGTGTGCCAAGTTAGACTGAAATCGGAGAGACAGTTTAACAGATAGATGGACAAAGGACAGCTAGCTTACTACACAATCTCTTTTACTTTATGAGCAGAAAAAGTAACTGTACACTAACAGCACTCAAACTTGGTAAATAGCATGTATGACACTGAAAAACTAGATTTATATTGCACAGGTTTCTCAAGGATAAATCAGGAAATGTGTTCAATTTAGAAGATAAAATGAATATTCCATAAACATAGCAATTTAATCATTTTTGTATTCACAAAAAATGTTAAACATTATATGCATTTAATTGTACTGAATTTCACAATAAATTGAATGTATCCAAATATAATTTAAAAAAAAAACTCCTTAAAAACACAGTTCCCTTTTTAAAAAAAAATCCATCTCTCATGTGCAATATTTGAAAAAAAAAATTGCCTCAACAATTGCTAAATAATTATTTTTACAGTATGTGTCACATATTGGTAGGGTCAAAATAAATAGTGTCTTTGACATAGGACACTGAAATCCTGTAGAAGAAGGTGTTTTTTCCATCACCCTAAACACATAAATTAATTTTACGCTGATTAGTCCTTCTGCTCCCATACAGCTGTATCACAGATACTCGCAACACAATAAAAAATAGCACCGTTCTTTGTAAATCAGGAAAAAAACACCACCTGTGATTTCAGAAAGTGTTAAGTTACCCTAGAATCTGCAATATAAAGGACAAATGCAGATTCTAAAGTGAAGGCAATTTTTAAAAAAAAATAATCCATTGTTATATGAGCAATTACAAATTTACAGTATATAGTAATTTATATAATTGATAAGAATTCTTTTTGAATTTTTAAATGAAAATTGCAATCAAATTATTTGTATTTAATTTTATGATTTTTTCTTAAAGTATTGTGAAATTTTTATGCATTGTAATTTTTATATAATTTTTATCACCATTGTAACCTTAAATTAGCTAGCTCTTCTTCCCAAACACTGAATCTCTGAAACCTTGATATATAACCAAAACAACCAATAAACATGTCTGTAAATCCAGCTGCTGGACTCAGTGACAGCTGATTCACTTGAGTGGTCACACTGGAATAAGCTGGGAAGTCAGCTCATCATTTTCTTCAGTATGACTGACAAATGCCGAGTCTACCGAGGCACTAGAATGCTGCCATCTTAGCCCCTCAGGGTCTTCCATAACATCAGAACTCACCTAAAAGGAGCACAAGTCAAATCTTGAATTTATTGAAATGGACAAGCACTGTAATTTTGAAATTCATATCATTCAAATAAATTTTCAATTCGATAGTATTTCATTTCTAAATGCTAAATTTTGCATGTTGGAAAACAATATGTTATTTTAATTTGTTACATGCTAAAAGGATTTTTTAATTAAAATTCACAATTTTTGTGCAAAATAGTTTTAAAACTTTGAAAATAAGTCCTTTTGAGGGAATATACCAAGGAATTCAAATAACTATGAAATGTAAATTGTTACAATAATTACAATAATTAATTACTATTTTAAACAATTTTCACCATTTAAAATTTGTAATCCCCTTGTACAAGAGTTTTTCCTGAAGCCAAGGAAATCTGACCCAGCAAAAAATGTATGAAAGGTAAAGTTTTTCAAATCTTGAATTTACTGACAAAATGGATAAGCACTGTAAAAAAATCATTCCAGCAAATTTTAGTTCAACAGTATTTAAAAAATTCCTTATTTTTGCATGTTTGAAAAGAGTTAACATAACATTATTTCTTAATCATGCTATCAATATACTGTGAAATCACAATTTTAGTGGGGGTTTTTTTTTTTTTGAAAAAAAAAATCAGATTTTTGTTAGATAACAAATAATAGAGCTTTTCATAGGCCTACTAAATATGAATAAGCTCTTGTTATAAACCACTGACTGATAGAAACAAAAGTCAAAATTTGAAAATGAAACAGTTTCAATATTCTAAAAAAAATGAAAAAAAAATTACAAAATGGCTAAAAAAAGTGATTTTACGTAAAAGGTGCATTTTCAGATGACCAATTCTATTGACAAAATTGCAAGCAGAAAAAAAACAACAGCAAATAACTGGTTAATTCAATCCCTTTCTTTATCTAAGACAAGGAACTACAAAGTGCTATATTTTAAAGTGGGAAAGAAGCTGGCCTTGCTTGTAGACCGTTTAAAGACACTTATGGACTCCTTTAATTTTAAAATTAAAACAAAGTAAGACTTCATGCTTCATACTCCTCTTTTTACTCTGGCCGTGCACTACCTGAGGATGCTTCCATATATTAAATACAACTAATCATGACTTCACTGTTCTTGAGAAGGTTTTTAAATTTAAAAAAAATTTCCTATGTAAAACTATGATCATCTATTGTGGTGCCACCCTACCCCTTCGACTATCTGAGGAGAATACCTTTATATCACAAGTAGACTCTTCTTGTCACTAGTTTATCATGTAATAAGTTTAGAAAATAGATTCACGCATATAGGAACATCCAAATTTACATTTAAAAAAAAGCATTAAAATTGAAAATTTCAAAGGTCTATGACTGCGTAACAAAACAACAGACAAAAACATCTGCTGATAAGTGGCTCAATCAAATGACTTTAAAAAAGTATTCTGATGGACGTACTTCCTCATAATCATGGCTTGGTTCCTCATTTTGTGGTTTGGTCCTCACTGGACGCTCACTGAACAGCTCCTCTGCATCCTCTGAGTGATGCTTACTTAGCAGAGGCCGGAAATGTATGATCTCAGCAATGTGAACCTTGTCTCTATAAAAACAAACAATTCAGGTATTCAGACAAAATTTAATAATTGACTGTTTCCTCATTCTGTAAAACGAGAAAACTTGGTGCATACATATTTTAGTGCAAATGCAATATGGCTTAATTTGCAAATAAAATACCTTGCACTTGTTGAAAATATATAGGTAACACAAGCAGCTGATGATCACCACAGCTGTAAACACAGAAGAAGGCAAACACCGACAATGACATTCATTCTTTTTTCTGTAGAGGCCCCGGGGGGCATTTCAATAGTCCTGAGAACTGTTTAATAAAAAAATCTGTTTTATAACTATTGAGTTTGATATCTAAAAACAGAAAAATATACAAATATATCATTATTTTATATTTTAAAACACTGGAAAAACCAAGTATAACTAGTAGCTGGTCCACTCCTAAAACCAGAAACACCAATAATGGCAATATAGGTTCATCTGAATATTGAAGAAAAATAGCACATACATATGGTGGCCAAAAGGTCTGTTCTAAATGGTTTAAGCGATTGTCAAACATCGCATGTTTTTATCGAATCTTGCTCAAAATATTGCGTAAAACAGACCTATCTGTGAGAATAAGGCTTTCAATCAAAGAAAAATAGATGATCGTATTCTAAAATTTAATGGCATCAATTCGTCAGGTGTTTTAGTCAGATTTGTGGGATCGATGAAGGCTCAAGAGAAGTTAAGTTAAGTTTAGTGTGCCCCATATTTTCCGTTAAAATCCAAAATGCATCCCCACCTTACCTCCACATATCGAAAAAATAATTCATGGAAATTTTTGAAATCTACATGTCTGTGTAACTTATAAACCTTTTTTTGTGCAAAAGTCAAAAGCAGTAGTGAGTTTTCTAGCCCAGTGAATTCTTGAAAAAAAGAAGAAACAAGTCAGGGGCAAGATTTTTGTATATATTTGTATGTAAAACTGTTAATTCCAAAATATATTTGTTGAAAACTGCAATAATATACTGGCCCAGTTTTATACAGAAAATGTTTTATTTCATGCAATGGAGAACTATATAAAAGACTGAAAATCCAGTCGTATCATGTAACTTAAAATCTTGAATGAATGTCGCTAATAGCATAACCAGTCATAAACCGCGCTAGTAAACAAACCAAACAATGAAATATAGTATTGTTGATAAACAGTACCATAGTCCTACTCTACTTCTTTGCAAATGAAAATTTTCTTTGAAATATTTTTTCAAATAAGCCTTTGGCAGCATTTTTAAAATCGTGCCATGTGGATAAAAACGCGAATTTTCAGTATGCTAAACATTCTATATTCTGAAGTCATTTTCGGAGTTATTACGTCACAAAAATTATAAATTGACGTCACAAATACGTGTATATTTTTCTGATCTTTCCAATGATATCAAACTCAATAATTTTCCGTAAAACGGTTAATTTTTTATTAAACAGTTCTCAGGACTTTTGAAATGCCCCTCGTACATGGACGTGACACAATTTCTATTTTAAACTTTTTTATATATTTCTATGATATATAATTGTGGGGTGTCCACACATTTTCTTCTTATTAAAAGCATGTGCATGCATCAAAGGAAAGTTACTTGGATAATTGGTAACCATAATCAGGTATTGTCTGCAAGGTCAATTGTCTGCAAGGTCAATTGCCATGCTTGATCGCATTGTTCACCTCGAGGCGATAGATGATTGACACGCCGAGAAGTCTAACTTTGAAAATGCTAATGAAAAGTACCCGGTAACAAAGGACAATAGTCTAATTACTTCATAATTTGGCAGTACATGTATTTTCTCGATCAATCATACAGTTTACCAGTGTAAGTACGGTGACCCTAAAACATACATGTAACATCACTTGTAGGTAATCACACATTCCTGTTTACATTTTTTTGAACACAAATATTCAGAAATCTTTTAGTGCACAATAAATTATAGTGTTCAAGAGCACTTGCACCAAAGGCGCTAAAATAAGTAGTGCGTCATATTTTCTTGTTTTACGGTATCCTCTTCTGTAAAAGTTTTAAATCTGAGTCTTAATATGGCTTAATTTCCCAATACCTCTTATGTTGTAGGTAACACAAGCAGCTGATGATCACCACAGCTGTAAATACAGAACCCAGGATGACTCCAACAATGACCGAGGGAGAGTCCTCTGAAGGCCTTTTTGTCTTTTCTTGATTATCTCCCCTTGTGACAGGAAAAACCCTGTATATTTACAGCTAAAAATAAAAATAATTGCTTAGTCTGTACTTAAAACACAGGAAAAACCAAGTATATGGCTTGGTCTACACCTTAATCCAGAAAAAAAAACAGTTTAGGTTCCTCTGAATATTGAAGAAAAATAACACATATATACAAAAGGTCTGCAACTCAAATTCCAGGATAGACTGATTGGTACTCAAATATGGGAAAGTCTGGTCTGAACTTCAAAATAAGATAAAACCAGTATAGTCTGATTTTGTTTTATCACATTGTCCAATAAAACTGATCAGTTTCAATCTTTAAAAATTTTATAAGGATAAATAAGACCATGTGATCTGGCTTGTAGCATTGAATTTTTCTCAATAAATTATCCTGATATCCATTCATTAAGAAAAGCAACCAATCATTTATTTCAAGAGATAAGAAAAAGTCACCCACTAAATTATGGAACTTACACACAATAATCCATCTTTTTGTCTTCTGAATAAGAGCATGTTCCCCCATTCATACACACTACATTACAAGGGGAAACTGAAAGAGTTGTCAGGCTGACTTTGGTTGTAAAGGCTGCTTGTTCCATCCTGGGTCTAGTAGGTGTTGGATCCAGTATACGTGGAAAAGGTGTTGGCTCAATCTTTATAGGTGGAAAAGGTGTTGGGGATACTTTCGAAGTAATGGTTATTGTGGTTACTCTTGGTGTACTAGTTGTTGGGTAACCTCTGTGAGTTGTAGAGGAAACTCTTGGTAGAAGAGATGACTTTGATATTCCATGTCTTACTGAAGTTTTAGTACTAGGCAGAGGTACCATATGAGGATCTGTAATATAAAATCTGCTGTAGGTGACATGACATTAGGTGACATAAAAATATGTGGTCGACAGTATAAGACATGATACATACTTCTACATGTCCTGTTATTGATGAGATCCCACCCATCAGGACAGGCACAAACAGCTCCCTCTGGTGTCAGTAAACACAGGTGTGAACAGAATCTCTCCAAACATACACCTGACCTGGAACCTATACAGAAACAAATACTGTCATTAATAAATGTTAAAAACATCTAAAAATAAGTGTCAATAAATTGAAACATAGATATAGAAAACACAAAATATTTCATGGGAGTTATCATCACTTATGCTAATTAAACAAAAAGGAATTTTCAGACATATCTTCCCTTACAAAACAGCAAAGTACCAAAGTGTACCAATTAAAGTACCAATCATCAAACTGCCACATCCACAAAGAACTGAATGACTCCCATGAAAACCAACTTCATTTTTAGCTTTGTTCATAATATACAGATATATTACCATTGTAGCTATTGTGTATGTTAGAGACTGACATGAAATCTGATTAGATTTACACAAATATAAAAGACTTGCCTGCATTCTGAAGAATTGGATGGATGACCTTGAGTTGACTGGAGAAGGGAAGGTCACCAGTCAGCAGGGTCGTATGTCCTGTGACCCGATTATATCTATTTAGAGACTTTGTTGCTTCATCGGTAAAGTACAGGTCATCCCCAAAAACATTTATTGACAGGAATTTGTACGAAAGCTGAGACAAAATAGTCCTCCTGTGAAAATTATAAATTATCAGATAATAAGCAGCAAGTCATAATCTATCACAATTAAGATGCTCTACCAACTGAGCTATCCAGGCCAATATTCAAAGCACAAACCATTACAAGAAGAACATAGAGGCAAAGAAGGGAGAGAGAAAATGATGGTACTTCTCACAAAAGTATGCAATAATAAATTCCACAGGTATATATTGAGACTTCAGTTACCCTGTAGATAATGCAGTTAATCAGATTTTTGTACAGAGTACTTTAACAGTTCAAAAGAAAAACATATCATCTTTAAATGTCATTCATATGAAAGAAATCTATAAGTAAAAGATTAAAGGAAATTTTTTGCTTTCAGTATTTGATTACAATATAAAGAGACACCATCAAAGTATGTTAGCTTCACCATCTGAAAGATTTGCAACATGAATCCAGAAGAATTGGATGATAAAAAAATACTGTGGAGTACCTGTAATTTCCATCAGTGCTGCAGCTCTCAATAGCATGTTGAACATGATCTATCCAGTAGAGTCTGTCAGAGAACTGATCCAGCACCAGACTGCTCCTGACAGAGACAATGTCAAACTCCACTACACTCCTCCTCAGTATCCCCGACATTGTACTCATCTGTATAGAGTCAGCACTCAACCAAAACATCAGTCTGAAACCAAAAAATCAGTCTGAAACCAGAAACATCAGTCTGAAACCAAAACATCAGTCTGAAACAAAAACAGCAGTCTGAAACTAAAACATCCTTCTGAAAACCAGAAACATTAGTCTGAAATAAACACAGCAGTCTGAAACCAAAATATCTGTCTGAAACCAAACTAGAAGTCTCTGTCGAGACTGTAGCTCTACTGGTTTAAACTTATAACAAATTAATGGAAGAGAAAAGTAGCAGTTGGGACTTGAAGCTTTAAAATGGCAATAAATAGAATAGTAATCCTTGATTAATTCACTTTTTTTGCAATATTGCAATAAGACTACAACTGTAAGAGTAGCTTTTAATAAAATTTTAAAGAATTTTCAATTATAGTTACCATTCATCAAAATAAATTCAATAAACAATAAAAGACAATAATGTATCTTAGTGTAGTCTATCTGCATGCAACATTATATCATAATCAAACTAAAACTGTATTTGTAATAGCATTTTTAAATTATTTTACAGAAATTTCTATTTTTAGTAATCACGAAAACACCATTCATTAAAATAAAAAAACGATAAAGAGAATTAGGTATGATAGTGTAGTCTACTTGTGTGCCAAGTTGTATTGAAATCAGACCAAAACTGTAGAAAGAATAGCATTTTGAAAGCATTTCACAGAAATTTCTATTTTTAGTAACCACGGCAACACTGCTCATCAAAAACGATGCACAAAATTATGTATCTTAATATAGTCTACTTGTGTGCCAAGTTATACTGAAATCAGATCAAAACTGTAGGAGGAGTAGCATTTTGAAAGCATTTCACAGAAATTTCTATATTTAGTAACCACGGCAACACCGCTCATCAAAATCAAACATAGGTAATCAGAGATTACAGAGCTCACCTCAACGAATGTTGTCTTTAAGTAAGGCAAAGTCACACAATTAACCAACAAAAAGTGTACATTCCAAAAATGAAAATATTCATGCAATTATGACCTGATACATTGAAATAGACCTATATAAAAAATTCAAACTTGTTCTTCTTCATGAAAATGTAATTAAAATCCAGCATCTGAAGCAAATTTGAGAGTTTTCAGCCCTTGATGCATCATATTTGTGCAAGTTTGGTTTATACAATGTTATATAAGCTTTATAGCTTTTTGGTAAAAGACCTGTACCAATAACTTTTACCTGGTCCATTATCTTAAAAATGTATGTCAAATTCAGCATCCGAAGCAAGTCCATTAGTGCATCCTAAGATGTATCGTCCATGCAAGTTTGGCCATTAAAGAACTCATAGTTACTTGGAAATGAATCATGCACAAAAAACTTTAACCTGTTCACTCAACCAGAAAATGTAGGTCAGATTCAGCATCCGAAGCAAGCCTGGTAGTATGCATCCTTAGATGTATCATCCATGCAAGTTTGGTCAACATAGGGCTTATAGTTACTTGGAAAAGAAATCTGCACCAAAAACTTTAACCTGTTCACTCAACCGGAAAATGTAGGTCAGATTCAGCTCAGCATCCGAAGCAAGTCTGGTAGTATGCATCCTTAGATGTATCATCCATGCAAGTTTGGTCATTATAGTGCTCATAGTTACTTGGAAATGAGACCTGCACCAAAAACATAAACCTGATCCCGAAAATGGTCAGATCCAGCTTCAAAAGCAAGCCTGGTAGTATGCATCCTTAGATGTATCATCCATGCAAGTTTGGTCATTATAGTGCTCATAGTTACGTGGAAATGAGACCTGCACCAAAAATTTAACCTGTTCACTCAGCCGGAAAATGTAGCTCAGATTCAGAATCCGAAGCAAGCCCGGTAGTGTGCATCCTTAGATGTATCATCCATGCAAGTTTGGTCAACATAGGGCTTATAGTTCCTCTGAAATCAGACCTACACCAAAAAGTGCACCAAAAATGTTAATCTGCTCCAAAAACATTAACCTGGTCATTCCTTTGCTGAAATTGCAGCATCTGAAACTTTGACTGGTACAATGAAACACACTAGAAGCATCTTCCATGCATGTCTAATCAATATAGGACATAGAAGTACTTAAAAAGAAAACTCCTCCAAAAAACTTTACCTGGGATGCCGACACCGATGCCGACGGTATTACATAAGCTCCCCCAACTTCATTCAGGTGAGCTAAAAACAGATGCACAGAATTATGTTCTTAGTATAGTCTACTTGTGTGCCAAGTTATATAATTAAATCAGACCAAAACTGTAGGAAGAGTAGTATTTTGAAAGCATTTCACAGAAATTTCTATTTTCAGTAACCACGGCAACACCGTTCATCGAAATCAAAAACCAATGCACAGAATTATGTATCTTAGTATAGTCTACTTTTGGGCAAAGTTATATTGAAATCAGACATTAACTGTTGGAGGAGTAGCATTTTGGAAAATTGTTTACAGACAGACAGCTGGACAGATGGATGAACGCCGGACGCATTACTATTGCATAAGCTCTTCTGGTCTCTGATCAGTAGAGCTAACCATCAGTCTGAAACCAAAACCATCAGTCTGAAACCAAAAACATCAGTCTGAAACCAAAACAACAGTCTGAAACCAAAAACAGCAGTCTGAAACCAAAAACAGCAGTCTGAAACCAAAAACATCAGTCTGAAACCAAAACAACAGTCTGAAACCAAAAACATCAGTCTGAAACCAAAAAAACATCAGTCTGAAACAAAAACAACAGTCTGAAACCAAAAACATCAGTCTGAAACCAAAAACATCAGTCTGAAACCAAAGACATCAGTCTGAAACCAAAACAACAGTCTGAAACCAAAACAACAGTCTGAAACCGAAAACATCAGTCTGAAACCAAAACAACAGTCTGAAACCAAAAACATCAGTCTGAAACCAAAAACATCAATCTGAAACCAAAACAACAGTCTGAAACCAAAAACATCAGTATGAAGCCAAAAACATCAGTCTGAAACCAAAAACATCAGTTTGAAACCCAAAACAACAGTCTGAAACCAAAAACATCAGTCTGAAACCAAAGACATCAGTCTGAAACCAAAAACATCAGTGTGAAACCAAAAACAACAGTCTGAAACCAAAAACATCAGTCTGAAACCAAAAACATCAGTGTGAAACCAAAAACATTAGTCTGAAACCAAAAACATCAGTCTGATACCATAAACAACAGTCTGAAACCAAAAACATCAGTTTGAAACCAAAAACATCAGTCTGAAACCAAAAACATCAGTCTGAAACCAAAACAACAGTCTGAAACCAAAAACATCAGTCTGAAACCAAAAACATCAGTCTGAAACCAAAACAACAGTCTGAAACCAAAAACATCAGTCTGAAACCAAAAAACATCAATCTGAAACCAAAACAACAGTCTGAAACCAAAAACATCAGTCTGAAACCAAAGACATCAGTCTGAAACCAAAAACATCAGTCTGAAACCAAAAACATCAGTTTGAAACCAAAAACAACAGTCTGAAACCAAAAACATTAGTCTGAAACCAAAAACATCAGTTTGAAACCAAAAACATCAGTCTGAAACCAAAAACATCAGTCTGAAACCAAAAACATCAGTCTTAAACTAAAACATCAGTTTGAAACCAAAAACATCAGTCTTAAACTAAAACATCAGTCTTAAACTAAAACATCAGTCTGAAACAAAAAATATCAGTCTGAAACCAAAGACATCAGTCTGAAACCAAAAATATCAGTCTGAAACCAAACACATCAGTCTGAAATGAAAAACATCAGTTTGAAACCAAAAACATCAGTCTGAAACCAAAATCATCAGTTTGAAACCAAAAACATCAGTCTGAAACCAAAAACATCAGTCTGAAACCAAAACAACAGTCTGAAACCAAAAACATCAGTCTGAAACCAAAAACATCAGTCTGAAACCAAAACAACAGTCTGAAACCAAAAACATCAGTCTGAAACCAAAAACATCAATCTGAAACCAAAACAACAGTCTGAAACCAAAAACATTAGTCTGAAACCAAAAACATTAGTCTGAAACCAAAAACATCAGTTTGAAACCAAAAACATCAGTCTGAAACCAAAAACATCAGTCTGAAACCAAAAACATCAGTCTGAAACCAGAAACATCAGTTTGAAACCAACCAGAAGTCTCTGTCGAGACTGTAGCTCTACTGGTATGTACTTATCAAAAACCATTGCACTATTTTATGTATCTTTGTGTAGTCTACTTGTGTGCCAACTTATTTTGAAATCAAACTAGAACTGTAGAAGGAGTAGCGTTTTAAAGGAATTTCACAGAAAATTCTATTTTTAGTAACCATGGCAACACCGTTCATCGAAATTAGAAACCGATGCACTATTCTATGTATCTTAGGGTAGTCTACTTGTGTGCCAAGTTATACTGAAATCAGACCAAAACTGTAGAAGGAATAGCGTTTTTAAAGAATTTCACAGAAAATTCTATTTTTAGTAACCATGGCAACATCCTTCATCGAAATTAGAAACCGATGCACTATTCTATGTATCTTAGTATAGTCTACTTGTGTGCCAAGTTATATTGAAATCAGACCAAAACTGTAGAAGAAGTAGCGTTTTTAAGGAATTTCACAGAAAATTCTATTTTTAGTAACCATGGCAACATCCTTCATCGAAATTAAAAACCGATGCACTATTCTATGTATCTTAGTGTAGTCTACTTGTGTGCCAAGTTATATTGAAATCAAACTAGAACTGTAGAAGGAGTAGCGTTTTTAAGGAATTTCACAGAAAATTCTATTTATAGTAACCATGGCAACACCGTTCATCGAAATTAAAAACCGATGCACTATTCTATGTATCTTAGTGTAGCCTACTTGTGTGCCAAGTTATATTGAAATCAGACCAAAACTGTAGAAGGAGTAGCGTTTTAAAGGAATTTCACAGAAAATTCTATTTTTAGTAACCATGGCAACACCGTTCATCGAAATCAAAAACAGATGCAATATTTTATGTATCTTAGTGTAGTCTACTTGTGTGCCAAGTTATATTGAAATCAGACCAAAACTGTGGAAGAAGTAGCGTTTTAAAGGAATTTCACAGAAAATTCTATTTTTAGTAACCATGGCAACACCGTTCATCGAAATCAAAAACAGATGCACTATTCTATGTATCTTAGTGTAGTCTACTTGTGTGCCAAGTTATATTGAAATCAGACCAAAACTGTGGAAGGAGTAGCGTTTTAAAGGAATTTCACAAAAAATTCTATTTTTAGTAACCATGGCAACACCGTTCATCAAAATTAAAAACCCATGCACTATTCTATGTATCTTAGTGTAGTCTACTTGTGTGCCAAGTTATATTGAAATCAGACTAAAATTGTAGGAGGAGTAGCGTTTTGAAAAATTGTTTACAGACAGACGGACAGACAGACGGACAGACAGACAGACAGACAGACAGACAGACGGACGGACGCCGGACGCATTACTATCGCATAAGCTCTTCTGGTCTCTGACCAGTAGAGCTAAAAACATCAGTCTGAAACCAAAAACATCAGTCTGAAACCAAAAACATCAGTCTTAAACTAAAACATCAGTTTGAAACCAAAAACATCAGTCTTAAACTAAAACATCAGTCTTAAACTAAAACATCAGTCTGAAACAAAAAATATCAGTCTGAAACCAAAGACATCAGTCTGAAACCAAAAATATCAGTCTGAAACCAAACACATCAGTCTGAAATGAAAAACATCAGTTTGAAACCAAAAACATCAGTCTGAAACCAAAATCATCAGTTTGAAACCAAAAACATCAGTCTGAAACCAAAAACATCAGTCTGAAACCAAAACATCAGTCTGAAACCAAAAACATCAGTCTGAAACCAAAAACATCAGTCTGAAACCAAAACATCAGTCTGAAACCAAAACATCGGTCTAAAAACCAGAACATCAGTCTGAAACCAAAAACATCAGTCTGAAACCAAAACATCAGTCTGAAACCAAAAACATCAGTCTGAAACCAAAAACAACAGTCTGAAACCAAAAACATTAGTCTGAAACCAAAAACATCAGTTTGAAACCAAAAATATCAGTCTGAACACAAAGACATCAGTCTGAAACCAAAAACATCAGTTTGAAACCAGAAACATCAGTTTGAAACCAAAAACATCAGTCTGAAACCAAAAACATCAGTCTGAAACCAAAAACATCAGTTTGAAACCAAAAACATCAGTCTGAAACCAAAAACATCAGTCTGAAACCAAAACAACAGTCTGAAACCAAAAACATCAGTCTGAAACCAAAAACATCAGTCTGAAACCAAAAACATCAGTTTGAAACCAGAAACATCAGTTTGAAACCAAAAACATCAGTCTGAAACCAAAAACATCAGTCTGAAACCAAAAACATCAGTCTGAAACCAAAAACATCAGTCTTAAACTAAAACATCAGTTTGAAACCAAAAACATCAGTCTTAAATTAAAACATCAGTCTTAAACTAAAACATCAGTCTGAAACAAAAAATATCAGTCTGAAACCAAAGACATCAGTCTGAAACCAAAAATATCAGTCTGAAACCAAACACATCAGTCTGAAATGAAAAACATCAATTTGAAACCAAAAACATCAGTCTGAAACCAAAATCATCAGTTTGAAACCAAAAACATCAGTCTGAAACCAAAAACATCAGTCTGAAACCAAAACAACAGTCTGAAACCAAAAACATCAGTCTGAAACCAAAAACATCAGTCTGAAACCAAAACAACAGTCTGAAACCAAAAACATCAGTCTGAAACCAAAAACATCAATCTGAAACCAAAACAACAGTCTGAAACCAAAAACATCAGTCTGAAACCAAAGACATCAGTCTGAAACCAAAGACATCAGTCTGAAACCAAAAACATCAGTCTGAAACCAAAAACATCAGTTTGAAACCAAAAACAACAGTCTGAAACCAAAAACATTAGTCTGAAACCAAAAACAACAGTTTGAAACCAAAAACATCAGTCTGAAACCAAAGACATCAGTCTGAAACCAAAGATATCAGTCTGAAACCAAAACATCAGTCTGAAACCAAAGACGTCAGTCTGAAACCAAAAACATCAGTCTGAAAACCAGAAACATTAGTCTGAAACTAAAACATCAGTCTGAAACCAAAACCATCAGTCTTAAACTAAAACATCAGTCTTAAACTAAAACATCAGTCTGAAACAAAAAATATCAGTCTGAAACCAAAGACATCAGTCTGAAACCAAAAATATCAGTCTGAAACCAAACACATCAGTCTGAAATGAAAAACATCAGTTTGAAACCAAAAACATCAGTCTGAAACCAAAATCATCAGTCTTAAACTAAAACATCAGTCTGAAACCAAAGACATCAGTCTGAAACCAAAAACATCAGTCTGAAACCAAAAACATCAGTCTTAAACTAAAACATCAGTCTGAAACCCAAAACATCAGTCTTAAACTAAAGCATCATTCTGAATCCAAAACATCAGTCTGAAACCAAAACAGCAATCTGAAACCAAAACATCAGTCTGAAAACTTATAAAGAATGATGTAAGTCTTATGTAGGCTTAAAGTATCTGTAATTTAGTCTGTTTAAATAAATGTTTTGAATCTTTTTAAAAGTACATGACAAGGGTCCTTTGCATATTGAAGGTTACAATATTTGCTTGTTTAGATTAAGTTTTTGATAATATAGATAAATGGTAATCATTTGATTTGCTGTCTTGCTCATAGTCCAATATTTCAGTGGACAGCTGAGATGACAATGAACAGTTCCTACATAGAATATTTTACCCTTTCTCTGGGTGAAGAGCTACACTTCCTGTTGTTTCATGCAGCAATGAACGACATCCCTCTTTCAGATGTTTCACTGGACATACAATCAGTGCAGGTTTGGAGATGTCAGAAATATAGAGGTTATTTCCCAGCCAATCATATGCCACGTAAGCAACTTTTCCCAGCATGCTCAGTAGTACCTCTTTCTTCTGATCATTTTGATTGGTTCTTACAAGAAATGTCTAGTAAACATAGAAATAAACCTGAACACAGCAGCATACGATATGCATGTAGTTTAAATGCAGGAAGTTTTTCAGACTAGAACCAAACCTTTGAATCTGTTGAAGATATTCCCAAGAAGTCACCAGTAGACATGATGACATCAAAAGTCAGAAAAGGCTCTGCAGCACATATAGTGACAAACTCTCCATGTTGATCCAAGTCATATCTTGTAAGAGTGGTGTGTTCCAGGAACAAGAAATACGGTCTGGGATCTAAATAAAAAACTTAATCCTAAGATAATACATGTACTAAACTACACAGAATTCCCAGTAAATAAAAACAAGCACTCATCTACATCTGAAGATAAAAAAAAATTAAAGTGATAAATGGCATTTTTGATGTTATTAATTCATCTCAGCTTCAAGACTTAATGCCTAGATATATATTAATCTTCCACAACATATACATGTATTTCTATAAGTTTTGCATGTCTTTTGAAGAAACCTGGTGACATTTTTTTTAAAAGCTTATGAAAAAATCCAACCACTAAGATTTCATGTTTTATATACCTGGAGGAATACATGAAGTGGTGTTTGAGATGAACTCTGGTGAACAGTGGCAACTTCTGCCTCCTTCAGTGTTAACACACAGCTGACTACAGCCCCCATTGTTCTCCTCGCACTCATCTACATCTGAAGATTAAAAAAAATTAAAGTGATATATGGCATATTTTTGATAAGATCAGACTTACTAATTTTTTTTTTTTTTAAAAATTCTCTTTGTTTTCTTACTTTATATAAATATAGGACCTTCCTGTAAATTACATAATTTAAATCAATCATAGATATCAGAGATTTAAAACAATAACCGATTTATTTCTGATTCAGAAATAAATATCAGAACGGTCTAAAATCAATTTATCTTATGGAAATCAATTTATCTTATGGAAATGTGGGGATATTTCAATTCAAAATAGATGAAAATTTGAAATTGAACGTAAATAACAAACATCATGTAAATCTACGCTTAATCTCGAATTTCAATTTTTTTTTAAGCTCAGATACGCCATATATAGCTTTAATCTTGTTTATTTCATTGGAAGCCTAGAAAACAAGAAATGTTTGTGAAACACTAATGACCCCTCCCCTTTGATATAATTGGAATTTTTTTTATTCCAAGGGGCACATCTCTGTCAAAAAAGGCTCGATCGTACTCAAAACAGAACATGACTTAGATATTTTTGTGAAAAATCTGTATACCAAATTTCATTGCAACCTCTGCAAAGAAAATGAATGGAAACTGTAAATTAATGTAATTGGAATTTTTTGAGGTCCATGGGGCATAACTCTGTCAAAATTGTTCGATTGTCCCCAAAACAGAACTTGACACATATTCTTATGATAGATCTGTATATCAAATTTCATTTCAGCATGTGAAACTGCTGCGAAGAAAATGAACGGAAACTTTGTGGACCAACAGACAGACTGACTTACAGACAGCAGCAAAGCACAATATGCCTTCCCTTCTTCGAAGGGGGAATAATAAAACATAACATAATAAAATCTTAAATCTAGAGACAGGCTACCTTGACAATATTTTGTATCCTTGTGAAATTCATATCCTGTAGGACATATTCTTTTTAGTAAGTCTTGACCACAATGCTGGCCTTCATCTGAACCATCAGGACAGTCGGAATGACCGTTACAGACAAGACGTCCAGAAATACACTCCCCCGAGGCACACAAAAAATGACCAGGTCCACAGTCTGAAAAAAGCAAACAAACCAAGAATCATGTACAGTATTTGTAACCACATAAATCATATGTTGACCACAACAGATAGAAAGGATTATAAACAACCATTTTCATTCTATTTTGATCTTTAGTAGGGATTTCAAACCTCGAGGAGTCGTTTGAGAACAGTGAGCGGTGTCTTCATCTGACATGTCTACACAGTCATTATTTCCATCACACACAGTGTTTAGTGGAACACACAAGTCTACATCACAGAGCAGGCCCCCACACTCTGTCAACAAAGAAGGGGGCAATAACTCACCAGTTACATAGAACACAGAGCAGGCCCCCACACTCTGTCAACAAAGAAGGGGGCAATAACTCACCAGTTATATGTATATCACAGAGAGAATGAGAGTAAGAAGCAAATAAGGGGACAATAACTCCCTGGTTACATAGAACAGAGACAGAAAGAGAGCGATTAAAAAGAGAGTACTCTGTTTAGAGGAAAGTACTCCATTTTAGAAAAGAGATAGAGACACACTAAAACTTGGTTATAACAAAGTCATGAGGACCTATGAAATTTCTTCGCTATATCCGTAATTCATTATATCCGTATAAGAAATTCATTAAATTTATATAGGTGGGGATCCAAGATGACTTCGCTATATCCGTGAATTCGCAATATCCGTGTTCGTACTAACTGAGTTTTACTGTAGTAGAAAGTACTCTGTTTAAAGTAGAGGGTGAGAGTATTCTGTTTGGAAATAAGAGAGAGAGAGAGAGAAAGAGAGTACTCTGTTTGGAAAATAGAATGGTCTGGTTAGAAATTTAGAATAGAGAGAAAGAGTAGTCTGTTTAGAGGAAAGAGACCGAGTAGTCTTTTTTAAGGAGAGAGGAAATACTCTGTTCAGAGGAAGTGAGTACACTGTTTAGAGGAGAGAGGATTCCGTTTAGAGGAGATCACAAAAGGAGTGTACCTGGAGTGCTTGAACAGTTCCTATTGACCTCACAGTGACAACTTGGTTCTTTGCACACTGTTGATAAATAAAAAAAATTATTATTATTTAGGCCACACCAATAAATTTTTTTGTTCGTCGGACCCGCGCGCTCGTATTTAAACAAAACTATGAAAATAATATTAATTTAAATTTCCCGCACCATGGGGATTTCTGTACTTTTTCTGTTTCATTTCCACTCTATTTATCATATTTTTAATCTGCTTACTCTTAAAATCAGAAAAAATAAAATTGTTCGCTCAAATTTTTTTTTACGATCCGCCTAAAAATTATTATTATTTAACCGCTTGCCCGCTCATACTTTTTTCATCAAATGTCCGACGAACAAGAAATTAAATTGGTGTGGCCTTACTGTGTAATAATAATGATAAATCTAGATCATTTATATTATGTAGAACTAGATGGTGTCTTACTAGTACAAGAGGTGTTGTCCGTCTGAAGGAAAAATCCATCACTACATTTACAGACCCTGGTGTTACTAGAGACTGGAATACACAAGTGTGAACATCCACCATTCTTACTGCTACATGCATTCTCCACTGGCAATAAAACAAACAAAATTATATTTCTTCCAAGACTCTTAAAACTACTCCATATAGTAGTACCATTGATAACAAAACACTGATAATGTATTCAAAGATACACTGTATGTCTTATCGTTTATTCTGCAGACAGAGAAAAAGATGTCGAATAAATGTATAAAATCCATTATTTTAGCAGTTTTAATTTTATTAAACACCAGTTCATGAACTTGTTAGTACATTTTGCTACTTTCTTTGTAACTATATACATGTTTTAAATATTGCCATTCATAATTGCAATAAAGACAATGAGAATCTCTGAGTCTTACCCACTTTGCTAGCTGCTGACACTATGATGCTAGATAATGGGATGGTATTATGAAGAACAATTCTTTCCTCTTCAATATTTTGTAAATTGAGAGAAAATAAATTGGTTGCCTTTTCTTCTATCCAGTAAAGAATTTTATCATAAATGGCCATTCTTTTTATTATTTTTCCATTTCCTCTGTAAAAAAAAAAAAAGAGAGTACGTGTTATTCTTTTTAAAGAATGCATATATTGAATTATTGCCCTTTGATTCTCAATGTCGGATCAGGTCACTAAAGGCGTGGTCAGCCAAACAATAAATATTTGTTCTGAATGAAGAGAACTTGTTTTGATTTGAATGGGATAAGAGACTGGATGTAAAGATCAAGTACCAATGTCAAAGTGAATTAATGTAATAAGCATACTTACTGTACAAGATATGTCTGCCATTGAAGTGCTCCTCCATTGGTAAGCTTTACAGAAATTATCCGTGACACACCTCCAATGTCATCAGCTATATATAGATGACCTTCATACAGGAGAAGGTCATTTGGATGATGAACTTCTACTAACAAGGGTTTACAGTGCGAGCCATCCAAAGAGCACTGGAGGACAGAAGGAGACACACCCACCAAAGACAAGTACAACAGGCTAAAAAGTTATATCAACAACTCACTCAACATCAATAACAATCCTCAATTATGGCAAATTTAAAGTATTAAAAATAAGCATTTATAAACTGTTCTGCTTGTATTTTTTTCCCATGAAAAAATTATTTAATATTCTCCTGAATTTTTCTCTAATTCCTGTATACACATAATAGATTAATGAAAGAATCCTTAAAAAATAAATAAATATTCAAGAATTAATTGTTTTTAAATGTGTAACTATGTAGATTCGGAGTAAATAGTCATGAAAATAAGAGACAAACCCTTGTGAAGAATCAGTAGCTATGGATGTTGGCCTCTGAATTATGTGGTCTGATGATAGCAGTACTGTGTGATATGTTCCACTCAGACTTGCAACTTCTACTGTTTTCTGCAAAGGATTTAAACAAAAAAAATGTCCCACACTAGAAAAAAATAAAAGTACCATAAGGTTATATTTTTTCATGTATTTTTTTATGAATTAAAATTTTGTTTTCTTTAGAAAAAAGTGCTAAGGTAAAGTTTAATTTTATTACAGGGAAAACAAGATGTGTCTGTGAAACAATGACGCACCCAAATGGCAACACAGCAAAGATTTAACTTTTCTTAAATGCAAATTTAATATATTGGTACCCAAAATAGGGTATGCTCACTAGAAATACAATTGTGAAATATGAAAGTAGGCCAAGGTTAAAGTTTTTTTCAAAAGAACAGAAATCTCCAAGGTCAAGGTAATTGGTGTCCAATGAAAGGTCTTGCCACAAAGAATACATATGTGAAGTATGGAAGCCCTAGTCCTAACCCTTCCAGAGTTATCGCCACAGTTAAAATTTTTAAAGTAGGTCAAACTTCAAGGTCAAAGGGTAAAAATTCTTGATATCAAATGAAAGTCATGTTACAAGGATTAAATATGAAAAGTATGAGAGCACTAGCCCTAACCCTTCAAAAGTTATGGTCAAGATTTGTTTTTAAAAGTATGTCAAACTCCAAGGTCAACGTCAAAGTATGAAAACCCTAGCCCTTAGCATTCAAAAATTATGACCAAGGTTAAAGTTTTTTCATAAGTACAGAAATCTCCAAGGCCAAGGTCAAAAGGTCAAGGTATTTAGTATCCAATGAAAGGGCTTGCCACAAAGAATACATATGTGAAGTATGGAAGCCCTCACCCTTCAAAAGTTATGGCAGAGGTTAACAATCTTAAAAAGTAGGTAAAACTCCAAGGTCAAAGGGTCAAAGTTCTTGATATCAAATGAAAGGTCTTGTCACAAGGATTAAAAATGTAAAGTGTCTAGCCCTAACCCTTTAAAATTTATGGTCAATGTTTGCTTTTTAAAAGTAGGTCAAACTTCAAGGTCAAGGTCAGTTCTTAGTATCAAATGAAAGTTCTTTTCACAATGATTATATATGCAAAGTATAAAAGCCCTACACTTAGCCCTTAGCATTCAAAAGTTATGACCAAGGTTAAAGTTTTTCATAAGGACAGAAATCGTCAAGGTCACAAGGTTGTTGGTATCCAATGAAAGGTCTTTCCACAAAGATTACATAAATGAGAATAAAAGTACTGGTATCTACTGTTTGAAAGATATGGCCAAAGTAAAAGTTTGGAATTTTTGTGTAAAAGTGGGTCAATCTCCAAGGTCAAGGTCAAAAGGTAAAATTTGGTGGTACCCTAAGAAAGGTCTTGTCACAAGGAATACACATGTGAATATGAAAGTTATAGCTCTACTAAATCAAAAGTTATGGGCAAGGTTAAAGTTTTGGTGGACAGACAGACAGACGGACACGATAAAAACTATATATCCCCGAAACTTTGTTTACAGGGGCATAAAAATAAAACATACTTTCCCAACATCAATCCAAAAGACATTTCCTGTTACTGGGTCCACTTCCAACTTCTCAACTGCTTCAAGATTTTTGGAATAAATTATATTTTGACTGAAAATTATACAAATTACATTAACATATTATGGCTGAATGATAAAATATCTGACTAAAAAGTAAACATAAATTTTAGAATAACACTCTTCCACAGATGTGTTTAAGTCATGTGTGTTTAAACTCTACAGAAATGCCATTTAATTAAAAATTGATGGAAAGGATAAAAATACAGTGGCCTTCCTTACGAATAGATAAACGACTGACCGTGAAAATCCACTATCCATGGTGATGTTGATGCTAGCTATGACATCACGTGTGATGTCACTGTACACCAGCACTTGGTACTTCAGACAAATACTCATTGATGGAACAGTGTGTATGCCTCCTTCACCAATCACAGTCCTGACTTGGTTGTCTTGGTAACCAACAGATGACAGAGGGAACTGAAAAATTTCTTTCTTTGCTCCGAGGTAAATTCTGGGCACATCTAAGCTTACTGAAAATCATGCATAAGTAAAACTAAAGATGGGAGTATTCTGATATCATGAGAATTAACATTAATCTTACAATCCATGTCATGGTATACCCAACTTAAAATTTTAAAAAAAATTTCAAATATATACACTTGTACACATCTTGTCCAAGGCCTGAAATGACAAAATACCAAAAGCTGCCTGATGCAGAAACGATTTATCAAATTACACTTGGATCTCATAGTTTATCTATACACGAGTACACAATTAAACGACGAAATGTTTGTCAAATACATCAATGAATGGACTAACTAGTGGAAAAGGGAGCATTGAAAATATTTTCTAGTTTCTACATTTCTACATACATATGGAATTGAGGACAATATTCTACATTTGTTTATCTGTTTACAATGCAACCACGGAGATAAAAAAAAAATCATTATGGTAAAGAACTATATGCGGTATATTGCATACATTTGCCCCCACAAAAGTCAAATTATGAAAACTTCCTGAAATGGGCTGAATTCAATAAATTGTATGAGTAATATAATTTAACAGAAAATATTATAGTTTCAAAGCAGTGTATTCACAATTTTTGTTTTTATGACGTCACAAACTAGTCCGACTTTATATCCTTTTTCAGAAAGAGGACAAAATGGACAAAATTTCGACAATTTTAGCTTTAAAATTTATAGAGCGCAAGTTTGTTCAGGAACAATATTCTCATATTTCATTGATATTATCATTCTACACATTATATCAAAATATTGATCCTGAACACACATGCGCACAGTGATTTTTACTCAAAATATCAACGAAATATGTACATTTTTCTGTAAAATTCATAAAAAACTGAAATTTACGTCATGTTTGTGACGTCATTTCGTACATATGACGTCATTATTTGTGAAAATATTTAGTGCTTTGAAGTCAGCATATACTCCCCTGTTTAAGAACTTAATTAAATATATCTCCATCAAAGTTTGATTTGGGGGGCAAATATTGGTTATTACCGAATATACTTCTTTATAATCACATCTGATTCTCAAAAAAAAAAATTCTGAAGTAACATCAGAACATTATCTAAATAAAAGTTGGACTAACTTTGACAGGTGATATTGTTACTTTCCAGATGCATATCCTGAGGACACATGCACCGATGTCCATCACTTGTTGGCAAACACATGTGGGAGCATCTTGTCCCAGAGCAGGCATCTCCTAAAAATAAACAGGCAGGTACATATTTTAAAAATGTCTTTAAACATACCAGTATCATTCCATTTCATTTCCACATTTCTGATATTTCAGCAATATAATGAAATACAGATTTTACTGATAGCATTAAGTGTCACATGAGAGATGGGTTGATATTTTTTATTTGGCTTTGTCTTTTAAAACAATGGCAAACTATTTTAAGACTTAAAGACGAAATAAAAAGAAAAAATGATGTACAAAAGATAAAAGGATTTTAGCCCTCTCCTTATTTGAATTTGAACAATTTAGAAGCTTCACTACTCCAGGATGCTTTTTTGACACAGTGGTTCCTCAGAAGAGATTTGTTAATGACCCTACTCTATTTCCATCTTTTCTTAATTATCTCCCCTTATAAGAAATGTACCCTTCTTTGGTCTGAGATTAACTCATACCACTATCTGACAGCTAAATAAAGTTTCATTATTTCAAGTTTATTTATGACATACAGTCAATGGACAAAAGTATTCGTCATTTTCAAAATGGCGTCGCGTTGTTTACGTTCACAATGGGAGTTTTAAACGTAGATTTGTATACTTAAAATTAAAGTCACTTACCTAATATTTTGTCAGATTTCCTTTCATACGTATTACTTCTTTAATCCGATCTGGAATGGATGCGTAGAGGCTGTGGACGTATTCCAAGGGGATGTTTTCCCACACTTGTCTGATTGCCTGAAACAGCTGATCGCGATTTTCAATAGTTGCGGACATGCCTTTAAGCTCTCTTTTGATCTTTAACCAAATGTTTTCAATCACATTTAAATCTGGAGACTGAGCTGGCCAATCTGTGCAGTTAATATTATTTTCGGTCATATAGTTTTTCACTACGAGAGCCCTATGTACGGGAGCATTATCGTCTTGGAAAACATAGTCTTTGTTCGGGAAATGTCTGGCAATTACAGGCCATAAATTATTATCAACTATTTCCAAGTATTTGAGTGCATTTATATTACCTTCGACAGGTACAATAGTTCCCATACCATCAAAACACATGCATCCCCAGATCATAAGTGTTACCCTCCTTTTCGATGGCGGACAAATTAAATGGGGACTGTTGGCTTCGGCGTCCTTTCTCCACACATACACACGGTTATCTGTCCCGATAACAATCTGACTTTCATCGGAAAATATATATTTTTTCCATTCATTATCACTTTTCCAGTTTTTTCGTTCTTGACACCATTTTACCCGTTTTTTTCTGTTCACACATCGAACCACCATAGTCTTCCTTGCACGTTTCCTTTTGTACCCTTCTTCACGTAATTTTCTAAATACTGTTTTCTCACTAAATTGTCTTCCTCTTCCTTCGTTCAGTTTGTTTGTTAAATCTGTCAAAGTGTCCCTTCTGTTTGCTTTAGCCAGGCGACTCAACTTCGTCTTGTCCCGAGTTGTAAACAAAAGTCGACGGCCAGATCTCGGCAAGTTTTCTACAGTACCCAGTCTGTCAAATTTATTCAAAATACTCACGATTGTTGACCTTGGTATACCAAACATTCTCGCCAGTTCTGCTTTATTTGGAGTGTGGTTTGCAGATTTTACGATCATTTCTTTTACCTCAGTGCTCAACTCAACTGATTTTCGCCCCATGTTTTCGAGTGACGTTTTCCAGTGTTTACAGAAATACAAGTGACAAAATGACGTCACAAAATCGTGACGTAATTTCTCCAGTCTCTTTATTGAAAGTTTCATTCTATTTCGTTTGTTCTATAAATAGCGCGAGTGAAAAATAGCCGAGAGAGGCATCGCGATTAACGCAACGCCAATTAAAATGACAAATACTTTTGTCTATTGACTGTACATGTATTTAGCAAATTTATGTGATCTTTTTAGAATGCATGGTAAAAATACTCATATAGATAATCAATGCATGAAATTTCGGAAGTAATCTTTCATGGAAATTTAACTCTGGTTAGATGAACTCTTACTGGTTAGATTTGAGTTCTGAAGAACTGGGTGCATCACCAGTATAATGACAGTTCCTAGTAGACCAGAGATCTCTAGCTGAATGTCATGACCTGTGAACTTATCAGCAGAAAAGAGTCCATTCCAGCCAAGGTCAGTCCAGTAAATTCTGTCCTCAAACACAGCTATACTGACTGGATTCCTCAGATTGTGGATAGGCAAAATCTGTAAATACAACCCAGGATAAGTACTAGTATATCAAATAACTAGCTCAAAAATATAATGTTTCATGAAATTTTGGTATCTATAGCACATGGGGAATAAACAAATAACCGGTAGTACGAGTCACATAGGAACGAGTGTGTATCATTACCGCTACATAGTCATTACTGATACAAAAAAGGTTGCTTTACCGCTACATTTAAAAGTATACATTACAGCTACATTCATTTGCCTCTTTCGTTAGCCAATCACTTATTCGTGTAACAGATTGATGTAAAGTATAATATATACATGTTTAAGACCTGTTTCCCCCTCCCCCATTCACCACGGAGAGTTGAAAGGACTCTGAGCAGGATGAGTTTTTTTTATTTAAAATCTATTTTATTAAATGAAACACTTTATTTTCTTAAATCAAGCACTGTTCATAGATAAAACCCACATACTTTACACAATCCGTAAAGCTTTGAATGCCATTTTCTTGACATACTGCTGTCTTTTAATTTCGACTTTCATATTTTGTATATGAAACTTTAAAATATTGTGCTGAATTCTTTGTTTATGGAACCCATATTCCGCATTCCTTACCTGGCTGATTGCATGTGTAGCGGTAATGAGTTGTTTTCGACCAAAAAAATGTAGCGGTAATGATCAATTGAAAATTTGGAAAAATGTAGCGGTAATGAGTTGTTTTTGACCAAAAAAATGTAGCGGTAATGATTGATTGAAAATTTGAAAAATGTAGCGGTGATGAGTAAAAATTTTTGGCGATGTAGCAGTAATGTTGACCTCTCATAGGAACAGATGAATTTGTTATTACTAGCAAAAAGACAAAGCTTAATTAACAACAGACAAAATATTCACTTATTATACACCATATACTATTAAATTAATAGACTTTTTGTGATGTTTATTAAACCTGTCTGTTGGAGCCGTCTAACTGAACACTCTCTAGCTTGGGGGATAACTTGTCAATCCAGTACAGGCGGTCTGAGGTGTAGTCCAGGACCATTACACTGGCGTACCCTACATGGTCAGAGAGAAAGGTCCCCCTCCCACTGCTGTCCAGACTGGCCCTCTTTATCTGAGGAGGGTCTCCAATGTCAGACCAGTAGAGATGTCTACAAAACAGGAGATAGCACAGTAAGACTTGCTTAATAAAAACACAGATATATAGAGGATATCTATATTGTGTGATTTTATATTGGCTTTCTCCAACGAGTTGAAATGGTGTATATATTTGCGAGGCAAGCCGAGTTGGATAAAGCCAATATCAAATCACTCAATATAGATATCCTCTATATATTTCATATAAAGAACTCTGAATTTATGGATGGCAAACTACAAAAGTATATCAGGGTTGCAGCAGTATCTTTTATTAATTTGTGCATTTTGTAATCTTGTAAGTCCTTTAACAAAATGTGCAGTGATATTTTCTTTCCATGACATTGATGAGTACTATAGGCACTGCACTATTAATAAATTCTGATTTTGGCATTAAGTGTGGTTCACAAGTATCGAAAATGAACTTAGGCTGGAGACAGGGAAATTTCCAGTTTTTGTAATGGTGCTAGTTCTGACATTTTCCTGTCACGTAAAATATCAAAATCGTAAAAAAAAAAAAAAAAAAAAAAATGGCCTGGAGGACATCAGATATTATGGACTAGACAAAGTATGTAGCAAAAACTTATTACAGTCATATTATAGTCCTACAAAATTACATGAAAACTACTAGAACTACCTTATCAAGTGGCACATTCATAACTTTAGTTTGAAAAAAATATGCCTCTTGCAAGTGACTAGGAAGTCTTTAATCCCTTTTATAGACTTGAATAGATCTCATCTCTTACTTAATGAATCAAGAACTTGAAGATATAAAAAACACATGTACAAATTCACCTCAAGCAATTTAATGAAGCTTGGAAAGAAACCCGGTTTAATTTCTTCCTTTAATAACCTACATCCTATTCTATCTGATTCACCATCTTCATGCAGCATGCCAGTGAATATCATAGTAAGTCATTTTAAAAAAAAAAAAAAAAAAAAAAAAGAGTTAATCATAAAATTTAATTAACATTGTTTTGTCTACTGTTGTAAATTTTGTTACTTGTGGTTTTCAAAGTAAATATTTACCATAATTAAACCTTCAGGTGTAACAATTAAATTGTCAGTGCTCTTTTTTTTCTATTTTCGTAAGTGCATTTTTTTCTTAACTTTTCAAAAAAGGTGTGTGTTTGGTAGGGGGTGGGGTGTCCTGTAATCTAGATAAATTGTCCCCATGGGTTAATGGCTCCAACTAAAAAGGCAATTCAAAATAAATCAATTGGTAGCTTATCTAAGCATAAAAAGAACTAAACTTGACCTTCTTCATAGTGTATACCTACATGCAGTACAGTAGCAACAGCAGACCAATGACAACGGACTGAATTTTCGTACCTAAAATGTCATGACAATGGACATGGGTTTTTTTTGTTTTTCTTTTTAACTGTTTCTATTTTGTTTCTGCAGAGTTTCTTTGTTGTAATTGATTCTAACTAACAACCATTCATAGATTTATGAGAGACCTCTAGTTTTTAATTCTTTACATTAATTGCCCTTTTCCTCTTGACTGTAGACAATCTTCAGTCTTGGTATTTTATCATGGGTCACTCCGACTCATGGAATTCTGTTTGGTCTACCAAGAGGAGATGCTTCAAATTGCCCTCCTGTCCGTAAGTTTTAATATCTTATGAATTCACTCATGTCTTGTTCTATCAAAACTAATTTTTATAAATTATAAATATAGGATAAAATGTAAAGACCCAAGCACACCTCAATGAAGGTGGAATGGATAAAAATGCAAGTTTTAAATATCTGCAATTCTCAGACAAAACTTTATTTCCACAGCTGGCTCCATTCCTTATTATTTTGGTACAACTGACCTTATGTGCATGAGGTATGGTTTACACAGAAAAACTCCAATAATGCGGAGAAATGCACCCAGCCGATTCACCTTCAACCCCTCTCACCGATGGATCTACATCGCAGGGACATACCTGGAGTTTGGTAACAGAATAGGGAGGGATGCAGCAAAAGTTAAATTCGACCACCCCCATCTGGGTGATGTTTGTCAGATGAAGACCGAGCCGCAGCCCGCAGGGTTCACTAGACTAAGCCTTGACTGTGTCATAGGATGTGTGGAAAACTATACCGACAAATACGGCAACTACCACATGTACACTAACAACTGTCACCATTTTGTCAACAAGATTTCTAGAGTCATGTGTGAAGCAGTAATTTGTCCTAATTGGTGTATTAGAAGAATTCTATAACAGATCTAGATTTCTATGAGAAAAGCTGTAAACAGGAACAAGTACTGTATACAACTTGTGCCTTGTTCATTTGGAATAAATAATGAAATACTGAGTAAATGTTCTGAAAAATTATTTAGCTTGATTCTTTTTTATTTTTATTTTGTCAAAATTGTGGAAAAATCAAGTCTCAACCGGGACTCGAACCAAGAATCTCTGGTGTACTGTGCCAGTGCTCTAAACCACTGAGCTATTGAGACCCGATATATTGACTGACTTTCACGCACCTGTGACATATACTTGAGTTTAATTGTCTGAAAGACACCAGAGTACATATCAGAAATAATAACTTGATTTTGTTATGGATCATTGAGAGTAAATTTTAAAACATAAACTATCAAAGAATATAAAGTTTATTTTTAGATATACATGTATTCAATAATGACAACAATATCCAACACCTGAAATAACAGTTTACTGCATACTAAAATGCAATGGCAAGCAAGTTTTGTCTGGGTAGGATTTGTAATTACTGGTATCCAAAAACTTTACATTTGTTTATTCATGGGAAATGTACATCAGATTCAGCATATGAATCAAGACTTGTAGTGTGCATCTATGCCATTTTGGACAAGGTTGGGGTTATAGTTTCTTTGGAGTAAAATCTGATCCTTAAACTTTAACTTCAAATCATTTCTAGCTTAAGGTAGGACACAATAGATATGCCAAATTTTTCCTCAAATTCAATTTTCCTGAAACTTTGATATTTTGTTCTAGTATACAAAATCTCTCTTTTTGTATGATTTGAAAGAAATTCAACCACACATTTTTTGCCCACAAAGTCTGAAATATGGCCTATCAGACCCCTGTAAGAAGAATGTGAAATCAGACATTAGACTTGAGAATGAGCCTTATTTTAGAATTATCAATTGATCTATTGCAAATTTGTGTAATACTTTTAATAAAGATAACCTTTTTGTTGCTTTAAGTTAGTAAATCAACTTGATACTGGAAAATTTGAGTAAAATATTAAGTAAAAATAGGACAAAAGTAGCGTCAGATTTGAAAATTTACATGTAATTATCCGACAGTTTAAGTTTTCTTAAGAGAAAATGTATAATTCAATTTTTACAAAAAATCAACAGAATGATTCAAATGGGTCCTAAAATAAAATGTGTAAAAATAAAGAAAATTGAACCGGTAGTTTCAGATAATTTTTGCAATCAAAAAAATTTCAATGGCAAAAAAACTAAAAGATTCAGTAGATGACGTCACAATATTTGACCTTTGACCTCTTGATATGACCTTGACCTTAGTAGTACATAACGAATGGAGACTCCTTATATACGTGTCCAAATATCATTCCTCTACTATGTGTGGAACAAAAGCTACACTGCATTTTATAAAAGACTGTCACATGCTTGTTTATTACACTTAGTTAGCATAAAAACATTCCAAAATGTAAGCCCCCAAGTGACCAATATATAGGATTCTCTGATTTTTTCACAAATTTAAATATGACGCAAACATGCCAAACTTATTATTTTTCTTACAGGGATCATTCATTGTTGTCAATATAGTAATATTATTCTTCTTTTCTCCGGTACTTTTTAAGAAATGGGTTTAAATAGAATCCACGGGTGTTTTGTCCTACTTTAAATGTCCAGATCATTCAGACAATTTGGTCAGCTGACTGCAGATGGGTAGACTTTTCAAATGCTTTACAGATGGAACAATTTGTAGTGACTGATGACAATCTTTTCAAAAGATTTTAATTAAGTGTGCTTACTTTAATAGATACAAAAACAAATTACTATTTCCCATGATTGATAAACATCTATTGTGAAATCACTAATTTTTGTGGTGTTTAATTTTTGTTGTTTTTAAGGTATGAAGAGACCAACAAATTTATGACCACCACAAAATAGAAATTTTCACATATTTTACTTCCCAACAATTTGTCATCCATGAAATGAAATCCCCACAAATGTATTTTTTCCCCCTCAAAACACGAAAAATTGACACCACTAAAACGTGATTTTAAAGTATCAGATAATAGGGAATCATTAAATTCAAAAGTATTTTTAGTGGGTCAAAAAAGTTAATTGCTTTTAATTTCCATGAAAGCTTTTTGTGTTAAAATCAATGTAGAATTTCTAACATTTATATCAAATAATTTGGTCACTTAAATTCAATTCCTGCACCTTCATGCAACCCATCCTAGTTCTGTATTAAAGAAAGAAATCAAGATTTTTCAGTGCATTAAATATCATTAGAAGTGTAACACATCTGCAATATGATTGTAATTTCAAAAATATTTCTGGAATTGTAACATTATTAACTGTACCTAAATGAGGTATAAATGTGGATATCCTATGGGCATAAAGTGTGCCTCAGGGTATGCAATGCACCGACACAACGTCCAATTACAGTTCATTCCCACCAAATTTTTACATCAGATGGCCCGATAAAAAACCATATGTAACAGATAATCATCTGTCTGAATTCAAATTAAGAGACTTGGAATACTTCATATAATGAGTAAGAAATCCTCCATTAGACCGACTCTGACAGACAAGGATAAAACACAACAGAGACGAACATGAGGGTAAGTCTTAGATTTATAATATAGACTTTTTTATCTTCCTTCTGTGCCTGTTTGAAACATAACCAGGATGCTTATATTAAAATAAAATAACAGGCATGGTCTAGCTTTTCTTTAAAAAATCAACATCTTATAAAAAATTGAAAGTTGTTTAACCTATGATAACCTGAGTTTTTTTTTTTTTTTTTGTATTGTTTTCACAATTTAAAAAAAAATTAATTACATATGTTCATGTTTTCTTTATTTTCATGAACTAATAATTGGCCCTTAGATAAAATATCTAATATACTCATGTTCTAGTGTATTATTCAATTTTTAATCGATTCAAGCATTCTTAACATTAAAATAGACCAAGATAAATATATTAAACACTTTGTTTGCAAATAAGTAAACAGTATTGATTTCTTTTCATTCATTACTTTTTCCCATCTACCAATTTACTTTGAGATAAATGCCAAGTACATGTATCCTATGATGAAAAAGAAATAAATAGCTCAATATTTATAACTTTAAAATACAGGGTCATAATGTTGCAATGCTTAAAAAAAGTTAGCTTTTGTGTATAGAAGCCGGTTCTCATAAAAAGATTTAACATCACTGTCTTAAAAGCAATTTCAATAGGTATTTATTATTGATGTAATGATCACTTTCCCTTTAATATTAAAGATAACTGTTAAAAGTTTACTTGTATTATTCACAAAACTTAGGGATCACAATAAAGAACTACAGTTACTGTAATGTGCAGACCTTTCTTTACTTGAACATTTTTTTTTTATTCTTTTAAGCAACCTTGATGACATATGAGTGTGTAAACATGTAAAAATTAAAGAGATAAAAAGTTATCATCTTCTTGCTTTTGAAGAAATCTGTTTTTATTGGATGAAAATAATAGTTTTTTTCCTATTTTTTTGTAGGTCTTTATAACAGTGGCAATTTTTTATATAACCACTTCTATCACAGAAAGTATTTTTTTCGGGGTTTATCCAACTCGAGGAAACAGCCTAGCATGTCGTAAAAGAGGTCAGTACAATGCAGGTAGATCTACAGTCATCCGCCAAAAGTATTTGTAAAAAATCATTATGGCTGCCAAGTATAAACACAAACAGTATCATGTTTTACCGTAGGCTCTATGATGTATGTTTACATTGCCACAAATGTCAATGTATCAACAGGTAGATCATGATAAGATCTATGTTTATATTGTCATGAATGTCAATGTATCAATGATATTCTACTCCGTCAGTGCAAGCAATTTTTGATTGATTTTGAAAAAGGGAAGATTAAAATTATCTTGGAAAAGAAATATTCATCAACCATTATTCCAATCAATTCATGAAAGAGTCACCTAAAAAACGATTGATGAGTACACACCAAAATTTACAACCAACATCACAAGAAGACATTTTCACAATAATTCACAAGATGCGATCCTTTGTGAAACACTATACAGCACAGTCAGCACTGACCCAGTGCTTCTCAATAAGAAGTCAAAAATGTGAAAATATGACAATGCATGGGTCTTATTTAGACGATCAGATTACCCACAAGTTATTAGAGTTTTCTTGTATGGCAATTATGTAAAACACAGAAATAATACTGTAACCAGAATGATCACAAAACCTTCATAACCATTCAAAATTCTTGTATCTTTTTGCATAAAAAGTAAAGGATATTGTAAAGGCAACCTGAAATTTTACAATTTTCTTATTTGATTACAGAGAATACAATGCCATATTATTTTGGAGAAACTGATTTAGCCTGCATGAATTTTGGAGTCAGGCGAATTAATCGAGATCGTCGCACACCTCCCAGCAGATTTACTTTTAAATTCTCCCATCGTTGGATCTATATCGATGGCATGTACCTAGAATTTGGAAATCGTGTTGGACGTGATGCTGCTCTTGTTAAATACGACTACCCTAACCTTGGTAATGTCTGTACCATGACAAAAGAAAAAAGACCAGCAGGTTATACGAGATTAAGTAGGGGATGTATCAAAAGTTGCATTCATCACTACGTAGATAAATTTGGTAATTACGGTTTCTACACAAACAACTGCCACCATTTTGTAAATAAAATATCCATTCTGCTCTGCTTGGGTAAAAAGTGTCCCAAGTGGTGCAAGTATAGCCCTGAGGATGATGGGAAGGTAGACCAAGAGAACGAGGATGAGATGGAGGCAGCGATGAAGGAGATCGACGAAACGAGGGTCCCGAATCCTCATTAAGACATGACAGAACTAAGACAGAGAAGACAGCAAACAGACAGCAGCATATACAATTCTAGGTTTAACAGTGTCTGAAACACATTGAATTTTGAAATAAAAATGCCTCTGCTTCTTATATGTTTTTTTTTTTCATTTCTATTATATTACAAAAGAAAAAGTTTCAAAGCATTGTTTAATATCTTATCTAAATCATTATAATTCTAAAATATCAATTTTTTTTGCACAAATTATGAAGTCCCTACATACATGTGCCATAGACTATAGGAAATAAGAATATTATGGGTTTTAATAAACTTAATAATAAGAATAAGAGTAGAAATTCCAAAACATCAAACACAGGGGGGATTATTTGATGTGAAATAATCCTATTCCTTTACCTGTTCTTCTGGTCTATAACTAGAGCTTTGGGATGATGAAGGTAAGACACCACGGTAGTACAGTAGTCCCCGTTCCCCAGACAGGCCAGAATCTCCCCCCGGTCACTATCAACTACATATAAATGTCCAGTAGTCCAGTCCACGTCCATTCCCTCCGGGTTCTTCAGGCCTGTGGAAGAAAGGTCATTGAATCATTTCCTAACTTAAGAGATGACTCTACATCCTCTGTATAACTAAACATAGTTATGATGCAGGCTTGGATTTAACTCATGAAATGAAGCATTTTGCTCTAAAGAAGAGCAGTACGAAAACACAAAATCATCAAGATAACTCCATTCATATGAGTAAAAAGTCAATCCTTTTCCTCAGTAAGAGAAGGAATACACTATAATGGAATGGATCACACAAACCATGAATCACTTGTACTCCCCACATTACCGACCTACTAATTGTCATAGCTTTCACAATGAAGGTCAAGACAAAATAAACTGTTCAATACAACATTAAGTCGTACCCATGTTAATGACTTCCTTTTTGTGAGCCTTCCAGTCCCCATCTAAGTGGGAGGAGTAGATCTTCTGATGGCCCAGGTCACTGAAGTAGAGCACCTGATCTGGTCCTAAAGCTGACAAAATGATACAAACAATGCTCAATTTTAATGAATTCAGTAATTCACTCTCTGTTTTTTTCCACATGCACATTACATTATGAAACTGAGGTAAATGTGCTCTGATACTTCACCTACCCATACTTTTGATTTCATCCTGATCTTTCACATACAATTTAGCATCTTCTGTGTTGATTGGTAATGATCTATTCTGAAGCATTTCATACCCCAGGATTTCACCACCATGAGCCAGTAGAAAGATAGGAGATCCTGGATGTAACAAAGCCAACGTTAGTCATTACTAATGGAACTAGAGGTACTCTGGGCACTGAGCTCACAAATTGATTCCCCCTGCTCCCATATGAGTACGATGGTACACGTTCTTGTTTTGCAATGAGAAACCCCTAATATATGTCTAATGATTGCACTGGACAAAAAAAAATAAATTATAACAATGGAACTACATAATAAAGATTGTGTGCATTAAGTTTCATTGTATTCTATACAATGGTATAGAAGGATCAAGTTGAGAACAAGAGATAGGGAAACTTCCATCACCATGTTATAGATAAAATGGCTAAGTCATTGTTTTGCTACGGCAAACCCTAAATACGTCAAATGAGAACAGGAAGTCCACAATGGCACTAGTTATAATTGTATTGCAGGATTCTGTGAAAGTCTAAAACTTATTCATTAGTACATGAGGTGTTGTGGTTAAGAGACATTGGTACCTCAAATAATACAGAGAGAATGGAAATGTTCAGGATTAGCTATAGGAAACCCCAAATATCTCTATGATTGAAATGAAAAATGGAAAGTGCCCAATGGCACTTTGGAGCAAAGATTCTGTGAAAGTCTCATTAAATTTTATTTAGGGATAGGAGGATTTTTAATACTATAAATAGTAAAAAGATAATAAGTATCAAGCATACAAATGTATTCAATGTTTAAAAAAAAATTTTAAACAGGATAAAAACCCTTTATAGTTTAATACAAGTGAATCCGACTTTACCTTCAACCCTGCACTTCCCCTCATCTGCGAGTCTGTATCCATGGTAACAGGAGCATGTGTAACCACCAGGGGTGTTCTGACACACATGATTGCACAATGGTGGTTCCCTGTACTCACACTCATCAATATCTGTAATACTATATACTGTAGATCACTAAATTTTCGCGACACCTTATCTTCACAAGATAGTCATTGACTCTTGATTAGCGAGAAAAAATTTTCGCGAATTGTGGTTATTGCTCTATATAACCTTACGGAATACTATTATACGCGAGAATAAAATTTTCGCAAGCACACTGTCTCGCGTAATTACGCGAAAATAAAGTTCTCGCGAATAAAAAGTGATTTACAGTACTTTGTATTGCCAAAAATATTGTAAGCAGAATTTTATCAAACTTAAGTTATTTCTTAATAATTTTTGTTCAATTTAATAAATGTGTTTTACAGTGTGACCGTTGGGACGAGCACAGTTGTACCATCAAAAACACTTGAAAAATTGATCAGTCACTTCAAACATTAAGCCGCACGAGAAATCTCGACTAGCTGTGACTTTACACGACGTCACAGAGCTTGTCCCAGATTACGGAGACAGCCGAGCGTCTGGTTGAAACTATTGACATAGTGCAATTTTGATCAAAAAAGCATTGCAGAGTTATTTTTTGTTTCTTTGACAGAATTCTACAAACAGAAAGCCTTTTATGCTTTAAGTTATTATTTATTTATTTGCGAAAAGAACATTGGGTAGTAAAGGAATTCTGGGAATGTTTCACAGAAAAATTTGCCTTACATATGTACAGATTTCATTCCAAACTTCCTCTGTTCTTACACGTTAGTCTATTGAGCTCGCTTCGCAATGCTCGCTGCGCTCGCTATAAAGTTTTACATCCTAAAATAAGTGCCATATTACTTGAAACACTTTTTGAACAAAACAAACAGCAGCAGATTGAATTTTTAACAGTGTTTTTTTTTTTCTTTTGCATTAATAATATTTATAAATTAGAGACACAGTACCTATGCATGTGTGGTTCTTGAGTTTGTGGAATCCTGGATGACATGTACAGGAGGCCCCTGTGGGAGACGCTACACAGATGTGGTGACATTTCCCGGAATCACACTCTCTCTTGGCCTCCTCTGTAAAAGTGACCAATCATTACACATTACTAGAGATTAAAATACTGTTTGAATTGTTGCTGTCTGATGGAACTGTCAAACTTTGTTATGGCCCAACATTGTTTTCATTCAACCTATCAATAAATCTTTAGTTAAATATTTTATACTGCTTTGTAAACAAGGAATACATGTACAAGCAATGCAGCTGACATTGACAATTATCTATGGGTAATATTTTGAGAAATCTGACTCAGATCTGCCGGTGAAGGCCTAAAGATTATTCCAGTGGTTATAGATTTGTAAGTTCTCACTACACTGTCCCCCCTCATCTGTTTAATCTAATGGTTATAGATTTGTAAGTTCTCACCACACTGTCCCCCCTTCTGTTTAATCACCGGTAAGTTCTACACTGTCCCCCCTCCTCTGTTTAATCTAATGGTTATAGTAGCACACAGTAATGGTTATAGACCTCACACTGTCCCCCCTCCCTGTTTAATCATTTAAGTTCTCACCACACCCCCCTCCTCTGTTTAATCTAATGGTTATATAGACCTCCACATTGTCCCCCCTCCTCTGTTTAATCTAATGGTTATAGATCCACACTGTCCCCCCTCCTCTGTTTAATCTAATGGTTATAGATTGTACCGGTAAGTTCTCACCACACTGTCCCCCCTCCTCTGTTTAATCTAATGGTTATAGATTTGTAAGTTCTCACCACACTGTCCCCCCTCCTCTGTTTAATCTAATGGTTATAGATTTGTAAGTTCTCACCACACTGTCCCCCCTCCTCTGTTTAATCTAATGGTTATTGAACAGTAAGCCCTCACCACACTTTCCGCCCTCGTCTGTTCCGTCTCTGCAGTCCCGTGCCCCGTCACACACTCGACTGATGTTCAGACATTGCTGGTTGTTCCCACACAGATAGAGACTTTCCTTCTTACATTGCTCATGGGGATCTGTCAATAGTGCCGAAATAAAAGAAATGATCAGTTCATTTGTGATTCCACTTGTATTCCAAGTTAGTAAATTTCAATTTGCTTCTATAGGTATGGTTCTCTACTTTATTACAAGTTTACCAGTGTTGTATTTTTTTCAACAAAGATTAACCAAACAAGTATTGTATATCATTAGCAAGGCAAATTATGAAAACATAAACTACTGAAAGCAAATTACCACAGATGTCCTCATCAGATGCATCAGAGCAGTCGTGGGCTCCATCACAAACCAGTGACCTTGATATGCAGTCTTCTCCACTGAGGCACATAAACTGGTCCTCGTGACAGAGGTGATCATCAGCTACAGGATGTTTGTTAAGAACTGTATTATCCATTAGAAACATTGCAATTATTTCCATTTGTTTAATTCACAAATTTCAGATTATTCTACTTTGCATTAATTTACTTCATATTAAAAGTCCTTTGTGAACAGGGCATTAGAATTACCAATACAAAATAGGGAATAGCAAGGTCAAGGTTGCAGGGAAAGTCAAGGTCAGATAATTGTCTCACATTGAATCACTCTCATCAATATGTATCAGTGTATAATTTTGGTTAACAAGAGATGTTTGTAAAACACTTATGCCCCCTCCCTCAAATAATTGGAATTTTTCTTAGTCCATGGGGTTTAACTCTGTCCAAAATATCTCAATTGTACCCAGTGCACAACCTAGAAATTCTTATTATAAATCTGTATACCAAATTCCACTTCAATGTGTGCAACCTCAGCATAGAAAATGAACTGAAACTGCAAATAATTGGAATTTTTTTAAGTACAAGGGACATAACTCTGTCCAAAATAGCTCAATCATACCCAAAAACAGAACTTGACCTAGATATTCAGTGCAACCTCTGCGAAGAAAATGAATGGAAACTAATAGTGGACCGACAGACCGACCAACCGACAGACAGCAGCAAAGTAATATGCCCTCCCTTTTTGGGCATAAATATCTTGAACATGTGTCATCACTGTCAAAACACAATTTAACTCAGGGGCTTACTAACTTATTGTATATGTTTTATACATGTATTAAAAAGTGTATTCAATTATGCCCTTTTGGCAGAAGGCACTTTCTGCTAAAGCAAGTACATAAAAGTTATTTGTAAATATAAGTATCTAATATTAAGAGTGCATTCAGAAAGCAATAGGGCAAATCATAGTGACTTGTAAATCAATTTTAGCTACATACTGTAAATTGTTTTAATTCCATGGTGTTAAAATTTCACGATATCTCAAAAAGTACCATTTGCGATGGTTTTAATTTCACGCTGCAAGAAATTAATTCAAAATTTTCTATTAGCAATTTAACATTATTAAAAACTAATAATAACATTCACGATGGGTTTAATTTCGCGGAAAATTAATAAATCGTGAACAGAGCGAAATTAAAACCATCGTGAATATTTGCCAATTTACAGTATGCTACATGCAATACTTAATACAGACAATGATGTTACCTTTCCTCCTTTGACAGAAGAGTTCGTCCGATTGGTCCTTGCACTGCGATGTGCCATCACATATCTTGATTCTGCTAATACATCCCACTCCATCCAGGCAGGCTACCTCCCCATCAGGACAAGCACCTACATTGAATATTGTGTTCATCAAATGTAGGAATCTTTATTTAAGTATAGTAGCATTCACTCTTAACCTTTGAAACTCTTTAGGGAAGAATGCAACAGAAGAAGCAACAACTTTTGGCAAGCTTAAGTTTTTCTAGTCCCTAGGCAAGTTTTGGATTTTTGATTGTTCTGCATAGGAGAATGCAGAACAAGAGGTCCATGGGTCACAATGCTTACCTGAATCACTTTGGACCTACTGTGAATAACAAAATATGTTTTTTGATCAATCATGGATTCATGGTCTTGCTGTTCATGAGGATTTTTTTTTGATTTTTTATTTTGACATTTCTATTTAAAACTTTGATTCCCCAGCATCCCCCTCCCTTAACCCTGGGAGCAATGATTTTAACAAATTTAACTCTGTAGTCTGTATTACCCAGGAAGATTTTTCATTTTTTTTTTACTTAAAATCTTATGTCAGGAACCATGTTTTGAAGGAAATATATGACACAGTAATCAGAAAAAGAACAAACTGATTATTCAAACATAAAACTAAAACTATGATAAGAATATTAAATGGCAGACATAACAATTTAATTTTGGAAAACATTGTGAAAAACATGTTTTTTAAGTCAGAAAATCAAAATTATTATATATGTATTGTTTTGTTATTAAAATGATATTTTTCAACAGTTTTTTAAAAAGGGGTATCACACCAAATGCACCCCTTGACATCTCTGCTTGGGGATAATGTGAAAAAAGCCAAAAAATTTGACGTTGACAGACAATAACACATGGACATTGAATATTCTTTGATCAGAAACCATTATCTCCAGTGAGCTAAAATCTCATCAAGCAGTTACTTTTCATATATTTTTTGAGCATTTACAATTTTTAACATTAATCACACAGAGGCTTGGGGTCAGAATAGTTTTAGTATCACAGAGTATGAATTTTTAAACAAGGCTAGTTTTAGCTAATAATTTTCGAGGGGTGAAAATTTTCAATGTTGCACTTAACTACAGGAAATATTTACTACAGTGGAGTCGCCAATTCCGGGTCGTCTCCAATTCCGGGTCACTTGCGTGTATTTTATGCCATAGTGTTAAAATTTAAGAGCAAAAAACTTAATGAATACGCTGGTCATGAAGAACTGGTCTTTCTATATGTAATTAATTACAAAATTTTGAATATCAACTTTAAGAGAGCATCTGACAATCGAAATTCTGAAACGCACGCATTAAAGACTTGGATGTTTCTGCTGCGGTGACTGGCTACTTTCGTTTTTGTTCGCTGCAGAAATTTAAGGCTGATATAAAGGTTCTAGATAAATAATAAGAGCTCGAAAGTATGGCAAATGCATTTAGTTTTAACTCAGAAATCAATCATAATGATCGCTATTCAAATAAAATTATAATTATTATTAAATCAAACTGTAGTAGCTTCTCCAATTGCGGGTCACGCAATCTCGTGGCATGATCGAACATGTCAAAATTCTATGTACAAAACCAATCGACAACCATGTATTTACCCTGATTATCAAAAGTATTCTAACTGGAAAATATTTGTTCTAAAAACTAAAATCGAGTTAACCCTTCAAATGCATTTTTTAAATAAATGAATTTAATTGGATTATTTTTTATCCCAAACATTTTTTTAATTAATGCATACCAGTCTAGTCGAACCCTCAAATGGGGGTAAACGGAAGTAGGAAAACCGTACCCTTAAACGGGGGTACGCGCATGCGCAGACACTCAAAAAAGTACCGTTTTCACGGAAAAAAGTGTGGTCCACAAAATATGCTCGTGCAAAGTGATGGATTATTTCGTAGCTCTGTATGTACTCAAATTTGATAGATTAAAGATGTTTAAAGAGATTGTATTGCGAAAAAGTATATGTTTATTGCAAAAATCGAGACTTTTTCTCTCCCAAAGTTGGCATATTCTGTGCCTAATTGACCTCCATGCTTGATACAACTAGATTTTCTTATTCATAATTTAATAAAACGGTTGAATAAATAAACAATGATTTGTTTAAAGTTGAACTACATATAATTCCCTTCCCCGGTATTACAAATTTTGTGTAATTAACATGTTATTTATTATTTTTCTACACTTTCTTGTGTGCCCGTCCAAATTTCCTCTGTCCTGTAAACAAACTTTTGTGCTTCAGCAATGAGGTAAATAAAAACGAAAAAAATTTCATTTTATTTTTTTAATTGAAAACAAAGGTGTAGACAATTCATTTTCATATGTTTGTGATTTTTTAAAAAAATATCTATTTTTTAAATAAGAAGAGTTATCGTTCTTGAATTCCACTTCCGCTTTCGCCCATTGCATTAAGGGAAGGAAAAACTCTCGTTTGAGGGTATACCCCCGTTTGAGGGTTCGACTAGACTGCATACTGCAATTTGTTTTGTTATAATTGTTTTAAAAAAAATTTAAACATATATCTGGGGTTGTTTTACTTTTTCTCCAAGCTGCATGAATTGTTTTATGTTATAAAATGTTATGAAATACCCCTGTAAATATTGTTCCCGTGTAGCTTCTTTGAAAACGAAAAGGTGTTTGGATGACTCACTATTTGTTCTTTCAATACATATATTGCATAAAATATAAATTGAACAGATTTGCAAAATATCAACGAAACATCCTGACGTGACCCGGAATTGGCGACTTCACTGTATATTAATTATACTGAATGTTTTATACAAATACATATTACAGTTAACCTTGCGCGCAGTCAACATTTTTAAATATCACCTGTTGTCAAGCAATGTTGACTGATGCTACACTGGAGCGCGTGGCTTCATTATTCAGCGGGTAATATAATAGCGTTTTTTATACAAATGTTTCTCGACTAATCAGATTCAACCAATTTACACGAGAGTTATATAATATTCAATAATGTTTTACAACACTAACATTGTAATTATATGATCATATCAGATAAAAATGCATTCGACATATAAATCTTACCAGCCGAAAATCCCATCAATAATACATGTAACAGAGACAAATCTAACAAGTAAATTGTACTCCGCAACAGCATCATCTATCTAGATAGAAACGACAAAGGGGCGCTGGTTAAAGGTTCTCCTTCCCTCTCCGGTCTTTGGGAGAAAAATCTCGTGCCACTGCTGACCTAAGCAATGTCCTTCACCTTGGTGCTCAGTCATGCGTATATTCTAATTTCTTGTCTTCCTGTGTGAAATAATACCAGTCTCTGATCGTCGACTTGTGTTTCATATAAAAAGATCATTTTTATCGTAATCGATTTTAATATTAAAATAGGATGTTTGTAATATCAATATCATAACCGATTTCTTCAGCGTGTTCGAATCGTCTTTAGAAATGAACACTACGAATAAACCTTACCGAATTCAATCATCATTGCATGGTTCATGATAATGTTCTTTCCTTTGCCAACATATTCACCATTTTTATGTCTGAATATCATGAGGGGGGGGGGCCAACATGCTTCTCCCTATCCTGAATTTGCAATCAGATTGGTGAAAAACATGTGATACATACCATAGATCAAGTGCGCTGCATCTTATCCATGAAAGACATCCGTGACTACGAAATATTTCTATATAATTTGTGCAAACGGAAAGTCCGAATATTTCATAAATTTCTAAGATTAAAAAATGGTACTAAAAGAAGTTGGTACCTATACACCTTTTTCTGCTTATCAAGTTTTTTTTTAAGGTAAGTTAACTTTTCCCCCCCCCCCCTCCCCCACTTTCAAAAACGATGCTACGCCCCTGTTTTTAAACAGAAAAACGAATAAACTCATTTCAACAGCTAAAAATTTAATAAATTAATAATAAGAATGAGATCAACTTTTATCACAGGTCGTAACAATTTTGACACAAACATCTGAGCACCAAATTTAAATATATTCACATACTCTGCATACTAGTATTTGTTGCAAAGGTGAAATCAGAAAACAAGAGATACTCCTTTAGATGAGGAGGTATATCTAAGGTACGGACCGCCTTCTGAACACTGACGGGTTTGATATTATCACTGATGACTAGTCTGGATAGGTGCTGAAGACTGGAAACTGACTTGTTTTCCAGTCGAAGTCTTTTATACAGCTCCTGTACCTTGTTTCTTCCAACTTTCTTTTTTCCATTATTCCCGGGCTTGCTTTGCTTGTTTATAAATCCATATTTTATTAACTGTCTGGCTATATTCATCCTTGACTTTGAGTGAAAATTAACCGTGTCTGTAGCGAATTTCAGTAACTTTGTGAGTGGTGTTTCTCCTTCGCTGTTCACAAGATTAAATTTGGCCCCATGCTTGATCAAAGTTTCAATAGTCTCCGCGTTGCACCGAGAGCAAGCTATGTGTAAAGGTGTGTCATGGTGAATAACGTCTATTTGGTTGACGTCACAGCCCAAATCCACAAGACTTGAAATAACGTCAGGGGAGTGAGCCGCTGCAACGTGTATGGGTTGTTTTCCGCTGATTCCCGCACCTCTTGGATCCACTCCTCGAGAAACTAACCAACTTACTAAGTCAGCCTGTAAGCAAGAGAGTTTTATTATTTCAAAGTCCATTTTCATGCACAGGGAACAAATGGAAAACACATACCACAGTCAGATATTAATATCTTACCTTATTCGAGATATCAGACATAATAATTGGAAATATGACTGTTTCTCCTCTGTTGTTCTTCAATGAAAGGTCGGCACCGCCCTCGATAAGTGCTTTCATCAGATTCCCCTGACCCTGGGCTACAGCAGCGTGTAGGAATATCGTACCGTTAGCCTGTCCATTGGGGTCTGCGCCCCTCTTTATCAGAGTACCACAAACTGCATCCTTTCCATGCGTGACGGCAATTGTGAGTAGTTTTGTGACGATGGTACGTTGAGTAAGCGTGATCGTTAGGAAATTCTCATCCACATGATCTAGCAGTATCTTCAAAGACTCCAGTGAACCAGACTTCACAACACTTGTTAAAAGTTCCATACATTGACTAGAATGATCCGAAATTTTCGTTGTTTCAAAATGAGTTTTCAGTATTGCGTCCACCACGTCAAGATGCCCCATTGTCGTGCAGTAGTGTAAAGCTCGCATCGCCTCCTCTTTCGATGCAGATGGGTCGACCAGATCCATGTTTAAAATTGTCTGAAAGGAAATAGAATGGCCAGATTTATGTACCTCCGTTCTTTTCTATATATTCGATCAATGCATACTATCTTTGCAAGATATATAACTGTATTCAGCGGCAGCTCACACATATTGGTCCGACCAAAATAATTCCATCATGATAAGTAGATACAACATTATTGTTCATGATGTTTAAAGTTGTGTATGTCATACGTTAAAGAAATCAAAAATAACGTCAAAATATCATAGAAAGTCACTTTCCCCCCGAAATGCAAATAAAAAATATCAATATTCCTACGCTCGCTCCCTCCTCAGCCTTTTTTTTTTTTTACGTGTTTGATAACAGAGAATAATTAGGTCATTCTTCGATTCATATCTTTTCACCAATGAATTGATAATACTATATCAACAATTGTATTAAGTACATGTTTATAGTCCGTTAATTATCATACAATTTGTTCTTAAAGAAAAAATTAATCATTCTAGCAGCTGTGTGTGTGTATTATTAAATGACGGAATTTTCAATCCCTGGCCTGCTCGTGTGTACACTTTGTAAACTGTAGGGTATGTGTGACAAAACGAGAACTGCATGGGTTGGAGATTCGGGTTCGTGTTGAAGTTCAGCATACCATTATATATAGAAATTGAATTATGTAAGTAATTTCTGCGACAAATATATTAGTATATTTCAGTTATTTTCAAAACAAAAAAGGTTTTCCATGTTTTCAGTTTAGAATTTTCCGACCCGGTCCTGATTTTCCCAGCCCGGCCATTTTAAACACAAGTTGTTGCAGATGCAAATGTTAGAACAAACTATATAAAGTTCAACAGGGATTGTATAATTTTTATTAATCAGAATTCGTATTTATATGATCTAATTAAGAAAAGAAAAGTTTTGTCTGACATGTACTTCTTGTTTCTCCGAGCTCGCTGGATGCGTGTGACAGCTCCATTGCACGTGTGTAGAAAGGCTACAGGTACAAGTAGGCCTATGTGTACTGTTTGTTAGGAGACTGGGTGACCGTAATGCTATGGAATCACGATATTTACAACAGTTCCATAATTAGACAGTGAAGTTTTTTTTTTATTAACGTCATTATAAACACTGTTAAACATATTAAATCTAACAGTCGAATATCTTTGGATATGGGGTAACCCATATCTATTCTTGTTAATGATATTCTACAACACATTACCACCATGATGATACATGCGACGAATTTAATAGGATTACACCTCCATATTTATGTTCCCCAAACGAAGTTGGGGAACATATTGTTTTTACTCTGTTTCTTATTATTATTATTTTTCTTCTTCTTCCTGGGTACTTTTTTGTCCGGGAATGATCTTGTAAACTGTTCATCCGATGTAGGTAAAACCTTTTTAGGGTTAGTAGACATGTTATGTAGATTTGCCTAGTCAAGGTCATTTTACGCGCACGTGCTTGCAAGAGCGCGCACGTGCAATATGTTAAATGACCAATATAATGGATATTGCTGTAACTTTTCTTTTTTTTGATGATTTTTTTTTTAAACTCATAATGTAAGGATACATTAGTAGTATAGACAAGATGGCATGGTCAAAATAGCAAGATCTCACGCGCATGCACGTGTGCTTCGCTCTGATTGGCTGAAATTAAAGTCTCAATATCTTTCTTGTTTCTTGTCATAATCTTTTGAAATTTTGAACATAGACCTACATTATGAAGATCTACAGCATAATATATAAAAATGTTCATGAAAGCATGCGCATGCGCACGTGCTACAATCTGGTTGGCTGAAAATTTAAATGGCTATATCTCCTTTGTTTTTTGACGAAATGCTTTGAAATTTAAAACATTGTCATGCATTAGGATATCCTAAAATATGATATAGAAAAATATTCATGAAATCACGCGCATGCACGTGTGCTGCAATCTGATTGGCTGAAACTTTATATGCCTATATCTCCTTTGTTTTTTGCTGAAATGTTTGGAATTTTAAAATAGTCATTCATTTAGATATCCTTTAATACAATAAAGATAAAAATATATGAAATCACGCGCATGCATGTGTGCTGCAATCTGATTGGCTGAAACTTTAAATGGCTATAACTCCCTTGTTTTTCAACCAAACAGGATGGGATTTAGAACATAGATAAATATAAGGGACTCCTACAAGAAGGTGTAGTCATTATGCACGTGCGTGCACGTGAAATCAGTAAAATTAAAAATACACTCGAATGAGTGTATTTTTTAAATACTTTTGGATTAAATGCTTTGATATTAAGTATATTAAAATTTAAGGTAGTGTAGACAAGATTATATGGTCGTTACGCACAAGAACACGCGTGTAATGCCTATTTTTAAATATATTTTGAATTTTTCTAGGAAGACCTTGATTAAGTCTAAATTCCATAAAGTATTTCTTATTTAATAGAAATTACAGGGAATATGGCACCAAAAGGGAGTTGGGGAGCGTTTGGGGAACATCTGTAACGGTCCCCGTTACAATTAGCACTAGTTAAATATTGTGGTTGTAATATGTCACGGGATAAGCTGACTGCGCTTCCTCATAGGAAAGTTATTTTTGTAAGAAATGAAAAATTTATTGGGTGGCAGTTTAAAAAAACCACATATCGATAAACAATCGATCAGTGTTATCTGTTACAATTCAATAGTCTATGTAGATATACGGTGTTTTAATGCCTCACCTTCGGCATAAAAATCAGTGGGTGGAAATTGATGGTGTATTACCTCCTTAAATCTTTGAAACATAACGGTATAATAACGTCGGATAGATCTTTATGAAACAGTGTTTGCATTAAGGATATTAAAGATAGCGAACTTTGAAATATATGTATAGATATCCATTTTAATTACCCCGATATTCGAAACGGAATTGAATTTCATGAGTCAGGACTTGATTTTCCCGCGCAAAGCTAAATACACGATTGCATTACAATATTATCTCTAGTTAACGAGAAAGATACATACTTTACCATTTTTTTCTTTAAAAAAATCGAAAATTGAAATAGACGTAGTGTACTTTTTTCAGTTTAATAGTGGTATATGCAGGCATCATTGAAAAGTGTCGTTCTGACCATTCTTCATAATCGGATTATTGGGATATTTTCCCATTAAACTTGTCATTATTTTATAAATTCAAAAATATGTGGTGTTCTTGATCAAAACAACTTTAATTATTCTTAAAGGTTTTTTTTAAATGTATTACTGCAGATAAGTTTTTTTTTTATGTATTACTACAGACAAAATTTCACGAACGATTTCGCTATTTTTTGAGAAAATATCTCTGAGAAATTCCTTTAATTATATTTTTCAAAGAATAAAGACGTACCTTTCTCTTGTAAAACCGTTTTAAGAATGAGAATTGTCAGAGTCTGTGCGATCTATAAGTACAGTATACCCGACCTGTGGCATCAATCGGGTGTCACGTGTCATCTTTGAGTATACAGTCTGTATAATCATCAATAGTTAATTGATGACATTTACGATGACTATTACGCATGACTCTAATTGCACCCAGGTATATCTTGAACAAATTAATTCACGTCTTAAGAAAACTTTGATGATTGTGGCTTCCAACTGTAAACAGTTAAACGCTTTGATTTCTTCATGGCTTCATATAGCCTCTTTAGAAAACGTTCATGTTTTAAAGTAATTCTATTTCTACGTGAGTGATTAATTGTAAACATTACGAGAGTCGCCTTTTAGAGTGAAAGGGTTTTTTAGTTTGTGTGACTGATTGATAAATGAATTCCTTGTCCGATTTAAAGTACCAATAGGTAAACACAAAAATTGATTTCATTTTCAACTTTTTTTTTTCTTATTGAACATCTCTTCCATCAAGTGATGACATCATCATTATAAGCAGTACTTTGTCAGTAATAAAAATATGAATCAAGACTTTTTAAGATTGTGCTTGATACATTAAATTGCATAAACATGATAAAAACAAGTGGGTGCAACTTACCAATTTCAGTGGCGTTTGGCAAGGGTACACTTTTACACATATCTATAGAACAGCTTGTATAAAGTCACACAATGTGTTTTAACGTTTAAAATACGGCGTTTAAATGAAGGCTTTGTTGTCTTCAAAGGTTTTATCAATAATCTGTCTGCAAAGTCTTACACAGGTGTAAATATAGATTTACAAATACTATGGGGAATCGGCCAAAGCTAATACATTCTGAATCAGGCCGATATAACAAGGACACCCTTCCTTGTTGTGTATAGAAATAAATTGTTCCAAGAACCATTAGTTTCCACATTCATTGATTAAGACTGAATAGCCAACCACTCTTTTAAGCTTATTTTTGGAAAAGTTAATCTACACCATAAAATGCTTGGTATAGTTTGAAGCACTCTAATTAATCTGAAACCCTGAATATCTTGCGTAAAATAAATGGTACTCCAACCACTCAAAATTCTGAATACATATTATATGTCGCATCTGCACGACACCACATTTACAGTTTTATTTAAAAAATACTCCAAAGAAGCAAATATATTATATTTTTATCCAGTTGAACTAGAAAAATTCTGTTCTTATTATACACCCTTCTTCTTCTTTTCCCATTTAAATAAATAAAAATCTTTTCACATGAGAAGTGTTAAACATTATATAAATAAAACATCACTTGAAATAATTGTTTTATGATATGTTTCACTGATAAAAAGATACAGCTCATTACTTGTTTGCATTTAAGTAAGTCCTAGCCAAGTACAAAAAGAGAAGCAGAATTAAAATGTAAATAAGCCTTTAATACCAGTCATATTAATTTGAAATGTTCTTTATCAATTTTAGTTGCCATGAAAAAAAATATAATGTCAGTCTTTTTTATAGAATGGATTTGAAAGAAAGGAGTATTATCAGGAAATACTGACAGCCAAAAAAAGTAAAAATTGTTGTTCAGTAAAAGTGTTGGAGGGGGGTCCATGCATCCCCTCTTACCACCCTCATCCGAAAATATATATTTGCTAATTTTTTGTTCACATGAAAAAAAAGTCATAGTCATTTAAATAGCTTTTAATTTAAAAAACAATTTGTATCAATTTGGAATTTCCCGATCTATTTTTAGATCAATGTAGAGGAAATAAATCCTTGTATTCACCTGGAACGTCATGTGCAGGTCAATACAACGTACATGTAGTATTTTTCTAACATAGTTGGATCTCAGCCAATCAGAGAGATGGAAATTATTCAATCATATAATAAATATTTTTATCCAGTTGAACTAGAAAAATTCTGTTCTTATTAAAAACATACACTCTTCTTCTTTTCCCATTTAAAAATAAATAAAAATCTTTTCACATGAGAAGTGTTAAACATTATATAAATAAAACATCACTTGAAAATATAAATGTCCATTCATTGATAATTTTTACTCTTTAAAAAAAATTATGGAAAAAATTCTCATAAAAGAAAAATGAACTATATCAACAATTTATTTTAAAAAATTAAAGCAAACTAGTAGAAATATGCATTGAGATTATAACTACAGACACGTGCCATAATTCACCTGCAAAATTTCCTGTATATAAAAATGGCTCACAGTTTTTCTTGTGCAGAACATGTTTCACTTTTTTTCCTCTGACAGTAAAATGGATTCAAATAACAGTTCAAGCCTGACGGCTGTGTATTTGAAGTTAACGCTCAGAGTCACTTCATTCTATGCATTAAAAAGATGGATCTTAACATAGCTAATTCATATTTATAACCTGACTAATTGCTAACAAATACTGACATTTCAAAATAGCTGATGAAATATATATTGCTCTATCTGATTCAGTTACATAAACTGACAAACTAAAATTGGGTATCAGATTGTGAAATCCAGTTAATTCTATCATTACACCATACTTGCAATTAGTTAAATTAATAATCAGTATTGTGTGGATGCCAGACAATACCCATAGTCCCATACTAACCACCTTGGTAATATTGCACACATCTCTTTTCAAGGATACTTGCTGTCTATTCATCCAGTTCCTGGCAAATAATTGATGAAAATTTCAGGAATAGGCTTTTGTTGCTGACACAGTCAATTAATAATTTCACCTTTTCATTGTTTCTGTTTTCTAGTCTTTGAAACCAGTATCAGGAATTTTTAAGCTGGACATTGACAGAAGCTAGAGCATCGACTGCCCACTGTGGGAAATCACCATCTGGATAGAGTTTGTTAAAAAAGTCCTGAATAAACTCGGGGAACTTGTCTTCCACAATCTTCTTGTGCATCGTCCTCATCAGTCGTAGCTGGAAAGATAAAATACAATCAAAATGTAGATCGCATATTCTATTAGTACATTACCCAATCCAATTGACACTGAGTCTACATAAACATCAGTACCTGTACACTTTAGTTTTACAAAATTAGGAGAGTATATAACTTTTTTTCCCAACTTCATATAATCTACTTTTCAGCTTCTTAGCATGAAAGTTGCAGAAAGTAAAATGTAACAATTGACTTTCTAAAAGAAACACCTAAACAAACGATTCAAATTAAAAAAACAAAAAAAAAAAAAACAATTCAAGTGCATCATTGTACTATGGAAATTTGAAACTGAGTTGAAAGTTCCAGCCACAATTTTTTAAAGTAATATTAACCTCATCATAACTTAAAGCAGATACATTGTATCTCAAAGCTTTTTGCTTTTTCTGTTGAGTTTGAGATAATGAGGTTAGACTGTACTTATATTTTTTTATTGTAATGTAATACTTTACCTGGTATGCTACATTGTGTGTCGTGATAAGAGAACATGACACAGCCTCATTTTCCACTATACTGTGTAGATAAGCCCGTGTGTAGTTCTTACAAGTTGTACATGAACAGTCTTCCTCGATTGGATGAAAATCTTCAGCAAACTCTGACCTGTGTAGAACTAAGGTTCCTGTAGATGTCAACGCATTTCCAAACCTCTGTAAAAGTAGATAAATTTTTGTCAACAAATAATTTCTTTTGAATCTAAAATCAGTGTCATACACACATTAACAGACATGCTATTCTTATATTTAAATCTAAAATCATTTTTCGTACTTTTTATTGCAAACTCTTTATGTCAAATAGTTATTATGATAACAGAATATGCAATTTACATAAAAATGTATTTTTTATAATTCTCGCGTCGGAAAGAATTATGAACAATAATTTGGGATACAGTATTGTGGAATCTGTTTCAAAGCACCTAGATTGAATGAAAACATCCACTTACAGCAGTTCTGGTAGGAAAAACACAGTCAAACATATCACATCCCAGAGCCACACATACCACCAGGTCAACAGCAAACCTGTCAAACAAAAAAGTACCATAAGCCTCAATGCTCACCTGGGTCATCTTATCTCTGATATTCTTCAGAAGATTTTTAAAAAGAATTTAGTACCTCTACTCCCAAGAAAATCTTTTAAGATCTCTTAATGGTCATGAGGGGTCATTAGTCATGAATAAGTAAAAATTCGCACACTAATGCTTCATTAAATATCAATTTGACTGACAGGTAATATGTCCTTGCTGTTCTAGAGGAAATGTTTTAAATTCCTTTTTTCCCTTTTCAAAATTTCATTGCTTTCTAAGAACTTCCTCAATGATCGTTGGTGAACTTTGAACTACTTTTGTGACATCCCCCACCCCCAGCAAAACTCAGACGAACTTGAATCTACACTACCTAAGTAAGTTGGCACATTTTAAAATATGTATAGCTAATCATTGATCTGATGCACTTGAGAAGACATAAAAAAAATTCTGTATATTCCCTCTGATCCCCTATAGCCCCTTCTTTAGGCCATGATTTGACCAAACTTGAATCAGCAATCCCCTAAAATGCCTGCATTGCAATATGACTAATCATGTCCCACTTTTTCTTAACTCCTCTTCCTCCCCAGGCAGGACTTGAACAAATTTGAATCTGTAACATCTAAAGAGGCTTGTATTTCAATGTATCTCATAACTGTGTGCTGTTCCTGTACTGGGGAGATTCTTTAAGATTTTTTCTTATGAATTCACAAATTATGGTATGATCCCTATTTGTGGTTACACACTGCCCTCAACAGCCATTATCTGAACAAACTTCACTTTCTTAAGAGGCTTTCATTGAAGTATGATTTATCTTGACCCAGTATTTCTTCTGAAAGTGGAATTTTTTTAAGACTTGCCTGGATGCCAAGAAGATGAAAATATGTTACAAGTTTAAAAGCAAGACAACAAAGCCAAAAGACAAGTTGCAACAGACAAAATATAATCAGAAAAGTTATTCAATATTCAATATTTATCAGCAAAATTAAGATAAATTTCATTTTAAATGATGATAAATCACTCTCCTTAAAGGAACAGACTACAGACAAGCTTAAAAGGTATATACATGCATGTACATATGTATATAACGGGAATAATTTATCACTCAATTAACAAATTGTTTGTAATTCTTTTTTTAAAATTTCAAGATGGTAAAGGTTTAAGTGTAGAATATATTGACAAAGACATAACAAATTTATTGCTAAAAAAACTCACCCTACTCCCATCAAGTAGCGTGGTTTGTCTCTAGGTAAATGATCTGTTGAAATGTCCACCATTCTCCAGAATTCATCCTTTGATTCTCCTCCACTTAAACCACCAATAGCAAAGCCTGGTACATCTCTCTTTGTTAACTCTGTAATGACATGCAACGTAAAACCACCTATAGCAAAGCCTGGTACATCTCTCTCTGTCAACTCTGTAATGACATACAACATAAAACCACGAATAGCAAAGCCTGGTACATATCTCTTTGTTAAATCTGTAATGACATACAACATTAAACCACCAATAGCAAAGCCTGGTACATATCTCTTTGTCAACTCCGTAATGACATACAACATTAAACCACCAATAGGAAAGCCTGGTACATATTGCCTTGTCAACTCTGTAATGACATACAACATAAAACCACCAATAGCAAAGCCTGTTACATCTCTCTTTGTCAACTCTGTAATGACATACATTAAACCACCAATAGAAAAACCTGGTACATTTCTCTTTGTCAACTCTGTAATGACATACAACATAAAACCAACAATAGCAAAACCTGGTATATCTCTCTTTGTCAACTCTGTAATGACATACAACATTAAACCACCAATAGCAAAACCTGGTATATCTCTCTTTGTCAACTCTGTAATGACATACAACATAAAGCCACCAATAGCAAAGCCTGGTATATCTCTCTTTGTCAACTCTGTAATGACATACAACATAAAGCCACCAATAGCAAAACCTGGTATATCTCTCTTTGTCAACTCTGTAATGACATACAACATTAAACCACCAATAGCAAAGCCTGGTACATCTCTCTTTGTCAACTCTGTAATGACATCATACAACATAAAGCCACCAATAGCAAAACCTGGTATATCTCTCTTTGTCAGCTCTGTAATGACATACAACATAAAGCCACCAATAGCAAAACCTGGTATATCTCTCTTTGTCAACTCTGTAATGACATACAACATAAAGCCACCAATAGCAAAGCCTGGTATATCTCTCTTTGTCAACTCTGTAATGACATACAACATAAAGCCACCAATAGCAAAACCTGGTATATCTCTCTTTGTCAACTCTGTAATGACATACAACATAAAACCACCAATAGCAAAGCCTGGTACATCTCTCTTTGTCAACTCTGTAATGACATACAACATAAAGCCACCAATAGCAAAACCTGGTATATCTCTCTTTGTCAACTCTGTAATGACATACAACATAAAACCACCAATAGCAAAGTCTGGTACATCTCTCTTTGTGAACTCTGTAATGACATACAACATTAAACCACCAATAACAAAACCTGGTATATCTCTCTTTGTCAACTCTGTAATGACATACAACATAAAGCCACCAATACCAGAACCTGGTACATCTCTATTTGTTAACTCTGTAATTACATACAGCATAAAACCACCAATAGCAAAGCCTGGTACAACTCTCTTTGTCCACTCTGTGATGACATACAACATAAAACCACCAATAGCAAAGCCTGGTACATCTCTCTTTGTCAACTCTGTAATGACATGCATTAAACCACCAATAGAAAAACCTGGTACATTTCTCTTTGTCAACTCTGTAATGCAACCTATGTAAAAATCATAAAGAAAATCAACAACACCTCTTTTTCCATTGCACAAAAGTTAAAACAACATAAAACCACCAATGCAAAACCTGATTACATCTCTCTTTGATATAACATCTGTAATGACTTTATAAACCATAAAACCACCAATAGCAAAGCCTGGTACATCTCTCTTTGTCAAGTTATGTATATGTATACAACATAAGTTGAAATCAGTCATTCCTTATAATTTAATTTCACTGTAGACCCTGAGGCAATTTTTCCATGTTTTCCCTCGGAAAAAGGCTTCAAATATCGCATATTTTAAAAGTTAACGGCAAGCGGAGTAATACGTTTTTGACGTAACGCATTGTGACGTAGGCAAGTTATGTTATACAGAATGGATGAAACCGTTTAACCAATCAAATGACGTGTTACAACTGAAATTAAATTATTAGAAGATATAATTGAAAATGTGCTGCAACTAAATGGAACTTTACAAATTAACCAACAAACAATAACATTAGGCTACTTGAAGGAACCGCAAACCCAAAGAAACGTTGTTAACATTTTAATATGTATTTATAAATGGGTCATATGGAAAACAAGAAATAAAATTAAATATGAGAATTTAAAAATAACTGACTTCAGCATTAAAAACGCATTCAAAAATGAAATGAAAAATTTTTCACTTTTACAATCTCTCTTTGACAAATTTAAAGAGAAAATTAATCATATTTCAAAATTCCAATAGCAAAGCCTGGTATATCTCTCAGTGATAAACCATATATACATGACATGTACAAATTTTAAAACCACTATAGACACAATATGTTTTTGCTATGTTATTTTTCTCTTTGTCAACTCTGTAATGTATAAAATATGATTAAAATTATGTATGTGAGGAAAAAGTTTTCATGTCTTTGTAAAATTCTCTCTGATGTGTTTTTTATAATCTAATTTTATTATCACAAAACTCTGCATATTGATCCTGTTTTTTAAGATGTAAAACATAAAAAAACCAGTATTTTAGGGTACCTGGCCCTAAATACTAGTTACAGTGAGATTGATATATCTCTCTTTTTCACACAATCTCCACTGCAACAAGGGTCATGCTTCTATTGATGTTAAACAAATACTTTGTTTTTTATATATATAAATGGTAAAAATTTTCTTTGAGATACTTATGTACAATGTATATGTATGAAAATGAAGTCAATAATTATATATTAGCATAATGTGAAAAATCTCTCTGTGTTCAAATATATTGAAATATATTAAATAATATTATATTGATCCACCAGCTCCTAGCAAGCCTGGTGAAGTATTACAGAGGGCTTCTCTCTTTGCCTCACTGTTATGTTGTACATTATTGAATAAATGATTTAAAAAAAAAAAAAAAAAAAAAAAACAACTCTGTAATGACATACAACATAAAACCAACAATAGCAAAACCTGGTACATCTCTCTTTGTCAACTCTGTAATGACATACAACATTAAACCACCAATAGCAAAACCTGGTACATCTCTCTTTGTCAACTCTGTAATGACATACAACATAAAACCACCAATAGCAAAGCCTGGTACATCTCTCTTTGTCAACTCTGTAATGACATACAACATAAAACCACCAATAGCAAAGCCTGGTACATCTCTCTTTGTCAACTCTGTAATGACATACAACATAAAACCACCAATAGCAAAGCCTGGTACATATCTCTTTGTTAAATCTGTAATGACATACAACATTAAACCACCAATAGCAAAGCCTGGTACATCTCTCTTTGTGAACTCTGTAATGACATTCAACATTAAACCACCAATAGCAAAGCCTGGTACATCTCTCTTTGTCAACTCTGTAATGATATACAACATAAAACCACCAATAGCAAAGCCTGGTACATCTCTCTTTGTCAACTCTGTAATGATATACAACATAAAACCACCAATAGCAAAGCCTGGTATATCTCTCTTTGTCAGCTCTGTAATGACATACAATATAAAACCACCAATAATAAAACCTGGTACATCTCTGTTTGTCAACTCTGTAATGATATACAGCATAAAACCACCAATAACAAAACCTGGTACATTTCTCTTTGTGAACTCTGTAATGATATACAGTCAATTCTCGAATTATCGCCATTCGATTCATCGCCATTTTCGCAATACCGCCATGATTTCCCAAGAACGTTTTTCCTGCTATATAAAATTCTCTTTATACCGCCAAATTCGCATACCGCCATCCGCCACCCTGTTTTCACAACAAACGTCCATTTTTAAGTGTCAATTATCTCGATATACCGCCACAGGTGCGTGTGGTCAGTGAAGCGCGGCTAATTGGTTGGCACTATCCCTGTTGTAAAGCATGCAAAGGCAGACAAGGTACATGCAATTAAGTAATTAAACAAGAACTAAATAAACAATAATTTTAACATGAACTGTTATAATAATTTTGTTTTATGTTTAATAAAATTCATTTAGTCACGGCTTTGCCACGAAAGCGGTCGTTGTTAAACTACGCCGATAACTATATTATTTAGATGATCTCTGCTTTAAACAATGCAAAGTTTGCTGAAAAAATAATTATACGGTATAAATTGTGAATGTTTCATTAACAATGATCCCATTCACAATGAATTTATTCAAGAATTCATTTTACTTACTATCGGCAATATATCACGTTGTCGACCCAGCATACTTTTTTTTTCCAATAGCAGAACTGCAGATTTAAATGCTCACCCATGTACTTGTCTTTATTTCATAACTGCACATACTGTTTTAGCGAATTTGTACATTTAAAAAAATTACTTGAAGTATCTTCAATCAGAAATATGTTTTTATATACATGTGCATGTAATAATAAGAATAGAAACGCTAAATGGCATTTCTAAGAACGGTAACTCTACTTCTTGTTTTCCAGAAGATGGGAAATTCAATTCATCGCCAAATTCGTTATACCGCCATGATTTCTAAATTACAAAAGGTGGCGGTTTATCGAGAATTAACTCTACAACATAAAACCACCAATAGCAAAGGCTGGTACATCTCTTTTTGTCAACTCTGTAAACATTTACAACATAAAACCTTCACAACCTTTACTTTAAAAAACCAATAACATATAATTGCTCATCATGTCTCTTAATGTCAATGCTGCAAACAAATAAACATCCAAGAATACATTGTAATTAGGTAACATTTTTTTTAAATTTTTTTTCATTTAATTTTTCATTGTGGCATTAAAATAAAGTGCCACGCCACAGCATGATAGGCCCGTCAAAAAATAATACAATTACAATGCATCTTAAACAGTTAAAAGTGCAGTAAAATCATGTCAACCTTGATTTTTAGATTTCAATGATTTTTTTTACACACCTTAAAAAATTTGTTTATCCATCTCCTGTGGTGTAGGCATTAATTATAACAAACATAGCATCATTCATAGATTTCAATACCTTAATTGCCAAATGCCTATCATATTAAAAATATCAAATTAGTCTTCACAACTTAATCTACACCTAATTAATTTTGGAAATAAAAGACTGGCCATCAAATATAAACTGACCAACAGCTCTTTTTCTAATTCCCGAAGGATACAGATAAGACCATGCTCTGAAGAAATGAAAGAGCTACATTGAACACATTAATTAATCTTTAACTGGATGCTTGTCTACTCATTACTCCCAAACGATTATTGGAACTGCACTAACTACCATAAAACATTTTTAAACCGTATAAAACATCAATGATTTTTTTTTTGGAATTAATGTCAGACAGTTAATTGTTAATATGCAATTCATATGAACATGCTAATTCCACCACTACCACCATAAAATTAATTTTTAAGTTCATAATATTATGTAATATCAAAATACTTTAATATGCAATATCAAATTAGTTTTAATTCTTCTCATCAAATTCATTTTAAAACTTAGGCTAGCCAACAAGAGCTATTTTTAATCCAACAGGCTTACCCATTTGGCCCAATACTCAAGGGATATAGATAGCACTGATGCTCTACAGCTACTCCTCCCACTAAACTCATTAATTTCTCTCTCTAATTTGACATGCAATTTTCTGTTATCAGAATTCTTCTTGACCAGTGCTTGATAATTAGACTCATGGGAGTGGTTGAATTTCTCTAGCATACATTATATTTGTTATAGATTGCTGTCAAATATATGCTTAAAAAAATAAGTATTTTCTTGATTTAACATTTTTCTAATAAGGTTAGTGCAATAATTTTACATTTTTTAAATGTGTAAATGAAAGAGAAAAAAAGACATTTTTTTAAAAAAATTCACTTAAATTAAAGGTCACATGTACAGTGACCTTGAAATAGGTCGCGACACACCTTTTACCTAAGATGCATAAACTGGCCAAGTTTGATGATTCTAAGTCTAATAGTTTTCTAGTTATGGACCGGACAGGATTTTTCCATATTTGGCTATAACTTTTTAATTATAGGTCAGAGCAACATACTTTTTGTGCGCGACACACCTTCTACCCAAGATGTATCAGCTGACAAAGTTTGATAACTCTAGGCCTTATAGTATCAAAGTTATGAGCCAGACACGAGAAAAGCTAACAGACGGATGGACGGACAGCTAGACAGACAGACGGACACGAAGCCTATAACATAATACGTCCCGTCTTAAGACGGGCGTATAAAAAGCAAAAAAAAGTTCAGTATAGAAAGGTTTACAAAATCAAATTAATCTTGATATATCAATTTGAAATGCATTTTGAAAATAGAACTGGATCCAGTAATATGTTTTGAACAAAATTACAATCTAAGAGAACTAAGAGAAGAGAGCTTTGCATATTTCTTTGTGCTAACTGTTTAAGATTTGATAACACACACACACTTGATAAGAGATATGCCTAAACGACTTCCATACATCCAAATATTGGTTTTTAACTAGAGAAGTATGCATTGTGACATGAAATTTTATTTACACCCGTGCAATGTAAAAACTGTTTTTAACACTTGATGTTTCTTTTTTTTTTAAGTTTTTAAGTAATTCAAAGCTCGTGTTACAAGTTTTTTAGATAGGAAATAATACCTTTTGTCACCACACCCTAATCAAGTCAATTAAAATTTTAAAAAATTTAAAATCAGAAAACTTCAAAAGGATGCTTCCTCATTAGTGCACAGCTTCATATGGACCAGTGGTAATTGTAGAAGAAGATTTTTCCTACAAGTACGGTGATACACTGTCATGTTTTAATATCTCATGTAACTGAAAAACCTTGAGCACAAAATAATAATCCAATCTGAAAAATACAGACCACCTTGCACAATAGGAAATATGTTTTGGTCATGTGGTCTTTTGTGAGCTTTTAAACATCTGTCTAGCCATCTGATTGTTCTAAAACAGATTAAAAAAATTAGATTATAACATGGAGAAACTAAACTGAAATGCAGAGATACTTCATTCCAGCTTATAACAATAACATTTACATTGATAGTTATTCACCTGTGAATTAAGTACATAAACTTAAAACAAAAGGCCAGTGGGCCACAACGCTCACCCGAGTAGCTTTGACCATGCAGTTCTTTACTAGATTTCCCTCTTGTAATACCTATTGTGACCCCAACCCTTACCCCAGGGATCAAAATTTTGACAATTTAAAATCTACACTACCCCTGGATGTTTCCACATAAGTTTCAGCTATTCTGGCTCCGTGGGTCTTGAGAAGAAATTTTTTAATGACCCTTTCTTGATTATCTCCCCTTATGAAAGGATTTAGGATTTGCGCTTCATTTTAACAATTTAAACTCCCCTTTACCCAAAGATGCTTTGTACCAAGTTTGGTTAAAATTGGCCCTGTGGTTCTTGAGAAGAAGTCGAAAATATGAAAAGTTTACAGACGGATGGACAGCTAGACAGACAGACAAAATGTGATCAGTAAAGCTTACTTGAGCCTTTGGCTCAGGTGAGCTAAAAACTATTAAAGACATAATTTAAAAAGGTACAATAATGCCATCCAAAGTGAACAATACAGAATACCAATATAATTATATTCAGTGATTGAAGATTTTTGGACACACCTGTACATTGCCTCCTCTACCCTAGGGCCTGTTATACAGCTGTGTACAACATCATCTAACTGCATAATGATATCAGCACCTGAAATACAACACCTACATTTAATAAGGAGGGTTCTTACACCAATGGTTATATCTCAACTCTACCTTTGGAGACAGTGGACTTTTTTCCCTCAGCCACTAAAACCTGTCATGTTTGAAAATTCATGTTTAATTAAGTATGAAGCCAAGTTTTTATTCTTGGAGTTTTTTGTGTAAATGCATATGGCTAATACAGATACTGACTGGAGTTGAGGGAAATATTGATTACTGTAAACGTCTTTAATTTGGCATCTTTGATATTTGGTGGAAATTCATTTTTCAACAAGTTAGGGTAGACTTCATTTAGCACTATCTGAATGCATTAGTTAAGATATTAATGTATGATACACAAAACATTTAGCAATGTACTTGATTTAGCAAATGCTGCTTTGAGAAAAATTGCTAAACAGAATACACAGCTTAATGTAATAAGTTTACAGTATGTTAGCTTCAAGGGATGAAATAATTCTGGGCATCTATGGTATTCTGTTCCTAGGATAGTTACATTTGTCATTCTATATACAGTGTACATGTACTTGAGTGCTATGTATTCTGTCTCATGAAATGCTCTATATACATGTATATGTATATACATGTCCAGCCATACATTTTCACTCTCCTGTTACAGAGCCGTTGACCACCCCTGGAATTGCAGGTGAAAGTCCTGCCAGGGGCACTTGGGTTGTGTTTGTTAAGGAGGGAGGAATGTGTTGGGCCGTGGATATCAGCCTGGATAGCTCAGTTGGTAGAGCACCTGACTGGAGTTACAGGGGGCCCTGGTTCGAATCCCGGTCTGGTCTGCTGCATTTTCTCCTCTCCCGTTACATATACTGGTGCATGTAGTTACCTATGGCATTTTGTTATGTGTTCTGCTCTCTGCTTAAATTTCCAAGACATTATGTAGAATGGAGAGTTCTTCGTAAAGTTATTTATCATGTTTTGTACCAATGAATTCATGGAGTGTCCTATGTTCAATAATCTTGAGCACTCTGCAGTACTGAAATATGGATATTTGGGGAGGGGGTTGGGGGGTTAAAATTTTGCAATTTCCAAATATCAAAGTACTTGCTTGAGTTTTTTGTGAATATATGGTATTCTTTTTATGTATAGACTAGAAATATCCTGAGTCTAGAAACTTATTATATTCTGTACTCTGGAGTTTTTGGTGTTTAGTTAGCTTAGTATTCTGTTGTATGAAGTGTTTTGTTCTTACACTGTTCACTTATGACTTTTATTGATTTGTTCTAAGGCTAGTGACATTTTATCTTGAGATAAGTTACCTAATATGGCATTTTGTTCTGAGGTTACATACCTATCATATCAAATTTTTATAAGACACTTCTGAGAACTTCAGAGAACCTTGAAGCACATTGAGAGATATGAAATGAAAATTGTTGCATGAAAAGATTTAATTTTCAAGGTTCATTTTTAGACTTTTGGAATTAAATTCTAAATTAAAGAGTTATCCTTCCTAGCTAAGGATCCTTCCTAGCTAAGGATCGGAGTACATTAAGGTTAATTACCTATGACATGTTCTTAGGCTATTTACCTATAGCATTTTGTATATGTATTGAGTGTTCTGGGGTCAACATCATCTCTGAACCATCATGAGGAGACTGGAATTTGACTCCTTCTTCTGTGATTTCTGCCAGTTTTAGGAGAGACACCATCTGGAAGCCTCCACTGTCCTACAACACACAATAACCAGAATAGACTCAGTCCAACAACACACAATTACCAGAACAGTCTTACAACACAATTACAAGAACAGTCCTACAACACACAATTACAAGAACAGTCCTACAACAAACAATTACAAGAACAGTCCTATAACAAACAATTACAAGAACAGTCCCACACAACAATTACAAGAACAGTTCCACAACAAACAATTACCAGAACAGTCCTACAACACAATAACTAGAACAGTCCTACAACACACAATTACCATTACAGTCCTACAACACACAATTACCAGAACAGTCCTACAACACAATTACCAGAACAGTCCTACAACACAATTACCAGAACAGTCCTACACACACAATTACCAGAACAGACTCAGTCCAACAACACACAATAACCAGAACAGTACTATGTACAACTAACAAAAATCAGAACAGTCCTACAACACACAATTACCAGAACAGTCCTACACACACAATTACCAGAACAGTACTACAACCAACAAAAATCAGAACAGTCCTACAACACACAATTACCAGAACAGTCCTACACACACAATTACAAGAATAGTCCTACAACACACAATTACCATTACAGTCTTACAACACAATTACCAGAACAGTCCTACAACAAACAATTACCAGAACAGTCCCACACACAAAATTCCAAGAACAGTCCTTAGTCAATTAAAAGACAGTCCTACAACACAGTGACACAATTACAAGAATAGTCCTACAACACATAATTACCAGAACAGTCCTACAACACACAATTACAAGAACAGTCCTACAACACACAATTACAAGAACAGTCCTACAACACACAATTACCAGAACAGTCCTACAACACACAATTACAAGAATAGTCCTACAACACAAAATTCCAAGAACAGTCCTACAACACAATAAAAAGAACAGTCCTACAACACACAATCACTAGAACAGTCCTACAACACACAATTATCAGAACAGTTATTGATTAAATTTCACATTATGTCAGAATAACTGTGTTTCACTTTTATTATCATTATGATGTCTGACAAAGAGGTATTAATGAACGCCACCAAAAGATTTAGAAACTTCAGACAGGGAACTTACAACTCAATATTCATCTGAGTATTTAGAGAGTGACATTTATTAAATTGTCTATAAAAGAATTACAGAACAATTACAACAAACAATTATCAATGTAAAATTTGTTACTACTTACAGTTAAAAGAGCCCTATCCCATTTCATAAACTTGTGTAAACCAGAACTTTTTCCTACAACACACAATTACAATAAAAGTATAAATTAACAGTTATTGGTCCTATAACAAACAATTACAAGAACATTCCATATAACAAACAAGTTTTTTGCAAACTGTCCCACACACAATTGTAGCCAGTTCATACAATCTACAACACAATTAAAAGAACAATCTTACAACACACAATTGGAAATGTTTTTGTACACACAATTTGGGTTACCAGAAATATCCTACACACACAATTTTTTTTTTATTTTAACCTTTTCCCATGTACTTGAAAATGGGAGATGAATAACTTAATTTCACTAAAGTGTTCCAAGGAACGCATGTGCACCTGTTTTAGCTTCTTTAAAGTTGCTGTACATTGGCACTTTTAACTTTTTAGTAAAGTAGGTCAAACAACACACAATTATCAGAACAGTCCTACAACAAACAATTTCCAAATACCATAGTGCCAAGCAATAAATGTGCAAAATATCAAGTCCATATCTCTTTCAGTCCCTGAGATACAAGGTGTGAAAGATGGAAAGACAGCTACACCCCACGAAAAGTGATCCCTTAAAGCCGCTCTTCTACGCTCTGCTCAAGGATTGACAAACAAGTTGATACAACAAGCATTTCAGCTGTCTCATTTTAAGTCATCATATGACAAGATCTAATATTGATATGACCTTGTCAGCAATTTCAATTGATTAAGTTAAATGCTCTGTGACATTTTACATAAACTTATATTACAAGAACTGACGTTTTCCTGGCACACACACATTTTACGTGCCAGGAACGACTTACAACACAATTAAAAGAACAATCTTACAACACACATTCTCTGGTTGATTTTACACACAATTACCAAAATTAAATACCAAGCCCACAAAATATAAAGAGTACACAATACACAATGATTTGTCTACAGATTTTTCCATTTGCCTCTTTAAGACAACCGGCAAACAGCTGGTGTAACCATTTAAGGGGATGAAGGATGTATGGTCACGTGACTCAGTTGATTTACGTCATAATATCTGATAAAATATGTACAAAACGAGATTGAAACCACAGTACTTGTATAATTTTTTTGACTGTTTGAGAGTAACATATTAGATTGTCTATAAAAATATCTGAAAACATTCAAAATTTCTTGCAAATATTATTGTTTATCAATGTAAAATCTGCTGTTTCCCTACTCTGCGCGTCCAGTGCGTCTTTGACGTCATAGTGGATCCCATTTCATAAGATCAACTTGTGTAAAAACGGGTAGCTATAAAATCATAAAAACGGGCCATAATATTCATGGTAGGGGCCCTGAAAATTATCAATAAATAAAAAAATTTTTACATTGTTGTTTATAAATTGGACATTTTCCTTAATTTCAGGAATGTGTGATGTCATAGTTACTTCATCATCAGCTAGTGCTCAAAAAGTTTTTGGTGCACACTGTAGACCGAAGTGCTGTAGCTAGTTCACAAATCTGCAAGCATCAATGAAGCAGCAATGGTGATATTTAAGGAATGAAGCTGATTTCAACTTTTGTTGTATGACAGAACATAACTTGGGGCTGCAGTTTACGCTTTATAAACCATGAACATAAGTTGAAATAAGCTTGCTTCATTCCTTATCATTTAATTTCAGTGTAGACAATGAGACAATTTTTCCTCCGGAAAAAGGCTTCAAATATAGCATATGTTAAAAGTAACGTCAAGCGGAGTAATACATTTTTTGACATAACTCATTGCAACGTAAGCAAGTTATGTTATACAAAATGGATAAAATCTGTTATCCAATCAAATTACACAGATTGGACAGACAGACGAAAAGACCAACAGACAGACCCCGGGAAAAGTGATCCTTTAAGTGCCGCTCTGCTCCGCAGTGACGTTTTACATAAACTTACAGTCCGAAATATCTGACATTTTCCTGGCTTTTCTATGGTTTTGATATTTTATGTGCCAGGAAAACCGCCTTCACCTTGCCCTATCGGAAATGATAAAACTGGGAATTCGCAGCCATCATTCTTGGGTTGATTTGCAAACCCAATCAAATTAAAATTAGATGTTAGATTCACTCGCATACTCGCTTCACTAACATCTAACAACATCACGTAGAGGGTCATGTCAGTTAAATTCAATCAATCAATCAAATTGTTGCCTGCAAAATTATTGTATATTTGTTGAAGCAAATAAGTTTAGAGTTGTTCCAAATTTGACCTCTTAATTAGTGAAGCGAGTATGCGAGCAGATCTAATATCTAATTTTAATTAGATTGTTGCAAATCAAATAAAATACCAAGCCCACAAAATATCAAGAGTACAACATGTACAATACAAAATGATTTGTCTTCAGATTTTTCCGTTCTGATCAAGACAAGAGCAAACAGCTGGTGTTACCATTCAGCAGGGAATGCTTACTCCTCCATAGCACCTATAATCCCACTTCTGAATTTTTAGAGGTCCGTGTTTGCTCTGCTCTGGATCTGCATTGTTTAAATGGACCTTTGAGCTTGATTAATGTAAGTTATCTCCATATTTTATTTTTTGGTAATAAAAGTATTTATCTCTTATATGGATTATAATAGTCTCAGACAGCTGTCATCATTACAAACCGGTCTGTGACCCAAGTGGTAGGTGTTCCCCAACACAATCCGACAGTCTAACTCCCGCAATTGATCAGGTACGAGACCTTTCAACGTTCCTTGGGTACCAACAGGCATAAATACAGGTGTATCGACTGTGGCATGAGGAAGTTTCATAAGACTGGCTCTTGCTTTTGTTGTTGAACATTCTGCCAATATTTTGAATGAAAGAGCATGTGTTCGTTGAGTAGCCATATTTTTGGAAATCCCCTTTTACGACCAATCAGATTTAATGTTTTAAAACTGTACGGGCACTTTGTTTACAGTTATTCTATTCCAGCCAATGGCATTGTCTTTGATAAACACTATCGGAATTCTCGCAAGCGCAACATTCACTTCCGGTGCAATGGATGATGCTGACAAAATGCAGACCACACAAACAGATAATGCTTTTACTGATGTGGTTTGGAAATCAATATCTCTAACCCATGTAGAATATCCAAAAGGTTTGTTTCCATCAGATTTGCTGGCCGATATATTCAGAGTCATTGGCACATCTGTTGATGTTAATCAAAATATTGCAGTTATCTCCCATTCCTACACGTAGGATACACCTGCACATTTAATCATATTGTCTCTCTGTTGATAGTTTCGCCCTTTTTACGTCCTTGCTTTCATAATATTAAATGCATGACATAAATGCACAAGGGATAAATATTTCTGCTACGACGGAAATTTATTTTTATAATCTTATAATCTTGCACTGAATCATGAAGCAAATCAAGTTATGTATTTTTACTTTTACTGATAAGGCTTTGATTATGCTCTTATAGACGTTTATTATGATGTTTACCATTTGATGCATTGTTTTGCAACTCAACAGAGGAAATGAGATAGATGTATTAAATTCTAAACAGTCCCCTCTCACCTTTATGGAGCACTAACTGCAGAACTGTAGCTCACCAAAAAAAAAATATATTGACAGACTGGTGAGCTACAGTGCCACCCATTGAAAAAACTGAAAATTTATTATGCTTAAAAAATGTGCTAGGTTCTGGATTTATTTTAAGGAGGGAGATAAAGGGTAGCTATGGTGGCGCTATGGTTAGAAAAAACAAGAGCATAATTTGAGTAGGGCCTCATAACTCTTAGTAAGAGTTAAGGGGTCCTATTCAAATCATTATTCTTCCTTTCTATTATTTATTAGAATTTGCTTTGCAAATTTTGAAGAATTCGCTCATTATGAGAATATTGTTATTTTCTGAATTTGCTGAAAGGTTCAAAATAAAAAATAACATACTGTCTTAATACTTTTACATAACTGAGCAATTTGCAAGAAATTCTTCCCACATTGAATGTACTGCTACTATAAAGAAAGACTTGAAACTTTGAAACTGACTAATTGTGTTTATATCTTTCAGGTGACTTTGTTGGATATATTCTAGCTTGGTGCAGCCTTTTACCAATTTTTTCAATCATTGGATTTATCACATTGATTTTATTTAGAAGAGATTTACATACTGTAAGTTTACATTTCCTCAATACCTGTATCGAAAAAGTGAATTATCTTTTATTATGAATTGAAATAATTTTTAAATTGAATATGTGAAAAGCATTTATTGATAAGTGAATAATCAAGGCAGTAGGTTTATATACCGGAACCTGGGTTATTGTAAGAGAAACACTTTTCTTCAATTTTATACAATTATGCAGTATTCGAAAAATCACTCCGTAGTCACTCAATTCCTTTAAAGATTACCATTCTGAGCTTAGTGTTTCATGAAATATGCAGACATGAAGGTTGTAGTTCATGTCCTCATGAATTCTCAAAAATTTAACTCATTTCTTAATTTACCATCAGAGTTAGTCTTAGCATTGACCTTTTAGTAAATTTGGAGTGAAAACTGTCAAATTTTTATTAATAAGGAGAAGTACAAGCAAAGGTGTTGTAGATCTGTAAAGAAAACACTTTTAATCCTAATGTTATAGTGTCACATGTTAACTATTTTGATTAGAGATTTCAGATATAATACATTTATACAGAAACATAAACCAGTAATCATTTTTGTATTCATTTTAAGATTTTTTTTCCAGATTTCCTATTTTACTGGTCTCCTGCTGAATGAAGCATGTAACTGGATTCTAAAGCATATGATCAGAGAGCATAGACCTCTAAGAGGTAGGGCTTACTTAAGAAGAAATGACCCTCTGCTCTGAGTTTAACAACAAATTGTTAAGTTTCCTTACCAGTGTTTTCCCTTTATTTCAAAGTAAAGGGTTAGAGATCAGTTGACAGAGGCAAGAGGCTAATATCTATGATGTTTATGAACAAAATCTCTGTGAACCTTAAAACAATTAGGTTTTGATTTTTGAAATTTCAGAGCGGCATTTTTGTCAGTTAGAGAGGTCAATTTGGCCAGTAGCCAGTTCTTAGGGAAAACACTGCTTATAGTCATTGATTTTCATCAAGAACTAAAGCATTAGAATGCAAATAGTATTGTTGTTTACCATTTTTAATGAAATTAAACAGGGGTTAAAAATTTGGTGATGAAGAAAACAGGACCCGATTTACTTAGGTGAGCATTGTGGCCCATTGGCCTTTTGTTAATATATACTTCTTTTTCAGATCGAGCTGTACTCTTCACAGAGTATGGGATGCCATCCAGTCATGCTCAGTTTGCATGGTTTTTCTCAACGTACATGGTGTTCTTCTTATTTATACGGTAATGCATTGAATTTATTCCCAATCTATCAGCAAAGTGTACCCTGTTATTAAAGAATGACATTTAAAAACAATATTTATACAGCTTACTCCACTTATATTGAACTCGCTTATTTTGAAATTCCGCTTATTTTGAAATAGAAATAAATCCCCGGTTTTTGCCTCTAATATTCTTTGCATTGAAATAACGGTTATATTGAAATCGGCTATTTTGAAAATTCGCTTATATTGAAGCCACTGATCGGTCCCCACAGGTGATAATGAGTTGTTTTCATAACGGTTATATTGAAGTACTCCCTGGCGGCTGTCGTTACGGTTGGTGACAGTAATTAAGCCTGATTGACCAATTAATATTCAAAGGTTTGAATAATAAAGTTTTCATCTTACTTGTTTTTATACTGCATGCTCATACGAAATAAAATTCTTCACTGTAAAATTCTGTGCGTTCATGTATATAATACGGACATATCGAGACTAAACAGCTAAACGTTATATAGTAACCCCCACAGATCTAGGAAAAAAGACATAACTTTGAAATCAAATACGTACTGTAAATGGCAATTGCCTAAATTCGAAATAACTAAGGGATTGACCCGAGTACACTTACGATGAACTACAAGCAGCGTTTAGCAGTACTCAACCGTTTATGTCTGGTGAATTTTCTCCAAAACGTAAATACATGCGATCGGGGAATAATAATGAGGTTGAAGATTGTCTTTTCAATGAAACAGAAATAAAAAATATATTTAAACTTTCAAGGACTCATATTCTGTGTAATCTGTTCACGGTTATAGATAAACGATGACAAACTTAATTTGTTCGGGTTTGTTCTTCTATATTTTAAATCGGGATTGAACTTGGAAAAGTGGCGGCCTCCCGATTTCGCTTGTATTGAATTACGGATATATTGAAATAATTTGCATGGTCCCCTGAATTTCAATATATCCGGAGTAGGCTGTATACATGTACATATTTTTGCATTAAATGCTCTGGTTTAAATAATTAAATGATGCTTTATTGTTTTATCCTATTTACAGAGTTTATAGAAATCACAGTTTGATGGATGATATATGGAAATATCTAGTCAGTATTGTATGCTTCACTTTATCTTCAGCAGTTCTATATAGTAGGTGAGGAGTTTGCGTGTTTTTTAAAGAGAAATGGTGTATGTTGATTAATGGCTAGACGAGTTAGATTGATACCCAGATAATTCTTTTTTAGAGGCTGGGGTACACAAATATTATAACAAGGCTGACTTAGTTTTCAGTATTATTTTCTATAAGACTTGAAACTAAGCCAAACTTAGCTTATTTTTTCCATTTATCACATTTCTTGATGCTAAAAATATTAAACATCTGTAATAACGGTAATTTTTAACGTTGCTTGATAAATTACAATAATTGATGTAAGCTTTTACAACTTCTGCATACAAAGTTCCTCCTGAATTAAACCTTTATGTCTAGATTTTATTTAGCAACTTTTTGTGTGTATTTGCAGAGTGTACCTAGGCTATCACACATTTGGACAGGTGTCATGTGGGGCATTACTAGGGATTTTCCTGGGAGCTCTGTGGTTCGCTGTAGTACAACTAATATTAACACCCTGTTTTCCTCATTTAGCCTCTCAGTAAGTTCAGATATGCTGTTAATATAATGAACTGTTTATTGCATATATCTTATGGGAGTTCAACATATTGTAGTTGATATTTATGTTCATTTAATAAAGTCAGGACGGATTCAATGAAATGTACCAAAGATATTTTTTACTTGTAGATACTCAAGATACTGAATTTTGACAGATTTTTTTTGTTTGTTTTTGAGAAGCTACCCAGAAGAGTACACGTATTGCTTTTAAAACAGAACAGTTTAGTAAATTGTCTTCTTTTTCTGTCTTTGCAGTCCTGTGGGAGAATTTTTAATGCTAAGAGATTCTACATTAATTCCACATGTTATGTGGTTTGAATATACATCATCTAGATCAGAAGCTAGGTATGACCAATAAAGTAGTTCTTTTAAGTTAAAATGTAAACATCTTAAAGAATTTTGATTTGCTTTACAAGATTAGACATTTTTTAAAAATATTAATTCAAATGTTAATACAATGTATATTTACTGTTATATTAGTCAGTAGAATGTTTATAATGCACAGTATGATTCTAATGGTTTCTTTCAATTGAATCTATGTTTTTCACCTTATATGCAGAAGTGCATGAAGAGGATAACTTTAGTAATGTATGTGTGTTTTTAGGAATAGACAAAGGAAAGTGACTGGTCGTAAATCTCAGTGACCTTGGTGACAGGTAGCTGGTCTGGTTGTGGATCCTCCTCAGCATTGCAAGAGTGTCTCCCTCCAAATCAAAAGTATCTGGTTGGCTGAATGTGAGCCTATCAGGAATTTCCCAGGATTCCTTGTGCTGGGAATCTCCCATGAGCCTTTAAAACATTAGATCAGAGAATGTCGTGTGTAATATTCAGTGTAGGTTTCAGAACTTGGAAATGATGAAAGAAAGATAAGCCTGAGTAATCTATATTGATTGCTAAATTAAGCTTGTTTGTGACAAATAGAAAAAGCAGGAGGGAGAGATGTAATGTGACGGATCTAACATTGTGCTGAATCTAAATCCTGTTTATTTAAGATAATGAAGTAGATAGATGTGTGTGAGACTGTGTTGTAATGTCGGTACATGTCTTGTATTTTAATTAGCTGTACTAAATACAGTTTAGTGAAGGTTGGCATTTATATGTCGTAAATAATTTAATCAAAATGACTGTTTAAATTGTTATAACTATACTTGTACTTTAATGTATATTTTTATCTAGGAAATCTATTAATTGCATTAAAAAGTTGAACACATTTAAATATTTTAGATGTCCTTGTAATGCTGTTGTCTGTGATTAATGTCACGGTTACAAATGAAGATTTGATAAATTATATGCATGTTTGGTTCTAAAGTACGAGTAATGGTAATTAAAAAATCTTAAGATTAGGAAATATAGAGAACTTTGAAGCAAAGTACATGAATTAAAAAATTTCTTTTAATGAGAAATAATTCCCGAAAAGTTTTTTTTTTATGTCAAGTCAATAGATGGTGTAGATTTAACAACAGTGCATAAAAGTTGGGTAAATTTAACAAAGGTTTATTGCTATGCAGAGATATGGGCAAAAATGAGGATCAGATATAAGGCTTAATTGTGTCTTTTCCCCCTAAAAACTAACTTTGAAATTGTCTTATTTATAGAGTTTAGCATACTTTGACATCACTGATTGTGGGGTTTAATTTTTGTGGTTGGAGAGACCTATAGATTCAAGTCCCCATCAAAATATAAAATTTCATACATTTAACAACTGAACACTTTAAATCTTTTAAGAAACAATTTTTTCCTCAAACCATGAAAATTGAACTCCCCTTACCCACCCTAAAAATAAATGTTTTAATAATATTGTGTAAAATCATTTAAATTTGTGGGGACCAATTTTCATGGAGTGCTTAAATTCTACAGGTTTGCGGGGACATAATTTACAACTATTGATACTTAGAAAATGTGACTTGTAATGCTGTTATTAAATAGTGTGTGATGTAAATTCATTGATGAGAGGTACCCGCAAATTCCACAAAAATTTAGCCTTATCTCAAAATCTAATGATTTTTCAGTATACTGCATTTAAAATGGACCATTTCCATGATGTTTTAAATAACTTATCCTTGAGTAAGTACTTGCTATGTACATGTACCACAACTAATCCTTAGTTTTTTTTTTCTCCTTTTACTAAGTAAATGAAAGGTACACCATATAGGCTCTGATTAGCTATTTCTCGTATTCCTACTCCTAACAGCCGTTTATATGGGCAGGTCACTCGTTATTTACTCACCATTGTTCAGTTTGAGGGTGCTGCTGAAATGAAGTTTTACTCTATTAGACACAGTATTCATTGTATTTGAGAATCATATTACAGAAGGTATATATACATATATATTTTTTGATACTTGATTTTAATTTAGTCATTCAGGTCTCATTTGTTAAGTTTATGAGAGAAAAAAAATCATGAAAAATAATGTGCAGGTAGTAATCTTTAAGAATATTGCATCGGGCACCATTAATGCCAAGATGTTCAAAATAGAAGAAATAAAATATATGTAAGATAAACTGTAAAATTACTTACTGGGTATTAAAACACTGATACACTTGTAAATGAATGTAGTACATATAAATTGCACTATATTAAGAGAAAGAGGAAGTTGTTTTCCATAATATTTTATTTACAACACTCATATTTAATGCACTTTTTCACTTCATCATGAATCAAGGCAAATTATTAATTTTTGCCTAAGAATCGGCATGGAATGGGTAATGTGATTTGATAAACGGTTATGTTCATAATGAATTTTTCTGCATGTTGTAATGTACACATTGATGTAATTTGTATGGATTTTCATGTTTGAAAAAGAGGTGTTATTTTGAAGAATTTTGTGGTAGATACATGGTTGTCTTTACTTGTATTTTAATAGGGTTTTATAATTTTGTTTTTGATAAAAACTTCTTGTTCATTATTTATTGATGTAAAATAAAACTAGTACACCAGTGCAGTGTCAAAATATTTTAGAGAAAGAGAGATAGAAGGGGGGAGGGGGGTTTAAAAATAAAGGGATTGACAGGGTCTTCAAAATATCATTCTACTGATTTTGATATTTGAGCAAAACATGCTTAGAAAAAAAAGAAGTTGCCATCATTTTTTAAATGGTATAAGAAAACCATGATTAATTTTCTTAACCAACAAAAAAAAGGACACAAGAGAAATCAGTTGTGAAATGTGTAAATAGATGTCTGACTGATAAAGAGGGCAAAGAGCTATCCATGTTTGCTGATAACAATAGTGGCACTTTATGACCTTATTAGAACATTTGACATGTGTCTTGAGTACAAGAAACAATTGATTCCAAAGCATTTTTCTCATGGTTTGTCATGTCTGACACCAAAGGGGATGAGATTTAGTAGTAAGCACTAGCTTGGCTTATTTTGCAAATGTATATATATACCTTTTATAAATCTTTTAGATGCAACAATTTGATTTAGAATGTTGAAATGAACAGGTTTATATCCACTTATCATCAATTTTGTATTCAGCAAGTGCTTTGACTGCATCAAGTCATAACACCAAATTTTCTATTTTATTAAAAATTTGTAGGAAGACAGTACCATTTATTGATATTTTACCATTAGCTTGTACCCTTAGATAAAAGGAACCATTATACAGGTCTTTTGTGGGAAGTTCTCATGTAATATTTTTTGAAAAATTCTGCTACATAAGAGTATAAAACAGGAGTGTTTCAGGGAATGCATGGTTTGCCTGCTGTAGCATCATTTAAGACATAATAAAACAGAGGGTGGTCACCTCTTTATGTCAAATAATTGAAGATTTGAGGGTATGTAGTTTTTGCCCAGTCTGTCTGTCCTTTTATCTGACCACACAAACATTAACAATGGCCATTTGATTGAATGAAGCTATGACTCTCATATTTTATGTGTATTCTATGTGACAGAGCCTCTCGTTGGATACCAACATATTTGACCTCTTGGCCTTGGAGTTTTGACCCAATTTGGCAAGAATTTACCTTGGTCATAAATTTTAAACAGTTTGTGCTATGGTTTTCAGACTTTACTTGTGTATTCAGTGTAATAAGACCTCTCCATGGATATAAATATTTTTGATCTTGAACTTTGAATATGACCTACTTTTGAAAAACTTAACTTTGGTCATAAATTTTGAACCGTTGCATGGTGCTTTTAAAATATTTCACATGTTTGTTGCTCATGGAAGGGTCATTTCCCTGGGTACATTTAGTTTGATTTTGACCTTGAAGTTTGACCTACATTTAAAAACTTTAAACCTTAGTCATATTTTTAGTGGAAAGTGCATTGGCTTTATAACTTTACAAATTTATTCATTAAAAACACATACATGTAATTTCTTTGGGTAATAACATTATTCATCCCTTGACCTTGGAAGTTTGATTTTCATATGAGGAAATTATGAACCAAAAGTTGTCAATTGGGGGAACCAGTTTTTCACAAAAACTTATTTTTAATATAGTGCTAGCATTATAGTCATATAGTCCAATAAAAGTGTCAATCAATACAAAGTTAAAATGAATGATCAAAATGAATTTATTCAGAATAGTAATCTATTCATGCGAATTTAACTCGAAGTCGGCACCGAACATTAAGTCGAGAACATCGGTCTTTTCTGCCAAGTCAATAAAATTTCATTTAATTATTTTTATTATACAAGTTAATTCAACCGAGAATCACGATCAATGTTGGTACACCAATCCTGTTATATTTTTAAAAATAGATTTGGAAAAATTACATGGCTTTTCCCTTCAAGTCGAGGACATCTCAACCCTTTCCGTTAAGCCGAGAAAAACCGAGGTACATGTATTCTCTTATCGGTACATGTAATTGTGATTTTCCGTTGTTGGCAGAATGCATTTAGATTTTAGTTTGTGTGGTCATAATCTTGTGTTATTGGGGTGGGGGCTAGTCCTAGCTTTATTTATGTTTTTGTGGTCATAATCTTGGGTTATTGGGGGGGGGGGGGTAGTTCTAGCAATGCACCCAGGCAAGTAAAAATACCTTTAAAGTCGTAAAGATTGTGTGTGTGTGTGTGTGTGTGTGTGTGTGTGTGTGTGTGTGTGTGTGTGTGTGTGTGTGTGTGTGTGTGTGTGTGTGTGTGTGTGTGTGTGTGTGTGTGTGTGTGTGTGTGTGTGTGTGTGTGTGTGTGTGTGTGTGTGTGTGTGTGTGTGTGTGTGTGTGTGTGTGTGTGTGTGTGTGTGTGTGTGTGTGTGTGTGTGTGTGTGTGTGTGTGTGTGTGTGTGTGTGTGTGTGTGCTTATGGGACAAGGGGGGGGGGTTGGGCTATCATTTTCCACCTTCAAAACATGGCACCACCAAGTGGTGCCAAGTCGTAAAGATTACAAGACGCTTATTTGGTTGCCATTCCTTTTGTTTGAAATTGTGAACAACATACTTTTCTACATCAACTTGAGTTTGCTTTAGTTTATTTAAAATCAAAAAGTTGTTATCCTATTGCAGGGTCGTAGGGGAATCGGGGGGGGGGGAGGGGGTTGCCGATATATAGTATACATAGAATACAAAGCTACTTTATGATCGTGCCCCCTCAATAAAAACAGATGATGACCTTTTCTTTTTCTTGCTTGTCAATGAATATTTGGTAGTGGATAGTATCCACAACTGAGAAGAATACCCCCAAAATAAAATTGCTTCCTTTGATCCTCATCCTTAGCATTTCGAGGATGATTGATTCCTTATAGGGCTATAACATACAAAGTGGACCATCAAGATCTTTGGTTTAAAAAAATAATTTGGGGGAAATGGGATTTACATTCACAGTCGTGTCGAAGTAACCTCTTCCTTTAAAAATGCTGTATTCAGACTAAGACACCCAGGAAGGTCGTCCAATTTGATCATTATGTTCTAAGAAAGAAAAATGACGAAGGGAGAGCCACGCACCTATATTGTCCTCTAAGCATATGCATGTAAGGTCAATCTTATCAGTGCCAAACGTACTTCCTTTTCGTATACTACAGGAGCGAAAACAGAAGGTAATATTGAAGCAGTGTAGTAAGTAGAAATTTTAATGCTTTCATTTCTGATTAGCACTTGACAGGTCATTGTCTTCATTAAAACTTGGCACGATATAAATGCTTATTCATAAAAGCAATTTTTCGAAGATGAAAAATGGATTTGGCATAATATGTACACATGTGTACATATATAGTATCCAGATTAGTAAAGTATTTTGAGCAATGTTAAATTGTCCATGTATTGGAAAGAGCTTTTCACATTCCAAGAGTCAAAGGTTGTAAATCCCCCCTTTTTTTAATGAGATTAAATAAATCATCAAAATGAAAATAGGGTTCTCCCTTCATTTCAGGAATATGATGCTATTTACATTATGCTGCTTTTTTGTAAGGTAAGAAAATCTGCTATAGGACTGCATCTTTACAATATAAATCAAAACCGACATGAACCCAAGCGTATTCGAAATTTCGTAAATTAAAATACAAATGAGACAATCTTAAGCTTTAGAGAATTTACATTACCCTATTTTCGACAGGAACATCAAAACTTTATATTTTGAATGCTTTACTCTCACTATATATTCAAAGTGTGCTCGCCAATCCTTTCCCGGAAGGAAGCGATGCTGAGGCCAGATGGGTATATCATCTCGCCGATCACGATCAAAACTACAAATTAACACTACTGGAATTCCAGAGAATTTTCTTCGACTTTGACAGGAACCGTACGTATTGATAACAATTTTCTGTAACCCGTTAAACATCTTTCCACGCATAGTCACCGATTTTGATGAAATTTTGCCCATTATTAGTGAAACCAAAAACAAATTAAAAAAAAAATTGGTTGCTATGTGTCTTGGTTGTCATGGCAACAGCCAGAAAAAAAGCAAGCAAATCATTCTCACAAAAGCATGTTGCCACTTATGCTGTAAAGATACTGTTTAGAATATATCTCTAAGTTGAAACCAAGGGTACATTTGAACTACATTAGAAATGCTGAAAAACGCTCAGTATTCACTAGTGGTATGTGTAACATGATCAAACTCAATTAGTAACTTAAGAAAAACAATGAATTTAAAATGTTTGACCTAAAATATAAAAGTATAAGCAATGCTATTCTATAAATAACTTTTATGGTTGCAATGGTAACACAGTGTAACCAAGCAAAATCAGTAACTAAATTTGGAATAATGATGTTGTCGTGAGGAAAAACATGAAAATTCAAGACTGACAAATATGCATACTTAGGGCCCTGCAACAGCAATAAGAAAAATTGTGATTAATTGCTACTTTGCAATGTTACCATGGAAACAACGTACCAGTGGATCAAAATGATATTTTCTTTGCTGCTTTACAATCTAATTTAAATTAGATCCTTTATGCTCCTTGTATTTTGTTATGTCGCTGTACAGCATAACAAAATACAAGGAGCGTAAAGGATCTAATTTTAATTAGATTGGCTGCTTTAGGAATGAAATTGTCATTGTACAAGTGATCTGGTTTTGAGCGAATAAAAAATTGAATTGAATCAAGAAACATTATTATATGACTCACCTTGAATATTACTTATCTGGTAGAACTAGGGTTGAATATCATAATTAATATTGATGAAATGATTAGGAAAACAACACTGTTTCTATGGATACCAAGACAGGACAGTGTTCGATTTTGTTAACTTTATATCAAATGAAGGGCCATACCTCTTCCAAGGGGAGATAATTATGAGTTAGCGAATACTTAATGGCATCTTTTAAAAATCTTCTTCTCAAGAACCAGTGGGCCAGGAAAGATGAATTCATGTGGAAATATCCTCAGGTAGTGCAGATTCAATTTTATTAATTAAATCAAAATCACGATCCCTGGGGGTAGGGCGGGGCCACAATAGATAATCAAAGTTTTACATAGGAATATATCAGAAAAATCTTTAAAAATCTTCTGCTCAAGAACAGCAAAGCCATTATTGGTGATATTTATAGGGAATCATCTGCAGGTGGTACAGATTCAAGGTTGTACAAATCATGACCCCGGGGATAGGGTGGGGCCACAATGGACGATCAAGGGTTTACAAAGGCATATATAGGAAAAATCTTTATAAATCTCCTTCTCAAGAACAGCAAAGCCATAGCTAGTTAATCATATTTATATGGAAGCATCCTCAGGTGGTGTAGATTCAAGTTTGTTCAAAATATGACCCTCGGGGGAGGGTGGGACCACACTGGACGATCAAAGCTTAATATAGGAATATATAGGAAAAATATCTTTAAAAATCTTCTTCTTAAGAACATCAAAGCCATGGTTGGTCAAATTTATGTGAAAGATTCTACAGATAGTGTAGTTCAAGTTTGTTCAAATCATGACCCTTGGGGATAGGGTGGAGCCACAATGGACGATGAAAATTTAGCATAGGAGTATAAGGAACAATCTTCAAATATCTTCTTCTCAAGAACACCATAGCCATGATTGTTCATATTTATGTGAAAGCATCGAAAGGTAGTGTAGATTCAAGTTTGTTCGAATCATGACTCCCGGCGGTAGGGTTGAGCCACAATGGACGATCAAAGTTCACATAGGAGTATATAGGAAAAATCTTCTTCTCAAGATCAGCAAAGCCAGTGAGTCATTTTATTTGGAAGCATCCTCGGATAGTGTAGATTCAAGTTGTTCAAATTGTACCCCCTCCCCCTTACCCCTTCTGCCTTTTAGGAGTAGGTCGGGACCACTCATGCACTTAAGCTGTTTAATATACTGAGCTGAATTTTGCTTTTTTCCTAGCCACAGTGCTCAGGTGAGCGGTGTGGATCCTGGGCCCCTTGTTTCTATAGCAATGCTCTATTTATATAAAGAATCTTATATTTGATTTTTTAAATGGGAAAATTAGGATCACACCAACACCTTTAAAAAATCATCATTAATTATAATTATTATATATAAATATGCTTTTTAAAAAGATATGATCAAATTTAAACATACAGAGTGAAAATTTAAAGACTCTTTGTGGTATAAATATCATGGAAATCATTGCCAATCATAACGAATATCATTGCATGTGTTCTTGGTATATATATGTTTCAAGGCTCTTTTCTCTCTTATTTGGTCACATTTCATTCTATAAATGTTTTTTAACGTGTATGCCTTTATAAAATTCAAAATATATATATTTTTTTATACTTTTGAATACTTTCTGCCATAGCAACGTATGTAAAACTAGTTGATTTACCAAACATGTTTATCATGCAATTAAGACATCACGCCTTCAACTTTTGAAAACAGTCATTGCCAATGTTAATTGCTTTGTCGCAGATGTTATCTATGCTCTAGACCACAGGCACCTGAAGTATGGATAATACCCCCCCCCTTTTTTTATGAAAAAGAATGTAAGAGTGTATAATATCTCAAAAATATAAAATTTCCCCGTCAAACACATCTATATGTCGTTATATGCAAGCAGATTGTACTTTTTCTCACGTTTAAAGAATGGCCTTATTCGGTATAATAAAAATACACGTGTATTTTTATTATACCGAATAAGGCCATTCTTTAAACGTGAGAAAAAGTACAATCTTTGCATATAACGACATATGATGTGTTTGACGGGGAAATTTTATATTTTTGAGATATTATACACTCTTACATTCTTTTTCATAAAAAAAGGGGGGGTATTATCCATACTTCAGGTGCCTGTGCTCTAGACATGTTAAAAAACATCCTTTTTCAAATTTTAAGACATGTTGCCATGGTAGCCGTAACAAATAGCAACCAATTTTTGACTGATTTTAGTTAAGGTTATCAAATACTTTGATCACAGAGAGTTTGAGAAAATTTTCAGACTATGCGTGCAACAGCCCTACACATGTATTAAATTTCAAGTCATTATAGAGAATGGCTTTTAATTAGTTATTTGATAACGATATGCACCTTATGTACCCCCACCCCAATAAAATAAAACATACATTTAATTACAATAATTGTGTTAAAATTATAAATCTGTAAAACACAATAAAAAATTCATGAATTCCAGATGACAAGGCAGTTACTAGCGACGAGTTCCTTGTGGACTGGCGTGAGCGAAATCTTGGGTCCCCGTTCGAGGCCGTGGTTCTGTTTCACCACTTAGACGTGGACAGAAATGGACAAATAGAAGAACGAGACATTCCCTGGATTCTCGCCTTTTTTGACAGAAACTGTAAGAATCAAAATTATTATTTTATTTGTTTTAACTTTTAATGGAGTGCAACACAGAATTTTATTTTTGAACACTTTCAAGAGAGCAAAACAAGCAAAGATTGTTGAATAAATACATCAAATAAACTCTTTTTTAATATACACTGTAATCGATTTTATTTATCAGTGTTTTATTTTTTACTTTTCAATTCATTTTCAGTGGACGGTTACGTTGGACAAGCAGAGTTTGTCATTACATGGCTTAAGTTAATACATTCTACCCAGTCGAAATAAACATGAAACACTAGTTTTTTGGGTTTTTTTTCTGTGCATGTACGAGAGTTTGGGTTGTACCGTACTGAGTATTTCACTGCTACAACCATCGCCAAATTATTACTTCCTCAAAAAGGGAGTTACCGGTATTTTAAAAAAATTCCCAAGATTTCTTAGAGCCTAACAAAAATCATCATTTGCATATTCAGTTCTTTAATTGGCACCCACCAGCTTCCGTAAATTTCCTCGTTCACTTGATCAATATGGAGCAAACGGCGTGACTGGTAGACAGGGGATGCTAACATATCCTTGTTACCTGATTCCACCTCCCGATTTTTAAACCGAGATCGATGTTTGCTCACAATTTAAACTGATTTTTCACCTTGATTACTCTTATCTTCGTAAGCCTTGAATTACACTGAAAAACATCTTTCCCTTGAGCTCAGCTGTCAATATCAGTAGAATTGTCATGTCGTTATTCCTCATTCTTCCAATTCTTCCAGCATCTCAGTGAAATATGAAGGAACAATAAGCATGCTCAAAAGTCCAATCAAGCAAAAGACATCGATAGCAGTAAGAGCAAATATGACTCGTCCTCTGAAAATAGAGATTGGCTAAGGTTCCATGGATAAGTGAGCACCTTTTTTTGGGAGGGGGGGGGGGGGCACAGGGGCCGGTAACATACTATTTTTGATTTTACGTAATCGCTATATATATATAAATATTTATTACACACTTAGTAATAAATACAGGATTTTTGCATATGCGATATGGCTGACGTCACAATAGCCGTATCAGCCCTGCAGGGCTGATATGGATTTGCAGGGCTGATAACCTATATCAGCCCCGCAAATCCATATCAGCCCTGCAGGGCTGATATGGCTTTTGTGACGTCAGTATCAAATTAAACCACAAAAACAGTACTTGTGATCATACACAATTTTTGGAGGGTTAATTCATATTCTCTTAATTTTAACTTTTGAAAATAAGGTTAATCTTAATTTACAAATACATGTAATAGATTATTTTCAGATTATGGATCGAGTGCATTGAAATAGAAGTAGAAACAAACCCAAATCGTATAAGACAATAGACCATGTACATGTCTGTAAGAAGTCCATACATGATTATTTACTTATTTTCTTCTCAACTTAGTGTATGCTGTATTTTATTACTAAGTATGTAATAAATATAATAATACATACCCTTTTCCACATCACATCCTGTATCAGCCCTCGACCAATATCAGCCCTCGGGCCTTCGGCCCTCTGGCTGATATTGGTGTCTCGGGCTGATACAGGATGTGATATGGAAAAGGGTATGTATTATTCTCTATATATATATATATATATATATATATATATATATATATATATATATATATATATATATATATATATATATATATATATATGTAAGACTCCAAGGTCCGATGGTGACGCCAAAGTCCGATGGTCTCGCCAAACCCCGATGGTCTGCGCCAAACCCCGATGGCACGCGGTCTTTACGGACGCCAAAGTCCGATGGTCACGCCAAAGTTCGATGGTTGGTTTCCTATGAGACGCGCGACGCTAAAGTGCGATGGTCTGACACGCCATAGTCCGATGGTGCGGAGGAACAGTCGACGTTTATGACGTCACAATAGTCCGACGTCATGACGTTGTCCTGCATTCAAAATCCATTGATTCAATATTTGTCTCACATACATTTTACTGATATTGCTTAGTATTCGCCTACCAGAGCTATTAGGCCTAGTCTTTGTAGACTATTCGACTGATAAGGGTTAGTTCTTGAACACCAATATGTTTCCGCGAGAGATTTTATGGTTAGTCCTTGCACACTATTGGACTAATTTTGGTTAGTCCTGCACTCATCCAAGATATCTATTTTAACATATTTTTCGACTGATAAGTGTTAGTCTCGCACCTATATCTAAAAGATTAGGGTTAATCTTTGCATTTAATATTTATTTGTATTTTATTTTAAACAAATCGGGCTTGGCATGGCGCGGTTTCTCATTTTTGTGCAGCAGTACTATGACGTCATAAACGTTTATTGTTTGCCGCACCATCGGACTTTGGCGTGTCAAACCATCGGGGTTTGGCGCAGACCATCGGACTTTGGCGTGACCATCGGACTTTGGAGTCCCATCGCACTTTGGAGTCTACATATATATATATATATATATATATATATATATATATATATATATATATATATATATATATATATATATATATATCCAAAGTCTCTTTTTGTCAATATAATAAAAAACTTTAAAACACTTTTCGAAATATTTCAACCGTGTTACCGGCCTTCATCAGTCGTGTTTATTTAAACGCATAGCAACTCAACAGTATTATGACGTCACAATGAACATAGAAATTGAGAGGCAACGTCATGCAATAAGATTGCGCCAAAAACATCTGAAGATATTGTGGGAGCAAAAATTGTACTTGTGTATCAAAATTTTTATCATACAGAATAAAATACTAGAGTACGGGGTATATTAAAAATATGATTTTAAAGTATATATAAAAGTATATCTGTAAAAATAAGTATCACAATGTCACACAAATGTTTATCAATCCAATTCAAAGACAGAAGTGTTCTCTTTTGTTAATACCAAATGGTATATAAGTGTTCAACTTTTTCTTCCAAAGATTTTCTCTATATTTACGGTAAATGTCATTTCTATACAGTTTTTCAATGCCTATTATATTATAATCTTCTACTGTATGTACATCTGAATTAAAATGAGTAGCCACAGGATCATTTGTTTCCCTTCTAATTAAAGACAAATTCAAAACATGTCTTTGATATAAACTATCACCAGTTTCTCCCACATACACTATTTTGTCACACTTTTTACAAAAAATTCCATAAACAACATTTTTTGATTTACAATTAATATAATTTTTGACTTGAAAAGTGCATCCATTATTATCTTCAAACCGGCTGGTTTTCACAACATATTTACACAAAATACACTTTTTAGCACCACATGGTTCACATAAATTTCCTTTTTTAAAAAATAAATTGTTGTGTTTTTTATACACTAAAATGTCTTTCAAATTTTTGTCTCTTTTATAGGCAACGATTGGGGTCTTTTTGAACGCGAGTTTCAGGCGATCGGAATTTTCAAGAATTTTTTGTCTTTTCTTCAAAATGTTATGAATATTCGGTAATCCTTTTGAATAGGTCAACACAAGGGGAACACGGTCACATTGCGTTTTATTTTTTCTATAATTTAGTAGATCCGAGCGATTGAGTTTGTCAACTTTTGTAAGTTGTTTCTCTACTTCGTTGCTAGAATATCCTCGTTTTCGCAAGTTTTTTTTCACTTTATCACGTTGGCTTTGATAGTTTTCCTCTGTGGAGCAAATACGACGCGCTCTGAGACCAAGGCCGTACGGAATTGAACTTTTTGTAGATTCGGGATGGCTGGAGGTTTTGTTAAGGTACATATGTTTGTCTGTTGGTTTGCTGTAAAGATCTGTTGTGAGAAATCCGTTATCCAGAGAAATAGAAACATCAAGGAAGTCTATTTTTGTTTTTGAAAAACGCAGGTCAAGCTGAATGTTGGGGTGAATATTATTCGCAGTCATATGGAAATCATGTAGTTCTTCTTCTGTCCCCGTCCAGATCCCAAAAATGTCGTCAATGTATCTTAGATAAAAAAGAGGTTGTTGTTTACAAATCGCCAAAAGAATATTTTCCCATTCCCCCATGTATACACATGCATAGTTTCGTCCCAGTTTGGATCCTATAGCAGTACCTTCGGTTTGGATATAATGTTTATTGTTGAAACTAAAATTATTGTTATCCAGGACAGCATCCATCATTTCTAGAATACTGTCAGTATCTACTTCTTTTTTCTGTCGTTCTTCTAGAATCCTTTTAATTACTTCCCTTGCTTCCTTCCTTGGTATACTAGGATACAGTGATTTAACATCCATGCAAAATAATAAAGAAGAATTTGGCAACGGTTGATTCAATGTTGAGAGTTTCCTCAAGAAATCCGTGGTATCCTGTATATAACTTTTAAGTGATTTGTTTGCATCCTCGAGCTGTAATTCAACATACTCTGCTAGTTTTTCTGTGGGATGTTGACGGCCATTTACTATAGTTCTCAGCGGGTGATTTTTCTTGTGTACTTTTGGATTGGCCTGTAGTTTACCGGAAGAAATTTCTGTTGGTAAAAGGTAGTGTCGTAGAAATAGATCCTCTTTTATGCATGTTATTCACTAACTTTTTTATTTTATTGATTATTTGTTGAGATCTGTCTTCTTTGACTTCACTGTAGGATGAGCTATTCAGCATTTCGTTTTCCACTTGATCAACATGTTTATTTGAATCCATAACAACGACTCCTGATCCTTTGTCTGCTGGTCTAATGATAATGTTTGGATCCTCTAGAAGCTCTCTCATAGCACTTTCCTCTGAGTTTGTAATATTGCTCGAAAAATTTCTGCTTAATCCCCTGATTACATCTTCCTTAACTTGTCTAATGTATTCATCAAGCCATTTGTCCCTCCCCTCTTCTGGTGTCCACTTTGAATTTGATTTCTTTTTCTCATAATGTTCATCTGTATCTGAAGATTCTTCATCTTCCTCATTAAAAAAGAATTCCCGCAGTCGCATTCTATGTTCCCATATTTGCAGGTCTGTTAATAACTGTGTGAAATCAATATTCTTTTTGGTAGGTACAAATTTTAGTCCTTTTTTAAGCAAGCTTAACTGCGCGTTTGTTAGTTTTTTTGAAGACATATTGATCACATCCTTATCTGAACATGTACTATTATCAGGCATTACCATAGTTTCATTGTTCTCATCATTTTCCTCCGAATCCCCGTTGTGCATTTTAGAATCTTCCGATAATAGATGATCTGCTGCTCCAGAATTAGATGCAAAGCAATTGCACGGGCGATGTGAGGTTTTGATGAAATTAAAATGATTTGAAAAGTAATTTAAACAAATGAAATCTTTTTTATGATAGCATTCCTCCGCATTCGGGTACTTTTGCCATTGGGATCGGTTATTTGAATTTGATTTTACAAAAATATCAACATCAAACCGGTATGCTGCTGCAAACACTTCTGCTTCTGTTGCCCATGAAGCCACACTTCCGTCCAATAATTTGACATTGTTCAAATGATCTTGAAAATCTCCGTCTACGTACTCATTATAAAATTGTTTATTTGCACTCAGTTCTTCTACAACCTTTCTTCTTATTTCAGCATGAAATTTCTGATCATCAAATAAATAATATGAGACGCATCTATAGAAACAGTTCCCATCCCCCTCTATTCGAATTTCTACATCTTCATCAACTATGACTGCATTGTCAACTGTGGGGTTTACGGTCAAAGTAGATACAACATTATCTTTTTTATTCCTGTTTTCATTTAATGCACCTAGTTTCCTACTCTTTGTTCTGAAAAGTTTCTCTGCATTTTTTTCTACATTAGCATTGATAGATGAAAAAGCCTCTATATACTCCTCCTCGCCAAGTTTCGTCCTTAGACTTTCACTCTGCTTTTCTATAGATTCATTAAGTCTTGAAACAGTTTTAACACAAACCTTTACGGATTCCTGCATTAATTTTCGGGAAGTTGAGTCCAGGATTCCATGAATATTTTCTTTGTTGTCAAGTGTTGTATCCAAACCTAAAGTCCATTTAAGTTTAAATCCTTTTGGAATAATGTTACGTTCCAAGCAAGATTGTAAGAATAATTGGTGGCTCTCATATCTCGTTTTCTTCAAAAATGTTTTACGCAAAATTCTCAATTCGTTCTTCTGCACGCAGGTCATGTTGTTCTGCTACACTTTATAAAAATCCAAAGTCTCTTTTTGTCAATACAATAAAAAACTTTAAAACACTTTTCGAAATATTTCAACCGTGTTACCGGCCTTCATCAGTCGTGTTTATTTAAACGCATAGCAACTCAACAGTATTATGACGTCACAATGAACATAGAAATTGAGAGGCAACGTCATGCAATAAGATTGCGCCAAAAACATCTGAAGATATTGTGGGAGCAAAAATTGTACTTGTGTATCAAAATTTTTATCATACAGAATAAAATACTAGAGTACGGGGTATATTAAAAATATGATTTTAAAGTATATATAAAAGTATATCTGTAAAAATAAGTATCACAATGTCACACAAATGTTTATCAATCCAATTCAAAGACAGAAGTGTTCTCTTTTGTTAATACCAAATGGTATATAAGTGTTCAACTTTTTCTTCCAAAGATTTTCTCTATATTTACGGTAAATGTCATTTCTATACAGTTTTTCAATGCCTATTATATTATAATCTTCTACTGTATGTACATCTGAATTAAAATGAGTAGCCACAGGATCATTTGTTTCCCTTCTAATTAAAGACAAATTCAAAACATGTCTTTGATATAAACTATCACCAGTTTCTCCCACATACACTATTTTGTCACACTTTTTACAAAAAATTCCATAAACAACATTTTTTGATTTACAATTAATATAATTTTTGACTTGAAAAGTGCATCCATTATTATCTTCAAACCGGCTGGTTTTCACAACATATTTACACAAAATACACTTTTTAGCACCACATGGTTCACATAAATTTCCTTTTTTAAAAAATAAATTGTTGTGTTTATATATATATATATATATATATAAAAGTATTTTTGTATACATATAGTGATTACGTAAAATCAAATACAGTATGTTACAGGCCCCTGTGGGGGGAGGGGGGGGGGTTACCATCTTTCAGTCAACATTCAACCTGATTTGTTATTAGGAAAAAATGTCTTTAAATCTTCTTAAAAAAAATTCTTTTTCTAATACTTAGAAAAAAAATCTTTATATTTAGAACTATTTTGCTATAATACCGGTTTAAAGTGTAAAAGACTTATAAAATAAGAATTATTAAAGGAACAGTGAAATTTACTCCCTTAAACAAATATGGGAAAGCATCAAATAAGAAAAAAAAATTGATGAAACATGATATCTTGAGATAATTGATAGTTCATGATACTATAGATATATAAGTGTATGAGGTAAATTGGCGATAAAAAAAAATGAATTCATCAGGGTAAGTTTAGGTATAATTTTGTTATTCAAGTCTTTTTCTAGCGAAACAAATATGCAAAACAACAATTATTTTTTCGAAAACAAACTTCATGTAAAATGGAGAACAAACAGCTTGGAATAAAATCAAAAAGCTCAACTGTAAAATCACCAGACAGCATCGCAAACATAAAAGGCGCTGTTTTGATATTTATTGCCATTAAGTTTACAAACATTTTCTCTGGTTAGGTTTATGCTTTAGATTTGGCACAAACTGCCTCGTTGACTTAGCAGCAAGTATTTTCTTCTTCTCGGGTAGAATTTATTGAATAAAAAATTCTGCTTTATACGAGATAAAGCAGGTCGGCTAATCAAGGAGCACAGTTTGTGCCCATTAACATTTCAAGTTTCTTGGAAAACATGGTTTTCAAAGACTACATTAATCTGGCCTATGATGACCCCCAGCATCCTTTCATTATCAACATCAAAATATTGAAGAGATGTACCTGGCCCTGTCGTATATTTTTCATCAAGTCCTTAGTTTTATATGGTTTCAGTTGTAAACTATAAGTACTTATGCTTGAATTACAGTACTAGTATTGTGCAATTATCAGAATAGGCAATATAAAATTCTACATGTAAAATTATCAGACAATTTTCATCCCTAACGGGTTTCATACTCTGATAATTTTTCATAAATTTAGGACAGAACTCAGTATCTAGTATTGAAGGAAACAGTTTTCTGTACAGGTACTTGTGGACAGGGACCCCCCCCCCCAATATTCAACCCCGGGGTTTGTTGGACATTTTCCCACACAAGGTTATACTTAATACACCTATTCACCACGTGTACCATGAAAAAAACTTCGTGAAAACCCCAAAATAACCGTTCCATAAAGAATTCACTCTTATATTAATGTATCGTCGTCGCAAACCATGGCTAAAATATATGATCCTCTCCACAGTTATAAGCGGACTCCGTACCGTGGCTTGAGACGATGATAATGTATAGTGGGGTATTTTTTGTGGAACAATTATTTTGGGGTTCTTACGATTTTTTCCTATGGTACACGAGATGAATAAGTGTAATAAATATAATTTGTGAAAAAAATGTCAAGCAAACCCAGGCGTTAAATATCGGGGAGGGGGGGGGGGTCCTGTCCACATACCTATGTTTCTTTTTTCTAATAGAGGTGTTTGAATAAATTCTTCTTCCAGGGGCGTAGCAACAGGGGGGGGGGGGGGGGGGCAGGGGGGCCTGGCCCCCCCCCCCCCCCCACTTTTTTCCCCAACCTTACTTACACTATAGGAAATGTTAATTGAAATCCCCTGGTTGCCCCCCCCCTTTTTGTGATGTACCGAAAATGTAGTATTAGAATTGGTACTGGAAGTAGTTGACACTTAGAAAAATTTTACCCCCCCCCCCCCCCCCGAAATAGGATTTTCGACTTTGGGCAACTTTTTCCTTGTATTTTTTTTTTTTTTTTTTTTGCTTGTCAACTTTTTCAGGCGAGTAAAAAAAAATTTTGTCTGGCTGGCCCCCCCACTTTCAAAAACGATGCTACGCGCCTGTCTTCAGTAGATTATTTTAAAAATAGGTTGGTTAATAGATGAGGATGGTTAGTGTCCATCGAAATTCCAAGATTGTTGCAAGATCTTTACTCTAGAGTCTATAGATATTGTCAATCTTGAACTCAATGATCCAGCATCAATTTTATGTCCCATCATGAAAATAAGGCATATACAGTTTTTCATGTCCTTCATCCGTCCTTCCATAGCACCTTCTGTTTAGTTCAGGTCAAACCCCATTTTCAATGAAATGATTAAAGATATTTTTATCAAATTTCATTAGCTGATGATACATATTGATAAGAGCTGCTCAAGTGCTTCAACATTTTTTTTACCTTGACCTTTCCTTTGACCTTGACCTCACTTTTTTTAAATTAGTGTATAGCTCAATTTTAGTTTTTTTCATAGCTATATCTACCTGTCTACTTTCAGTAATCATCCATAACCCCTCAATAAAAAAAAGACAACTTCTGAACAAATGCTTTCAACTTTATTTACTTGTACATGTACATCAATACAGCTTCAGCTGTTGCCAAAACTGTTGAAGAGTACATAATACTAAAACAAGAACTAATGCATAATCATGCAATGTCATTTTGGCAAATTCTACTCAGTCTTAAATGATTTTATAAATCTTAAAGTTTGCATTTTTTCATCAAGTATATGTGATTTAAAACTGCAAAATGGAAAAGAAATGTTTTTGAACTTGAGATAAAAAAATCCTGCAGAGCCTGACACACCACAATAAGAAAGTCTCTGTCATGTATAAATGCTTCTGGACTGGGAGGTAGAGATATTATTTTAAATTGTACTTTCAATGAAATTTTTAAAGATATTGCAGTATTCAATGTCCAGTTTATATGAGAACCAAAAATGACTGACCAAAAGAAATAGCAAAAAAAAAACCAAAAAAAAAAACCCCAAAAAACTTTAAAATAGGGGTATTAAGGAGTTGTAAATGGACAGTTTTTAAAAATCTGCTTTTTTCAATCACTCATCTAAAATTAGGAATTTTAAATAAGTTAAAATATCATTTAATTTTTGCTCTTGTGAATACCCAGGTATTACTTTCAAAAAGTGACAACTTTAGGCTCATTTATTTCTGCAGTACTATCTAATCAGATTCAAAAATGACTGAAGAAAATATAATTAAATATTGCAGTGTGTCAAACCTTGCATTACACAACCTAACAATCTCAACCCTAGACCATATGTAGACCAGAAATACTTAAAAAAAAGAAAGAAAAATATATTAACAACTGTATCAAAAACAAAACACTAGTTATCCGCTGATTGTCGAGTGGGTACAATCAATCTGTTCCCAGCCATCAGAAAGAACTACAAAACAAATGACAACATACATGATACAATTACATAAAAGGCTATCATATTTTTAAAAATTTCCCTATTGTAGTCCCAGTCCATCCCAGGATGTGATCAATTTTAAATATGGAACACACCATGATGTGTTTACATTTATATTTCTGTACTTTGGCTGGTGACTAGACTAGCTTTGGTACAATTAATACGTTCTTGAAAAGAGGAAATTTTTTATATACATCTGTCTTAGTCCTAAAGGGTTCAAGTTTTAAAATCAAACTTAATTCTTTACTGTTTTTTCTGGTCCAGTGGATTTTTAAAATATTATAAAACACTTAAATGACCCCACCACATTTTTAAAATCACATTCCTGTTAAAGAGGGCATGGCTCTTCCTTGGGATAAAACTGAATCCCCTTTACCTAAGGATGTTTTGTGGTCCAATACTTTTCTGGTCAAGAAGTAATCAAGATATGTTTGTGAAACACTACATGCCCGGCAGCAAAAAAGTTCTAAAAAGCTTTTTTTAGCAAATCAAGGTCACAAGGTCATTGTCCTTGAGGTCATTTGAAAGAGCTTAATGAGTGGAGTATGCATACCAAATACGAAGCCTCTGTCTCTAATGGTTCAAAAGTTATGGGGAAGGTTTTTTTTAAAAAGGCTATTTTTAGCATACAGGTCAAGGTCACAAGGTCATTGACCTTGAGGTCTTTTGAAAGAGCTTAATTGGTAGAGTTCGCATACCAAATATGAAGTCTCTGTCTCCTATGGTTCAAAAGTTACGTCGGAGGTTCCAAAAGGCTCTTTTTAGCATTTAGGTCACAGTCAATGTCACAAGGTCATTGAACTTGGTGTCATTTAAAAAAGATTCTTTAGTGGAGCATGCATACCAAATATGAAGTCTCTATCGTTTATGGTTCAAAAGTTATGGCAAAGGTTAAAGTGTGCAGACAAACAGATAGACAGGACAAAAACAATGTGTGCCCGCAATCAATCAATCCTATAACAATATACATTTATTGACTGAGTTCGAGGGCAACATGCATTTTGTCGGACCCAAGAACCCTTAAGCCGAAGGCAGACAATTTGGTTCGAGGGTTGACAAAACACATTTTGCCCAAGAACATAGTCAATAAATGTTTTGTTATACCTTTCATTTTATTTTTTTAAAAGGTATTTTGTACTGTCTTCCATGATTGAACCTCAGATTCGTCACTTTTGAAAACCAACAAATGAAAATGAGATCAAGCTCCGCCTATTCTGTGATCTGTGCGGTCCAACACCTCATCAATCAGTCTAACATCTCACTCAGCGGTCCAACATCGATTTTTTTATGCCCGCTCAGCAAAACATTAGAAATGTTAAACTTTTTTTTTCATATAGATAAGATTTGTATGGGAACAAATGTTAAAGGCATAACAAAACAAGCTAATTCAGAGAATTTGTGTCCCCCGCTTAAGGAAAAAGTAAAACATGCGCAGTTCGGGGGGAGGGAGGGGGGAGAGTTGGATCCCCCTCACTGAATTTGTAGAATTATTAAATGTATACATGCATGTTTACTGAAGCAAATAAAATATACCATTATGGATATAAAGATTTAATTGCTTATTCTTTATTATGTGTATAGAAGATTCTTTTTACATGGAAATTCAATATTTATCACACTGTAATGATGATTTAATGAGTTTGTACAAGCCAGACCTCGTAAATTTTTCATTCCGCGTGCTGAATACTATTATTTAGTTAAAAAAAAAAAAAGTATTTAAAAAAAAAAAACCAAGAGGCCCATGGGCCACATCGCTCACCTGAGAAGCTTTGACCATTCTGTTCTTTACCAGATTTCCCCCTTGTAATACATAATAAGACCCCACCCTATCCCACTGATCATAATTTATACAATTTACAATCTACACTACTAAAGGATGCTTCCACATAAGTTTCAGCTTTTATTGCCCAGTGGTTCCTGAGAAGTAGATTTTAAAAGATTTTTCCTATATATTTCTATGTTAAACTTTGATTCCCCATTGTGGCCCCTTCCCACTGTGGGTCATGATTTGAACAATTTAAAATCTACACTACCCCAAGATGCTTCCACATAAGTTTCAGCTTTTCTGGCCCAGTGGTTCTTGAACAGAAGACTTTTAAAGATCTTTCCTATATATTTCTATGTAAAACTTTGATTCCTCATTGTGGCCCCACCCAACCCCCGGGGGTAATGATTTGAATAATTTAAAATCTACACTACCCCAAGATGCTTCCACATAAGTTTCAGCATTTCTGGCCCAGTGGTTCTTGAGAAGAAGATTTTTTAATGACCCCACCCTATTTTTGATTTTTCTTGGTTATCTCCCCTTGTGAGGGGACTTGGTCCTTCATTTTAGCAATTTAAATTCCCCTTCACCCAGGGATGCTTTGTATCAAGTTTGGTCAAAATTGGCCCAGTGGTTCTTGAGAAGAAGTCGAAAATGTGAAAAGTTTACTGACGGACGGACAGATGGACGGACGGCCAACGGACAAAATGTGATCAGAAAAGCTCACTTGAGCCTTCGGCTCAGGTGAGCTAAAAAGTTGTCCGTCCGGGACTTGAACTCGGGACCTCTCACACTGGAAGCGAGAAACATACCACTAGACCATGGAATCGCTTTACATGGAGTCAAGTATATGCAGAAGTGAAGTCACATACATGTATATATTCATGTTTGGTATTGTCAAAATTTTTCACAATCCATGGTGTTTGATTTATTTAGCCTTTATTAAACAGTTCTAATAGATGTAATATAGAACATAAAGTCCGCCGAGAACCTGTTTTATACGCAATAACTCTCTTCATGCCCCTGTGCTAAAAATAGCGACGTAATACTATAAATACTAATAAAACAAACGGGGTGGGGCACTTTGAGAGGGGTGAGAGAGGTCCTAGGGAGTTTTGGTATAAAATTACATTGAATAAGCTCAAAATCTTCTTAAAATATCGCCCGGAAATGATAGTGTTACACACAGACAGAATGTGTAAATTTACAACCTTGAACTTTGACCTTTTGACCTCAAAATCAATAGGGGTCTTTATTAGGCCACATGGAGTTGTTATGTAAAATTTCATTGCAATAGCTTAAATGGTTCTAGAGATATCGTGTGGAAACGAAAGTATTATAACAGACAGAATTTGCTTATTTATGACCTTGACCTTTTGACCTCAAAATCAATAGGGTTCTTTTTTAGTCCATAGGGAGTTGCTATGCTAAATTTCATTGCAAAAGCTCAAAGGGTTCTTGAGATATCGTGTGGAAACGAAAGCCTTACAGACAGACAGAAAGACTGACGGACAGACAGATGGACGGACAAACCCAAATTAATATCCCCCACTTTTCAAGCGGGGGACAAAAAATTATTAGAAGATAAACAATGCACAACAGATGGACAACAGACACCCTTTGAGCAGAAAAGTTTACAAGAGTGAGCTAAAATTTAAAAATTTGACGAGACTTACCTTGGTTAAGTCGAAGTCAGATTGTAATTCTATGAGTCATTATAATTACTGTAGGGATTATGTGAGATAGTAGTACGCATGTGCAACCTCAGTTTTCAAATTAAAACATTTGGTCATAATGTAATCATATAGAATATAATTACTTTACTTATATAACTTTATACATTATTGGTTGGATATCTATGAATATCTGAATAATTCTGCAGGGAGTGGTGGGAGGCACATAATCCCTACAGTAATTATAATGACTCATAGAATTACAATCTGACTTCGACTTAACCAAGGTAAGTCTCGTCAAATTTTTAAATTCTATTTCGTCATAATTACTTCCGGAATTATGTGAGACTTCAAAGCCCATTATGATCAAATGTTTCAAAATACAAGAAAAATTACTTGATCATAATACTATTTTACTTACTGAGAAGTCTCCCACTCTAATTGTTCTTTGAAAGTACACCTGATGCAAAACTTTCATTTTCAACTATGATGTCTTTTTCGTAAAATCTGGAAAATGTTGTAGCATTTGTCCATCCAGCCTTCCTTAAAATTTCATCTACTGGTACATCTACTGATTTCGCTTTTGACACTGAAGCAGATCTTACACTATGCGATCCAAATACATCTGTATTAACACCAGAAAGTTTCATTACCATCTTTATCCATCTAGACACTGTGTCTCTTGTAACTGCCTTATGAGGTTTAACATAACTTAATAGAAGTGATTGTTCTCCATTTCTAATAGGTGCTGTCTTTGATAAATATTCCTTCACCACAACATATATACAAAGTCTCCTATCTGGAGGGTGTGCTTTCATATGTACAACAGGCATTTTATACCCCGGTCTACATTGCTTTAGCAATCCAGAGTATTCAAATATATATTCATTAAAACACTTTTTCATATTATTTACAGAAATAAGATGAATTGACTGAGCTCGTGCAGCATTTGTCAAAGCGATTAATATTACAAGTTTCAATGTTAACTGTTTCAAACTTAAATTCTTCACAGGAGACCATTTCTTCAACAGTCGTAGCACTAATGATACATCCCATGTTCCAGAATATCTGGGTTTAGTTGGTCTAATATTATATACACCTTTCATATATCTGATAACAAGAGCATGGGATCCAACACTAGTTCCATCTAACTTTATGCCCAAAGCTGACAAAGCCCCTCGAGCTGTATTGAGAGAACTGTAACTCAGTCCATTATCAAAAAGTAAAGTCAAGAATTCCAAAATATTGTTTACAGATGGTGAAATTGGATCAATTTTCCATTCAAAGCAGTACTGAAACCATCTTTTAATGAACGTTTGATACTGTTTTTTAGTACCGGTTCTCCATGATGCCATAATAATGGAGGTAGTTGTTCTTGAAAATCCAAGGTTTCTGTAAGTTCGCCGGACACTTGGCATGCAATCAAGGTCATTTTTTCCCACAAAGGATGAGCCTCTTTTTTGTGAGGGTTTAAAAGTAGATCCTTCTTTCTCGGAAGTAAAATTGGATTCTTGACTATACTTTTCATTAATCCTGTGAACCAAGTCTGAGTGGGCCATAATGGGGCAATGATAATCCCTCTTGCCCGGTATGAATCTTCTTGATGCACAAGCCCATCAGACTAAAAGGTGGAAAAATATAAAGATAATCAAAATCTCTCCAATTCAATGAAAATGCATCAACATAACTACATTCTGGATCTTGTTTCCATGAGCAAAACACTTCAACTTGTGTATTAAGTCTTGATGCAAACAAATCTATATTTGGAAACACTAGCTTTGAACAAATTTGTAAGAATATATCATGATCTAATTGCCATTCCACTTGATCATTAAACTCTCTGGATAATTTGTCTGCTTCTATATTATTTTTCCCTGGAATATGAGAACACTTCAACCAAATGTCTCTCTTAATGCACCATTCCCATATTTCCACTGCGAGTTTATTGCAAATTTCAGATTTAATACCACCCATGTTATTAATATAACTAATGGCTGTAGTATTATCTGATAATATTCTTACATATTTGTTTTTCACAATATTCACAAAAGATCTCAAAGCAAAGTAAATTGCAAGCATTTCCAAATAATTTATGTGATTCAATTTTTCTTCTTCTTTCCATCTTCCACCAGTTTTGATATTATCTTGTGTACATACTGCACCCCAACCTGACAAGGATGCATCAGTTTGAATGGTAATCTCTGGATTACCTCTAGAAATAAATCTGATTTGAGAATGAATATTGAAACACCACCAATTTAGCTCTTTTTTCATTTGCATAGTTAGTGGCATTAATGAATCAAAATTCCCTTTAGCTTCTTTTAGATGCTTTATTTTCTCTTTTTCTAGCAATCTGTAATGTAATTGTCCCAATTCTGAAGCTGAAAAACTTGAAATAATCAGTCCAATGACTCGAGCTACAGTTCTTATTTTTGCTAGATCTTGATTTATTAAACACTTACATTCTTCATAAATAATATCTTTCTTCTCCTCAGTCAGTTCAATAATCATTCTCTCAGAATTTATTTTGTTTCCCAAGAATGTGATACATTTTTGAGGTTCGAATTGACTTTTCTTTCTATGAATCACAAAACCAAATTTCTCAAGATATTCTCTTGTAATGTTCACATTCATTCTGCATTCATCAATAGTATCTCCAAACAGTAGAACATCATCAATGTAGGTCATACTAAGATAACCTAATGTTCTAAGCTTAGCAAAAATTGGTTTGAGAACTTTTGTGAATATTCTAGGTGCTGATGACAAACCAAATGGTAAGCAGGTATATTGAAATATTTTTCCTTTCCATCTGAATCTCAAATACTTTTGATGCTCAATTGCTATTGGAATTGTATGATAGGCATGTCTTATGTCAATTGATGCCATAAAACAATTTTCCTTGACCAGATTTACTGCAGATTCGAAAGTATCCATCTTGAAATGACGGTATACCACATGTTCATTTAAATTTTTCAAATTGAGGATAACTCTGTATTCCCCATTTTTCTTTGGTCTAACAAAAATAGATGAAAGAAACTGATCTGGTCCAGGAATTGCCTCGACAATGGCTCCCATTTTTAATAAATTCTGAATTTCTTGATCTATCACTTCAGATTCTACCGAGTTAAACACAGGTTCATACAAACTACATTTTGTTGGAGCTGCATTATCTATAAATTCTATTTTGCAATTTTCAACTATCTGTAATATATTTTTATCTGATGTAATTTTTTCCCATTCTTTGGAAAAATATTTCAATCTACCTGCAAAAAATTCATCATTTTTCTCACTAACCTCATTCTTTATTGATTCTTGTTTTTCTGCTGTGACAGTGTCGTATTGCTCTTCTTGAAGTTTTTTGGATAGAATTGGCCACTACTTCTGTTTGGATAGTTAGGATTGTATGCAGTGTTGTTGTTGTAATAATTTCCACGTCCTCTAGGTCTACGACCAGGACCTCTGAAACGTCCTCTCATTCTCCCTCGGAATGATCCACCTCTGTTCAATTTGTGACCAATCTTGCTGCAATCTTCAATTTCTTTCGCAGTTTTTGAAATATCGTCACCAAATAACCAAGACGTATAAGGTACAGTTTGTGCACATAAGTGCAAGTATTCGTATCTTAATTCTGGTTTTATAAGCTCACGTCTTGTCATATTTACTTGTTTGTTTGCATGTCCAAATAGAGCCAAGCTGTCATTGCATTCATCTATAATTTTTCCCAACTTCGTTTTCTGTGTATCATCTAATTCATTTTCCACATCTGCCAACTTGTTCACAACTTTGGCCAGAATGATAGAACCTTTAATAACAGAAGTTTCTATGTTTTGCATTTTTCTATCAATTGTTTTAGCTTCTTGAGATATAATATCCCAAACGAGTTGGTTTGTCTTCACAACTTTCAGACCTTCACAATTTTCTGGTCTTGCATTATTTTCATCTTTAATCATATCTGAATACTGATCTTCATTCATTCCATTTCTAAACAAATCTGTTATATTTGTAGCCAAAGTCTCATCTATTTTCACATCACACACTTCTCTGCTTTTAAATCTTTTACTCATGTTCTTAAAACGACTTGAACTTTCTTGAACAACTTCTGTGTCCAAATGATCACTCTTCCTTTTTCCAGAAGCATTATCTGAATTTTCAACATTATCATCTGTACGCTGAACATTATTACAACTCTCGTCGTATGTCTGATCATCATCGTAACCTTCATAATCATCACATTCTTGAAATTCGTTTTCTATCATATTGATCTTATTGTTCAATGTACCAATCTGTTCATCTTGTTTTTTCTGATTTTCAAGAATTGTATTCAGTATACACATAATTTGATTATCGTTTTGTGTATTACCGCTGTTGTGGACATCGGCCACAACTTTCACAGGTTTTTTCGTCCCGCTGGACCTAGTGCTTGTAGCGCTTACCGTACTGCCGACAGAACTACCATGCTTCTTAGTCTTTGTTCCCTGAACCTCGACTTTAGAGTTCTTTTTAGTAACATCGTTACTTTTACATGTTCCGTCTGTCTTTTCTGTGTCTACTTCTTCTTCAAAGCAAGTAGTACTTCGTAATTGTTTCTTTTGAATCATCTGTTCCGCCATTTTTTACGACTTTATCATAAAGTAGTCGAAGAACCGCTTTATGGTAGTCGTAAACACAAAACTCCTCGAGTTTTGTTGATAATAGTCGTAAAAAACAGAACTCCTCGAGTTCTGTAATTAATAAAATCTTATCAATGTGTCAAACGAAAAAATAGTTAACCACGTTAACTTAGACACGAACTGAAGTTGCTAATTGAAGGACCACGTCCTTCTTCGTTCATAACTCGTACCACACTGAGGTTGCACATGCGTACTACTATCTCACATAATTCCGGAAGTAATTATGACGAAATAGAATTCTATGTCAAAAAGTGATGGCATACCCCCACTTTATGCTCTGAGCAAGGTAAACTAAATGTAAGTAGTGAAATTAGCATTGATTTTGGTTGAAAAATTTCAAGATAGTTTTAGAAACCTAATTAAATAATGATTTATGCTAATAAAAATAAATATATCAACTTTAAGAAAAAGAACACGAGAATTTTTTTCCACAGAATATGTGTAAATTATTAAACAGTCAAAAAAGTTGTCCATACAAGCTAATTCAGAGAATTCGTGTCCCCCGCTTAGGGAAAAAGTCGGATCCCCCTGACTGAATTTGTAGAATTATTAAATGTATGTACATGTACACTGAAGCAAATAAAATACATGTATGTCAATATGCATATAAAGATTTGATTGCTTATTCTTTATTATGTGTATAGAAGATTCTTTTTATATGGAATATTTATTACACTGTAATGATGATTTTATAACCTCAAAAATTTTTCATTTCACATGCTGAATACTATCATTTAGTAAAAAAAAAAAAAAAGAAAAGTATTTAAAAAAAAAAAAAAAAAAAAGGATCGACCGAGATTCGATCCCGGGACTTCTCACATGTGAAGCGAGAGACATACCACTAGACCACGGAATCGCTTTACATGGCGTGAAGTATATGCAGAAGTGAAGTCACATACATGTATTTATTCATATTCGGTATTGTCAAAATTTTGCACAATCCATTGTGTTTGATTTATTTAGCCTATATTAAACAGTTCTAATAGATGTAATAAGAACATAAAGTCCGCCGAGAACCTGTTTTATACGCAATAACTCTCCTCATGCCCCTGTGCTAAATATAGCGACATGTAATACTATAAATACTAATAACACAAATGGGGCGGGGCACTTTGAGAGGGGTGAGAGAGGTCCTAGGGAGTTTTGGTATAAAATTACATTGCATAAGCTCAAAATCTTCTTGAAATATCGCCCAGAAATGATAGTGTTACACACAGAGAGAATGTATAAATTTACGACCTTGAACTTTGACCTTTTGACCTCAAAATCTATAGGGGTCTTCATTAGGCCACAGGGAGTTGTTAAGTAAAATTTCATTGCAATAGCTCAAATGGTTCTAGAGATATCGTGTGGAAACGAAAGTGTTATAACAGACAGAATTTGCTTATTTATGACCTTGACCTTTGACCTTTTGACCTCAAAATCATTAGGGTTCTTCTTTAGTCCATAGGAAGTTGCTATGCTAATTTCATTGCAAAAGCTCAAAGGGTTCTTGAGATATCGTGTGGAAACGAAAGCGTTACAGAAAGACAGAAAGACGGACGGACGGACAAACCCAAATTAATATCCCCCACTTTTCAAGCGGGGGACAAAAATCCCTGAACCTAATACATTTATACAAAGATTCTCATTTTTGTTTTTTTTTTTCAATTAAAACTAGATGTTTGTGAAACACTCAGCCCCCCCCCCCTTTGAACATACATGAAAAGAAAATGATTGAAAATTGCAAATAATTGGAATTTTTCTAAGTCAAAGGTGCATAACTCTGTCAAAAATCATAGGTGCATAACTTTTGTCAAAAATCATTTGATCTTTACCAAAACAGAACTTGACCTAGATATCCTTATGATAAATCTGTATAAGAAATTTTTCGTTTATGTGCAACCTCTGCAAAGAATTTGGCTTGCAGACTGACCAATAGACAGACAGCAGCAAAGCAATATGTCCTCACTTCTTTGAAGGAAGACATACTGTAAACCAACTTTTATTCGCGTGCGAGGAATTTTCGCGAAGTTCGCGAGAGCCTCGTCATCGCGAATATTTCTCGCCGCGAACGGGTCCTTAAAGTCTCTTTTTCTATTAAAAACAGTTCCAAAAACGGCTTGATCGCGAAAATTAATCGTCGCGAACTAGTTTACTCCCGGTAAATCGCGAAATAAAGTCGTCGCGAATAAAAGTTGGTTTACAGTAATCATTAATGATGGAAATGGTTTCATTGTGAGTAAAGCAAACTGACAAATGACAATATCTACATGTAATTGAATTGTTTATAGATATACATGTTTTGGAACTTAGAACATAAATAAAACATTTTATCAAGTTTCTACCTGTATAAATCTATATACTTTAAATCAAATCACTTTCTTCTGACAAATATAGCCTGTGCTTAGCCTTACCATTATAAATCCTTTTTCCTTCATACAAAACCACTTCTTTCTGACAACTGGGATGCCAAAGGCTACAAAAAAGTAAATTCAAAAATTTCACTATCAAATCAAAATGTTCATCAGGAAAAATACAGCTTGTATTGAAAAAATTACAAATATACTAATGCACAAGTAAAATCTTTTGACAAATACAACAAAATGAATGATCAATGAACAAATAATGAGAGTAGTTAAATTCTAAGACAGTTCAATATACAGTCTAGGTTTTAAATGACACCGACAATTCTCTTCCATTGTAGCAGTAACCATTCATGTTAAGGATAGCATATTCAGCCTCCTCATAATTTGGCATGGTAACAAAACCATAACCTTTAGACTGACTTTTCTGATGGTCCATTATAACATTGACTTTGGTAACGGTTCCAAGAGGAGAAAACATTCGCCACAGGGTCTTCTCATCAGCCTCCGGACCAATATTATAGACAAACAACACATAGCCCCCGCCGCCTTGGGAGGGAGGACTGTAATAGTCGGCACCATACCCACTGCTCGCCCCTCCATATGCCCCACTGTAACTACTACTGTTTCCCATGGGGTTAAACCTAAACCGACTCCCTGGGTTTCTCATGGGCCCCCGAGACCCTTCCATTCCCTCCCCATACCCCCCATGCACTGGATATGGAGGCTGTGAGTAATAGTCATACTGAGGAGGAGGTTTAACTTTTTTGGCGTTGTCGTCCGCAAACTTGATTCTCAGAGGCTGGGTTCCACCAGGGGGCACTTTGTTATCCAGATCAGCAATGGCTGCCTCGGCCTCTGATCTTTTACAGAACAAAATAAACCCTATCCCTTTGGACTGGCCTGTTGCACGATCTGTAACAACTCGAACTTGAACAATATTTCCATATGAAGACAAATAATTTGTGACTTCTTCCTCCGTGTAATGTAGAGGCAATTTCTGCAGGTACAACTTGGTTCCCTTGGATTCCTCCTCATTTCTGCGAGAATATGCCACTTTTAAAACCTTGTGTTCAACACGGTATCCATTTAATTGGCTGATGGCAGTTGCTGCATCTTTTGGGCTGTGATAATCAACAAAGCCAAAGCCATAACTGTACCCTGTATTCTTATCTCTTACAATTTTAGAGGATTTGATTGGCCCAATGCTTTCAAACAAGGACTTAAATTCCTCATCCTGCATTGATTGAGGAAGGTAATTTATGATCAGGTTTGTTTGTTCTTCTTCCATTCTGTCAGAGTCTGGATTTCCAAATGTCAGCCACAAAAAAAAAAAAAGTAAAAAAAAAAGTTATATTATATTTAGATTTTCCAAAATGCTTTTTTGAAAACACGACAATTTCAGTTACTTTTTTAAAAAAAATTCTTGATGTACTGTAAATCACATGTTTTTAATTTTCAAGAGACAATATTTAATACTTTGTTTTTATTTGCTGGACAAGGTTTTTAAGTATCGCAAGTTTTAAACCCTATAGGCTATCAGAACTACAACGCAGTATTGTTCAAGAGTAACTGAGTACTCTGCTTAAATATATTAATCAATATTCTTATGAACATGGTGTGATTTACAGCACCTCTAGTTTCTTGTCAGATTTCAAATAACTGGCTATGTGTTAAAAAAAAAAAAGTTACCTGTCCGCTGATTGGAAAAAAATGCAAGATGAAAAAAAAACTGATTCCTCAAAGTCTCATAAAACAGCCTATATAAAAAAAAAATGCAGAGAGAATATCAAATGTTAGTTAAAGGATACAAAAAAAAACTTAATGGCAATACACATTACAATACAATTCAGACTAGGAAAGGAAGTTTTCTTTTTCTATGATCATTGGAAAGTACAACCCACAAGAAATTTTTCAAGACACAGAACTATCTGATGTGCTTTTGCAACCTGCATTTTATCTGTTTTTTAACGAGTTTGCAAATACTGATTAAAAATAACAATATATACATAGCAACTAGGCTTAATTTCTTCAAATATTATTTTACTAAGCGTTTAAATAAGCAAACTCCTCTGAACTTTTTTTCAATAAACCATTTATATGATAGATTAGAGCATTGTCAAAAAAATGGGGGCATAAATATACACATACACTTTACATTTATATATAAACAGCTAATACTGAAAGAAATTCAGAGCTACCAGCAAAACTGCAAAAGGTCTTAAAGACAATCTTCAAAAAATAGTTTATACTTAATTTTGCTCAGATTGTCTCAAAACTCTATGGATAGCTTTTGCTCACTAGTCAGTGCTGGTGGTTAGAAGTTAGCTGCAGAATCTGTAGCGTTATGGCAGTGTTTTATATACTTGTCATTGACCATAACGCTACAGATCCTGTAATGCAAACGGTGCAATTTACAGCGCAATATTTTTTGCGCACTTTTGGGGAGAATTTCTCCACTTTCCAGCATCGGTCAATTAACTACCTTTCACTCCCTAATCCTAGGCACATTATTTAACTAATCTGTATATTTTATCCATCTCCCAAGTCCCAACCCTTTATAGTTGAAACTACAAGTGATAAACTTGCTTGATTAAAATTATTTGTTAGATTGCTGAAAATTCACTTCAAGCGAGTTTATTGCCTGTAGAGACAACTATAAATGGCTGGGAGGTGGATAAAATATATATATTGGCTACAGAATGTGTCTAGAATCAGGGAGTGAAAGGTCGTTGACTGAACAATGATAGAAAGTGGAGAAATTCTCCCCAAAAGTGCACAAAAAATATTGCGCCATAAATTGCACTTTTTTTGCATTACGCGATCTGTAGCATTATGGTCAAAGACAAATATATACAAACTAATTCAGAGAATTTGTGTTCCCCTCTTAGGGAAAAAGTAAACCATGCGCAGTTCGGGGGGAGAGGGGGTCAGACCCCCTTGACTGAATTTGTAGAATTATTAAATGTACGAGGGCTGTTCGAAAATTATTGAGACATTGTGTATATATTTCTTTCTAATGAACGTCTTTCGGTGAAAATTTGCATATACATTTGACATACACTAAGAATTAATAAAAGCAGGACATATTTTACAAAAATCAAATATTTTCTCTACAATGGTACATAAATGCGTCGATAGTAGGGGTACCCGGAGCAGTCACGAAATTAGATATTGAAAATATGTAACACCTACGTTCTAACTCTTCGTGAATCCAACTTAAGAGAATAAATAATTCAGTTTATGTGTATAATTTTTCAGCTTTATTTCAAATTCATGTTGTGCAATTTTGTTAGAATTTTGATCAGAAATAAGAATATCATAAAAAAAATTAAGCGCGGTAGAGAAATGGATTTTGACGTCAAAGGCGGAGCATCCAGCATACCTAAAATTTTGTGTAGCACAATGTAGAACTCTTTTCCAGAATGAAAGACTCGCTAAAACAACGAGAAAAATTAAGTATAAGTGTTTGTTATTTCATTGGTATACATTTTTTTTTACAATTAATCCAAACAGAGTAAAATTAAAAGCTCTGAACGACCAACAGTTATTATACGTACGATATTAATATCAATACGGTATTAACAACGTTGACCCGCGTTGCATAAATTGGCACTGCATGATTCTTACTCATCATTTCCCACAAATGAAAATTTTACACTTGGGAAGCAACAACATACATTTTTAAAGAATAGTTTAAGAAAAGAGACTGTTTGATTTTTGTAATGTTATATGTAATAACAAAGAAGGAAGAACATTAATTAAACGCTGCCTTATCGTTTCACATGCCAAACCAACTCCAGCTGACGTGACGTTAAATGACGTAGCAATGCTGCTCCGGGTCGATAGACATATGTATGTTTATTACTTCACCGAAACTTATCTAATTATCATAGGAATTAGAAATTTTGCATGCTTGTTTTATTTGTTCGTAATAAAATATTGATAAATTTTCATGAAATTATATCCGTCCTTTATCGAGTAAATGTAATTGTCTCAATAATTTCCGAACAGCCCTCGTATACATGTATACTGACGCAAATAAAATATGCCAATATGGATATAAAGATTTGATTGCTTATTCTTTATTATGTGTATAGAAGATTCTTTTTATATGGAATATTTATCACACTGTAATGATGATTTTATGAGTTTGTACAAGCCAGACCTCTTAAATTTTTCATTTCACATGCTGAATACTATCATTTAGTAGAAAAAAAGTATTTCGAAAAAAAAGAAAGAAAGTGGATCGTCCGGGATTCAAACTTGGGACCTCTCACATATGAAGCGAGAGACATACCACTAGATCATGGAAATGCTTGACGCTGGCGAAAATTATATGCAAGAATGAAGTCACATACTTGTATATATTCACCTGTTCACGTTCGATATTGTCAAAATTTTACACAATGCATGGTGGCTAATTTAACCTTTAATAAAAGTTCTAATAGATGTTATATGAATATTAATAAAGTCCACTGAGAACCTGTTTTATACGTAATAACTCTCCTCGTGCCCCTGTGCTAAAAATAGCAACATGTAATACAATAAATACTAATAAAATAAACCATAAAGTTCGGGGGGAAGGGGAGTCGGACCCCCCTCACTGAATTTGTAGAATTATTAAATGTATACATGTATACTGAAGCAAATAAAATATGCCAATATGGATATAAAGATAATTGATTGCCTATTCTTTATTACGTGTATAGAAGATTCTTTTTATACCGAATATTTATCACACTGTAATGATAATTTTATGAGTTTGTACAAGCCAGACCTCACAAATTTTTCATTTCACATGCTGAAAACTATCATTTAGTAAAAAAAAAAAGTATTTCGGAAAAAGAAAATGGATCATCAGAGATTCGAACCCGGGACCTCTGACATATGAAGCAAGAAACATTTTTTTTCTCTCTTTTAAAGCGAGAGACATACCACTACACCACGGAACCTCTATTAACTGACTAGAATTATACACAAACATGTATATATTCATGTTCGATATTGTCAAATTTTACACAGTGCATGGTGTTTAAATAATTTAACCTTTATTAAACAGTTCTAATAGATGTAATAAGAATATAAAGTCCGCCGAGAACCTGTTTTATATGTAATAACTCTCCTCATGCCCCTGTGCTAAAAATAGCGACATGTAATACAATAATTACTAATAAAAAAAACAGGGCAGGACACTTTGAGAGGGGTGAGAGAGGTCCTAGGGAGTTTTGGTATAAAATTACATTGCAAAAACTCAAAATCTTCTTGAAATATCGCCCAGAAATGATAGTGTTACACACACACAGAATGTATGAATTTACGACCTTGAACTTTGACCTTTTGACCTCAAAATTAATAGGGGTCTTCCTTGGGCCACAGGGAGTTGTTATGTAAAATTTCACTGCAAAAGCTCAAAGGGTTTTCGAGATATGGCGCGGAAACGAAAGTGTTCTGAGAGAATTTGCGAATTTATGACCTTGACCTTTGACCTTTTGACCTCAAAATCAATAGGGTTCTTCTTTAGTCCATAGGGAGTTGCTATGCAAAATAACATTGCGAAAGCTCAAAGGGTTCTCAAGATATCGCGTGGAAACGAAAGTGTTACAGAACAGACAGAAAGACGGAGAGATGGACGGAAAGACAGACCCAAATTAATATCCCCCATTTTTCAAGTGGGGGACAAAAACCATAATGCTACAGATCTGCAGCTAGTCAGAAATAAAATAGGATGAATGTGTGACCAAAGAGCTTGAGTTCCATGCATTAATAAAAATCATTAAATGTGATATATTGCACCAAAAAAATGTGCATGGTTAGAAACTTATGTTACTAAAGCAATATAAAAGAACAATATACCATAGTTTCATAAATTTGAGTAAAATTTGGGGGCAAAATATATGCCTGATTGAAAACAGAGAACGACTGTGACTTTGAGTGATGTTCCAGGCCGACAGGGTTTTATTCACACATAAAACTCCGGAGAAAACAATCTACAGCACGGTCTTCCACTGAAAGCACCTACGCCCCGAGGTCAGGGCGATCCTCTGTGTTCACCTCATCATGGTCTAATATATGTATAGCCAGTGCAGGTCAGGCATGTGTTATTTTAAATTAATCGGACTACAAACCACTGCCTTTGTAATTCATGTCTTAATTTTATATGTAGGTCTGAAATGAAAATTCCCAAAACTAACCAACTGATCTTGTATTTTCTTCCAATTTCCCTTGATTTAGTTCTTTCGATCACAAAATCCAAAATGCATTCCACTCCTGGTAGGCGGTTGCCAGGGATTTCGTCCCCATATTATGTACTTCAGTCAATATACTTTAATTTAAAATAAATACATAAAGAATAATTATTTTTTTCTATAGAGAGAGAGATGGAGTTTTCCTTTATTTGCAAATCATTATCATTTATGTACCATATTTAGAAATAAGCTGTAAATACAATAAAAATCATTATTAATAGAAAGAAAATCCTTTTTCATGTTTATCTGAGAAAATTAACAAAAGTAGCTTTAAATGCATTTTTCATTATTTGCATGTATAAGCATGAGTCCACAGAGACCCTATTTAACACAATACATGCGTTTTTGCTAAACCCACACACCCCTCCCCTTTTACAACTTAGACATGGGGTCAAAATAACTGGAAACCTCTAAGTGAATAAAGTTAGCTTGTACTACAGATCAAAGAGCTTTACCTTTATCATTAGAATTTAACCCTAATTTTTATGTTCTTAAAAATGAAATGAAATTTGACGCATCATTATTTTATTATCTTCTACACTGAAACTCAGTATTGACAAAACTTAATGAGGAATTTTTTTTACGAATATGTAATGGTACAATTCACCAAGACATAAATTAACCTGACGAAAAATACCAGTTTATTTTTTCAGTAAAACTTCGATTCCATTAAGATCTACTAGAGAGCATTTAATAAGGTTGATTTACACTGTGGAAAGAGGTAGACTGAGTTATTATTTCGTTTAATTTTAATAGGAAATGTTGTAAGGCAACTTGTTCTTCTCCTCATCTTCACTTTCAAGTCGTGTCCATGCCACATTTGGGCATGCTGTATGAGCACCAGTTAACCTATAAGGGAAGGTACATAGGATCATTTACCTGGCAACACAACTGATGCCAGAATCAATTGTTCGTCTATCTGTCAGTTAATGAATGTCATTGAATGTGCTATTTGGTTTGTTTCTGTACTTCAATATTAAAAGTCAAAATTAAAATTCAAAATTTACTTTAAAAACATACTAATTAATGAATTTTAAAATAGAACAAAAGCACTCATACCGCCTTTGTGTAGCACCCCCTCGTGGGAGGAACTGAACAAGTAATGGCAATGTCTCCACATGAGAGAACATTTTTCAAGAGGGACGTTAAACAAGATACAATCATCTATTCATCTAGTAATCAAGATCACCCAGTATTACTATACACAAATGTAAAAATTCATCGAGAGATAAAGATTTCATATTTGGTATGCATACTCCACTAATTAAGTTCTTTCAAATGACATCAAGGTCAATGACCTTGTGACCTTGACTGTGACCTATATGCTAAAAATAGCTTTTTCGAATATTCACCATAACCTTAAAATCATGAAAGATAGAGACTTTATATTTAGTATGCATAATTCACTAATTAAGCTTTTTCAAAAGACACCAAGGTCAATGACCTTGTGACCTTGGCTGTGACCCATATGCTTAAAATAGATTTTTTTAACCTTCGACATAACTTTTGAGCCATAAAACATAGAGAACTCGTATCTGGTAAGTGCCCTTCACTAATTAAGCTCTTTCAAATAACACCAAGGTCAATGACCCTGTGACCTTTACTGTGACCAATATGCTAAAAATAGTCGTTTTGAACCTCTGCCATAAATTTTGAACTATAAGAGATAGAGACTTCGTATTTAGTATGCATACTCCACTAATTAAGATCTTTCAAATGACACCAAGGTCAATGACCTTGTGACCTTGACTGTGACCTATATGCTATAAATATTTTTCGAACTTTGTTGCCACCAGGCGCATAGTGTTTCACAAACATATCTTGATTTTTATTTTGATGATCAACATAATTTTTCTATCTGTTCAAAGAATAGCAGAAGTAGGTATTTCTTATTGACCCTGTGGCATGCTATCGATTGTTATGTTCCTCAGTACAGTTTGTTAATTGTTAGATTGATAGATCATTATTTCTATTAATTACTAATGCTGCAGCACAACCTGAAATAATACATGTACTGCAACTGCTTTGCAGCTTCTGGCAATATTGCAGCAAATCTAATTTACATACGAAAAACAATATCACCGCAATATTGCCGCAATGTATTGCCACAATGTTGCTGCAATATTGCCACAACACTTTTCTGGCAATATTGCCGCAAATCTAATTTACATACGAAAAACGATATTGCCGCAATATTGCTGCAATGTATTGCCAGAATGTTGTTACAATATTGCGGCAATAATGCCAGAAGATGTTGCCAGAAGGTGAGTATTTTGGTAAGGAAAGTTTTGAATAAGGTAATAAAATGTATGATGTATCAGAACACTAATTTATAAGCTCACCTGAGCCTTGCTCAAGTGAGCTTTTCTGATCAAAATTTGTCCGTTGTTTGTCGTCGTCGTTGTCGTTGGCGTCATCGCTGTCGTCGTCATCGTCATTAACTTTTCACATTTTTGACTTCTTCTCAAGAACCACTGGGCCAATTTCAACCAAACTTGACACAAAGTATCCTTAGGTGAAGGGGATTCAAGTTCTTCAAATGAAGGGCCACACCTTCTTGCAAGGGTAGATAATTATGAATTAGTGAAAAATTAATGGCATTTGTAAAAAATCTTTTTCTCAAGAACCACTGGGCCAAGAAAGATGAAACTCATGTGGAAGCATCCTCAGGTAGTGTAGATTCAATTTTATTCAAATCATGACCCCCGGAGGTAGGGTGGGGCCACAATGGCCGATCAAAGTTTTACATAGGAGTATATATAGGGAAAATCTTTAAAAATCTTCTTCTCAAGAACCACTGGGCCAGGAAAGATGAAACTCATGTGGAAGCATCCTCAGGTAGTGTAGATTCAAATTTGTTCAAATCATGACCCCCGGGGATAGGGTGGGGCCAAAATGGCCGATCAAAGTTTTACATAGGAATATATATGAAAAATCTTAAAAAATCCTCTTCTCAAGAACCACTGGGCCAGGAAAGATGAAACTCATGTGGAAGCATCCTCAGATAGTGTAGATTCAAGTTTGTTCAAGTCTTGACCCTGGGGGTAGGGTGGGGCCACAATGGCTGATCAAAGTTTTACATAGGAATATATAGGAAAAATCTTTATAAAAATTGTCTTCTCAAGTACTTCAAAGCAATGATTAGTGATAGTATAGGAAGAAAATTTTTTTTGAAAATCTTTTTATCAAGAACAGCAAAGTCGTATGCTGTATTAATATAAAGGCATTCTAAAGTAGTATTAAATTCAAGCCCCCCCCCCTTTTTATAAACTTTTCAGTTCTGATCTGATTTGTGTTTTTTCCTAGACGATTTGCTCAGGTGAGCGATGTGGCCCCTGGGCCTCTTGTTATCATCTTGGGGTGTGGTGTGGTCCATTTTTGACAAATATCAAGTAATACATGTACCTCACTGATTAAATTGAAAATGAATAGGGTTTGTCCTTTTACAATGCCACATAAGTATGTGGAGGCTGAAAATTGAGAGTGCTAAGGTTCTCTTTAAATCTTGCCCACAAGTTGTAATTGAAACACACACACACATACGCACAGAATCAATGCTATATCCCCTCCACAACTACTTGCATAGGGGATAGAATACAAGAAATAAAACCTGAACTTAAGTGAGCGACAAAAAAAATCAAAGTTTTTTTTACAACGCTTGATCTACTTTATCTCTCCGAATTTTCTCAAGCACAGAGGTACAGTTCTTCAGATAAGTTTTTTAAAACCAAGCATGAGGTCTAGATCATGAGTACAGTGTACATTAAAAAAAGTATTGGAACAAATAATATTTTTAAAAAAATAATAATAAAAAAATCCCCACTTTTCTGGTGCAAAAGTATAATTTTTTGAAAGGTGAATAAAAATTTCAAGGTAATAAGGTTCAATTCAGGGTATTTTGGAAAGGTCACAGATAATGCACTTGTGAAATATGAAAGCCCTCTTTTCCCTCATTTTAAAGTCATGTCCAAGGTTAGAGATTTTTAGGTCACCTGAGTCACTCAGGCGACCTATTGCTATCTGTTTTCGTCGTGCGTCGTGTGTTAACATTTGAACATTTTCAGCTTCTTCTCTGAAACCACTGAACCAATTTCAACCAAATTTGGTATCTATGGGTAAAGGAGAACAAAAATTATGAATTTTATGGTCCCCACCCCCCTGGGGCTTGAGGGGTGGGACCAAAACCACTAAAATTAATGAAATCTTTAGCAATTCATCTTCTTCTTTACTTCTGGACATCAAGCAGTCAAACTGTTGGCATGAATGTAATGAGCATTGAGTCCTCTACCAAAATTGTGAAATTCATGGCCCCAGGTTCAGGGGTTCTAGTGCTAGGGTGGGGATATATTGATTATATAGTGAAAATGCATTATTTCTTTGAAAATCTTCTCTGCTCCTAGGTATTAAATAAACCAAGTAAGTACATAGTTATCACCTATGATGAGAAAGTGTACTAGGTATTAAATAAACTAATAACGAAGTACATAGTTATGATGAGCAAGAGTGACTCTTCCAAAATTGTGAATTTTATGGCCCCAGGGTCAGGGTTCTGGTGTTAGGGCAGGGCTCTATTGATTATGTAGTGAAAATGCATTAATTCTTTGAAAATCTTCTTCTCTGCCCCTGGGTAATAAGCAGATGAACTACCTATATATTTATGATGTTCAAGGGTTCTTCTTCCAGAATTGTGAATTTCAAGGCCCCTGGGTCAGGGATACCATAGAAGGGGGGGGGGGCTCTACTTATATACTGAAAATGAATTGTTTGAAATCTGCTCCTTGGTATTAATCAAACATTTATGATAAGTATTAGTGTGCCTTTTCAAAAATTGTGCAATATGTGGACCTAGGGTCAGGGGTTCATGTGTGGTAGGGGCACTTCTGATTATTGCTGAATATTACTGATTAGTTGAAGTATATTTATTGTTCCCCTTCCCTGCTTATGGGTATTAAGTAAACAAACTAAACAATTGCTAAGTGTATAGTTATGATTAGGAATGGTGCCTCTTTCAAAATTGTGAATGCCATAGCATCTAGCTTAAAACATGAACCAAATACAATCATTTGAAAGTTGTTGCATGATGCTCAGGTGACCTATAAGGCCCATGGACCTCTTGTTTTATAGATAGATGGAAAAACATCTGTCAATTTTAAAACTGGTCATTGGAGACTTTTTAATGTTTTGTATCAAACTGAAATAACTCATTATTATAAAAATATTGTTAATACTTACGTTAACATCAGTGTAATATGATAGAAAATTGAATGATGCATTTAGTCAAAACCTGACTATGTTTTTTTTTTTAAATTCTCTTGCAGACAGGAAGATTTAGATGCTCTAGAAATTCTGGATAAAGTAGAACCTACAGACTGAGAGGTAAATACCGTAAATTAGTTTTAATGAGGCATTGTAGAATACATACAGAAAAGAATATAGAACATAGTTACAGCAAACAAGCTTGTTATAGGTGTATGTTTACAACAAAGTGATTTTAATTCCCCTTGACTTTAAGATATATAATAAACCTAACAGATATAAGAAATTGTTTCTAAATGAAGCAAAATCATCTGTCCATGTCACTTCATTATAAGCTTGTTTTACTGTTATTTACTTCATATAATTGTTTTCTCTGATTTAACAGGCTGTAAGTCTCGTCCTTGATTCATGGTAAAAGGTTAATATAAAGTCAAGGTCATTAAGACTCTTGCTGAAATATCATGTTGTCAGTATGAAGACAGAAAAATATTATTTGATTCTTAATGCATGTTTTTCATAGGTGGGACAATGTGGCCTTGATCCACAGATGATTTTTTATCATCAACAAAAAAGCAATCTTATTTTTACTCCCATTTAATGTTTAATGATGAGTTTAATGGGTAGATCATCAAGTTTTAAAATATTTAAAGGTATATTCTGTTAATCATTTAGGACTATCTTACATGTAATAGTTTTAATTGAATTTAATGCTTAAAATTTGTGGCATATATACACTGAAATGAAATTTGCTATACAGTCAATTAAACCATTTTTGAGTTATGCCCCTTGGACTTTGAAAAATTCCAAAGTTTTCATTTTTTCGCAAGAAAATCTTGAAGTTTGGTATACAGATTTATTAAAAAAATTCCAATTTGGGGGAGGGGGGGTCATAAGTGTTTTACAAACATGTCTTGTTTGTTTTCATTTCCGACATAATTTTTTTTCATTTAATGTCAGTGACAGCACCATACTATGTCCAAGTCACTGATAGATTTACAAAATTGGTGTTTTTTAATTCATTCCTTTCAATTTTTCATGGTAAAGTTTCAAATCTGTTTAAATGTATTTGAAAAATGCCAGAAATGAAAACAAAAAGTGTCAGAAATAAAAACTAAAAAATGTCGGAAATGAAAAGTTGATAATTACCAAAAATTCCAGAAATGAAATGCAGCCTTAAAATTTGTGGCATATATACTAGGGCTGGGTATTGTCCAGAGATTTCGTATTGCGATATGTATAATTGTATTGCAATACATGTGTTGTATGCGTTGTAGTATTTTCAACGTAATTAAAATGGCATTTTCTCATTATATTTACTTCAATTTACATTTAGAATGTAAATAATTATGATAAGTAACCAAAGGGGAAATGCATTAAGTTGACTTAATTACATTATATACTAAAATACACCCATGCAACAACTTCTGTCTTAATGTCTTGCTTAATCACACATAGAATTCCTGAGTCAAAACATCTTGTCAGTATATAGATATTACAAAAATGTATTGCAATACGATATTTTTTGTGATTGTATTGCAATATACTGAAATATCGTTATTTTTGCCCAGCCCTAATATATACACTTGATGATAATTAAAATGGTATGGCTATGATTTAAATTCTTTAAAAAATCTCTATTAAAAATATGTTTTTGCATGTTTTGGTAATATTTTAGACTTTAAAGCAGATAGAATGACTTTTTCTAATACCATATCTTTCCCATTTTATGAAAATTTAAAGTCACAGTAAAGATTACGAATTTCATTGAAGGGGATAGTATCAATATCTATTAAGCTGAAACAGTTATGAATTCTTTACGTTTTGTTTTTGTTTTATTTCCTTTGTGCATTTTTAACTTATATTTTGTTTTTCTTTCTTTCTGATTTACCAGGAAACCTGTTTTTAATTTTTTTTCATTATTTATTTTTTTTCCACCATGACTAATGAAGGAGGATCATGTCAGACCCCAGCACAAATCTTATCGTTAACTACCTCCCACAAACCCTGTCTGATGAAGGCTTTAAGGAAATGTTTGAGAAGATTGGGCCCCTCAAATCCTACAAAATCGTCCGCGACAAGGCCACTAACTACAGCTATGGTTTCGGTTTTGTGGATTACTTGAATGCTGAGGATGCAGAGCGTGCCATTCATGAGATGAATGGTCAGAAAATGGACCATAAAACCATCAAAGTAAGCCATGCCAGGAAGAATGACAGCGAGTGTAAAGGGGCCAATATCTATATAGCTAACATACCAAGGTCGTTTGGAGAGGAAGACTTGACCCAGCATTTTATGCAGTATGGTGAAATTATTCAAGTGCGTTTGCTGAGAGAGAAATCCACAAATGAGTCCAAGGGAGTTGGCTTTGTATATTACACCAAACGCTCAGAAGCTGCAGCGGCCTTGGAAGCAATGAATGGACAAACTTTGTTAAAAGGATATCCGTCATTATCTATCAAGTTCGCAGACATAAATGCCAGAAAGGGTCGTGCCCCTTACCAAATACAAGTCCATCAGCCCAATCTCCGATACCCAACACCTGGCAGTAATCCGTATAGTGGGGGGCCTCACGGTCCTATGAGGAGCTCTAATACACGCATGAGATTCAACCCAATGAGTGGGGGGTACTCCAACGCTATGGCAGGTGGAGATATGGGGGGACATATTCTCTTTGTGTACAATATTGGTTATGATGCAGAAGAGAAAACATTATGGCAGTTATTTGCTCCTCTTGGAACTGTGACAAAAGTCAATGTAATCATGGATCACATTAGAAATCAGTGTAAAGGTTACGGCTTTGTCACCATGAAGAATTTACACGAGGCAGAAGGGGCCATCTTGGCACTTAACGGAGCCCTGTATAATAATAGACGATTGTCAGTGTCTTTCAAATCATGACAAATTAGTTTTAAAAAGGTCCTTTTAGATAAAGTTGAGCATAATAACATTGGTTAAGTAAAAGAAGACATGACTATAGAGGTTAAGCTTTGGTGTTAATGACTTTTTTATTGGTTTGTTTCTTTTTTACAATTGTCATTAAAGATGTCATAATGTTAGAGAATTTTATGATGTATATATGTTAACAATCATTTTAGCATGCTTGAAGATATTAACAGGGAATCTGTGTCACATTGATGTGCATTTATTATGTTGAGATTTTTGTCAAGAAACGAAAATGACCAGACCTGTTTAAATAAGAAATCCAGATGAACATTACAATTTTAGGTTTTACCTGTCATTGTTGGAGTCAGTATATGTGTAATTTCTGTCATAGCAGCACATAGATTTTGTTTGTTAAAGAACCTGTGATTGTGATGTACATTGATAAAAATAACCCTTGGCCAAATACAGTGAAAACTGTTGTTGTGTAAATGTTGTGCATTTTACCATTGCTTTCTCTTTCTTACAAGAAATTAAATGTATTTGTCAAAATGTACTTTACTTTAACTCTTTGCAAATCTTGATCTCAAAATACAATTAAGTATCATTCCCTGTGATTCTGACTGAATAAAAGGGTATTTATGAATGGGCAAAAGGATCACTTTTATTGGAACAAAAAAAAAAAAGACCTGAAGAAATTTTTGAAGAATCAAGATATGTTTGTGAAACACCAATTCCCCTGTACCACAGCTTATGGGGAAGGTTAAAGTTTCTCAAATGCAAATCAAAGTCCAAGATGAAGGTCAAGCTATCAAAAATGTTCAATACCTGCTTGAAGAGAGGACTTGTGTCAATGGATATACCTGATAAATGAAGCCCAATCACCACTCATTTTAAAGTTAGGGTCAAGCTTAATGTTTTTTAAGGTCATGGTCAAAGGGTAAAAATTTTGGAATGCTGATGAATACCTTGTCATAAGAAATACATGTGCAGAATATTAAAGTCCTGGCTGCAACTGTTCAAATGTTATGGCAAAAGTCAAAATTGTGTAAAGTAGGCAAGCTCTAAGGTCAAAAGGTCATAATTTTTGGTATCAGAAGTGAGGTCTTGTCACAAGGAATATACCTATTAAATTTGAAAGCTCTAGTGCTAACTGTTAAAAGGTTATGACCAGGTTAAAGGATTTTATAAGTGGGTCAAACTCTTAGGTCAAAAGTTTAAAAATATTTACACCCATGGAAAGGTCTTGTCATAAAAAAATACACATGTGAAATATGAAAGCTCCAGCACCAACTGTTCAAAAGTTTAATATGGCCAAGGTTTAAGTTTGGGAAATTTTTGCAAAAGTGGGTCATACTCTAAGGTCAAGAGTTCAAATATGTAAGAACCTAAAGGAAGATCTTCCAAAGAAATACACATGAGAAATATGAATGCCATAGCTCAAGTCAAAAACTTTCTTATACACCCTGGAATCTTCACTTATGGGGGCTCACAAATAGAGAGTACACAGTATAATAATCTGATTGGATAATGACAAAAACAGAATCTCGGTCAACAAATTTTTTTTTATGAATGCATTTATTAGCTCACCCGAGTGCAAGGCTCAAGTGAGCTTTTCTGATCAAAATTTGTCTGTTGTCTTAGTCGTTGTCATAAACTTTTGATCTTCATGAACATTTAAAGAACCATTGTGCCACTTTCAACCAAACTTAATTGCCACAAAGTATCCTTGGGTGAAGGGGATTCAAGTTTGTTCAAATGAAGGGCCATGTCTTTGTCACAATTGCCTTCAATTAAATTGTGTTGGGTTCTTGTGAAAAAAAATTAACCTTTACAAATCTAGTAAATGGATAACCTTTGCCAATCAAGAAAAAACAATCTTTAAAACAGTAACTATTTATTTACAAAAATATACAAAAATTCAAAATGGAACTCAGGCTCTGATGTTTCTTAGGTAGACGTCAGTACCACATGTCCCAAACCAAATTCGAAGTACCATATCCTTGGTATTCACCCATGTGTTGGCCGGATGTACATATCATCACTGGAAATAGAAAGTAGTCATTTCAGGAATTAACCAGTCTGTTCAGGAAATCAGTTGTCTCAAAACGTATAGAGGAACATCAGAGTAGACTTATGTACATCAATAAAAAGGTCATATGGGCACCTATTTAAAATATTGAACAACTTCATATAATAAACTAATCTATCTAACAAAAATTCTCACTAACATGCCTATCGTGTGCATATGTGACAAAACTGTAGAAATGGTCCTTCTAAAATACATTTGTATTACGTTTTCGTAGTATTGACAAAATTGAAATGCAACAACAAATACTTTCGTTTACACAAACTTCCAAGAAAAGACAGAAATATATCACTTACTAAATTGTAGTCACTCTTACATATGCAAAAGGCACAGGTTTCAAATGGTCCACACAGGTACCAGTAACATTGAGTAATGCATCCCATTTCCACACAGCATGGGAAGCATCCTCAGGTAGTGTAGCTTCAAGTTTGTTCAAATCATGACCCCTGGGGGTAGGGTGGGGCCACAATGGCTGATGAAAGTTAAACATAGTTAAAAAAATTCTCAAGAACAGTAAAGCCATGATTGGTCATAGTTATATATAAGCATCCTCAGTTAGTGTAGATTCAAGTTTGTTCAAATCATAACCCACATGAGTAGGTTGTGGCCACAATGGGCGATCAAGGTTTAATGTTGAAATGCATAGTAAAAAACCTTTAAAAATCTTTTTCAAGAACAGGAAAGCTGTGATTGGTCATTTAATATAGACATATTATATTACTAAGGTATGTAGATTCAAGTTTGTTCAAATAATGACCCCTTGGGGTAGGGTAAGGTAAAATGAGTCATCAAAGTTTTACATATGAATATAAATGGGAAAAATCTTAAAAATTTTCTCAAGAAAAAGCAAAGCTGCAATTGTTCTTATTAATATGGGAGCATCCACTTTTGGTGTAGATGCATTTTGCTCAAATTATGACCCCCCGGGATAGGGTGGGGCCACAGTAGGTTATCAAAGTTTGATTTACATATGCATCTTTTAAAATCTTTTCCCTGGGTCTCTTGTTTATTTCAAAATTTAAGATCATTATAATACCAATAAGAATGTCCTGTAGCTATATAATTCTCAAGTTACAAAAACCAACAAGAGGACCATGGACCACAATGCTTATCATGGTCACTAATTAGGGCAAGCAAATTTTTTCCCTGTGTAAAACTTTGAATGCCTGTTGTTACTTACCTTAACACTGAAGGTCAAGTTACTTCCACTTCAATATTACTTATCATGGCTTTGCTATTCTAGAAGATTTTTCATGATTTCTTTCTCACATTTAATTCTTAATTTTACTTTTGATTGCTCATTTTGGCTATATACCAAGGTGTCATGATTTGGATTGAACAAACTTGAGTTTAATACCAGAATGTATGTATTTTTTACCTTGATCTTTGACCTCAAAATCAATAAGGGTCTACCTTAGGCCAAAGGGAGTTGTGATATAAAATTTCATTGCAAAAGCATGTGCAGATCTAGAGGGGGTGGGGTTTTGAAGATTTTTTTTTTGAATTTATAACCTAAACATTTTGATCTCAAAATCAACATGGTCTTCCTTAGGCCACAAGGAGTTGTCAAGTAAAATCTCATTGCAAATGCTCAAAGGCTTCTCGAGATATTATGTAAATTAAAGTGTGACTGATTTTGGTCAAAGCGCCCCTATCATATTTTTATAGAAAAAATATCGCCCCCAAATATTGGTCAAAGCGTCCCCTGATTTTAGTCAAAGCGTCCCCTAACATATTTTCATAGAAAAAAATACCGCCCCCAAATTTTGGTCAAAGCGTCCCCTGATTTTAGTCAAAGCGCCCCCTAATATATTTTTACAGGGAAAAAAACGTTTCGAGTCGATCCCCAAGAAATGGTCAAAATGTCCCGATTTGGTCAAAGCGCCCCCTTATAGAATTTTTTCGGGTAACTCCAAAAACAATGATAATATTATAAATACAAAACCGTAACATGTTTGTAAAAATATATTAGGGGGCGCCTTGACCAAAATCAGGGGATGCTTTGACCAAAAAAGACCATTGCTTTATTCCGTACATGTTTGTAAAAATATATTTGACCAAAATCAGGGGACGCTTTGACCAAAATTGGGGACTTATGACCATTGCTTGGGGAAAATATATAAGAAAAAAATGTAAGGGGGCGTTTTGACCAAAATCAGGGGACGCTTTGACCAATATTTGGGGGCAGTTTTGTAACATCATTTTACTGTAATATTCTATAAAGGGGCGCTTTGCCCAAAAAAAGGGGACATTTTGACCAAAATCAGGGGACACTTTGACCAAAATCAGGGGACGCTTTGACCGGGACGGTTTTATTAGGGGGCGCTTTGACTGGATTTCCTCGAGATATTATGTAAATTAAAGTGTGACAGAAAGATGGACAGCCAGACCACATTAATATTTCCAACTTTCATCAAAAGATAAAGTAATTAATTTTCATTCCTTATGACTATAAAATATATTGTAAACTTAATGGGTATATATTGAATTATGCTTTATATAATGAAGCAAATTCGTCCGTGATACTTTGTTATGAGCATGTTTTACTGAATTACTGTACATGTATTGTCTTCAAAATTCCTGCTTGACATCAATTTTTTTTTAGAAAATGATAATTCAAAATTCATTCAAAAATATTTTATTCATTACTTTCATAATGATCAAACATCATATGCTACATAAATTACAATGAACATGAAGATATGTAATACTGTTTTCAACAACATACGTGTATACGCTCTACTAGCAAAGAGTCTCTGATTTTTCATCTTGAATCATTGCTTTGTTATTAGCCACTCTAGCAATTAATGGAGGGATTTTATCGTCATCGAGACTTTTCTGCCACAGAGACTGTAGATGTTGATCCACGACCTTGTCCAAATCACCGGCCACCTTAGTGTCAAGGTCAGTATGAAGGACTAATATGATTACTGCCTTTTTATAAGGTGCATGGTCACCATCACAGTAACCATGGAAAAGCAACATGACTTGTGGATCAAGCGCCTCAATATGATCTATGACAACAGTATGGAGTTTATGGGCACTTGAATCAAACACAAGCCTGATTTCATTGTCGAGCTGATATTTAACATCGTCCGCCGAATCTGCCTGTATATTTTGGACGTTTATGTATCCCCCCTTCTTGTTCCCACCTGTGTGAAGGTTGCTGAGCTTTGTTATATAGTTCTTGGCCAGACAGGTAGCTGTTTGAGATGTGGTATCTCCCTTAGGAACGACAAGCAAAATAACTGCGGGATAGTCAGGTTCTTCTTCCTGGACTACGCGCATAACCGGAACTTTTATCTTCCTCCAAAACTCATTATCTTGAGCCAAGAATTCCCTTTTCAACTCCTTAAATTTTATTGCAAATTTTTCCTTTACATCTACATCAGCAGAGTTTGATATAGAGACATTTGATCTATCCTGCCAGGAGGGTATAACTCGCAATAAGAACACAGTTGTAATTAGCACAACGATCAGTATCACTGTCATCATAAAACACTTGGCACAGCATGAATAAGATGACTGTAGGTCTGTTTTTAACTCTTTATTTTCTTTTACACTAGATTTCCTTAAAGTTTTCACATGCGAAGTCTTTGGTGACTTTTTTTTATTTGGTAAAATTGGCGATGTTGATCGTTGTGAAGTATCACAATCAAAATTCTCTTCCTGGGACTCTGTGGAAGCCACTGATGAGTTGTCCAAGCTTTCTGTATCTTCTTTGGTGTTGCCTTTTGGACTCCTCGTTCGTTGCTTGCTCCTTGTAGTTCGCATGACACTGGAAAAGCAAATAAAAATAAATTAATGTTTATTGAGTATATACATATAATGTACATATGATACCAAAGATAACCCATGAAAGCTCAAATGCTTATCACTAATGGGGTTCTTTGCACATATGTTGGCACAAGGGGGTCATTTTGAAGAAGAAAGAGGATCAATAGAAAACTCATGTGTCCTGACCACCTGATCCTCTATACATATTGGTGTTCCTGAGAATGCTTCCATAGTTTACATAATGAGTGGCAGAGATGGGCACAGGACAAAAGTGATTAGAAAAGCCACTTGTGCTTTCAGTTTACATGAGCTAAAATATAACAAAGGCTATCCCTTACAACATTAATATCACAACAGTTTCATAGGCCAAAACACTCACCTGACTCATCTTGACCCTAAGGCTTAATTTGTTCTTCAGAAAAAAAAGACTCCTACAAAGCTTATATGTCTCCACTGCCCATCCTACTTTCTTACATTTCCTTCAAATTAACCCTAAACTCACCCACTTAATTAAGATGGCAAGTCCAAAATATGAAGAATATAATAGCTGCAGATCTGTAGCTCACTGGTCTGAAAAAAAATGGGATGGATCATGGATGACTAGAGAGCTACAGTGCCACCAATAGAAAACAATGCATATTTATTGCACACAAAAAGATGTGCTCATTTTGGATTATTTTCTCCAAATAAAATTGTATAAAAAGTTTGATTTCAAAATATACCCTTGACCTCAATCAATCATACTCTCATATTTTATATTTGCATGAAGCGCGTTCAATAGAGTTATCTTGCCGTCCAGAATGGCAGAGTAGGTAGGGAAATTTTTTATGGTTTCCGTAGCAGGCCCATTAGGGCTATTTACAACAATTATGCGCCTACGGAATGTTTTGTTCTGGATATAGTACATGCATGCATATTAGGAACACAGTTAGTATTAAAATATTTTGAGACGGCAGTTTGATGAAAACATGGAGAAATTAATTGAGAAACAGTCCAACTTCAAAAGTTTTGTCGTAAAATCTATACATTTTTTTCAATGGGTGGTACTGTACTCTTCGGTCTGTCATATTTTTTTCTTCAGAGAGCTACAGTTCTGCAGATATGAAGAATATAATACTCTACTAATAACAAGAGGCCCAAGGGCCACATCGCTCACCTGAGCACATCGTCAAGGAAAAAGCACAGATCAGGTCAGAACTGAAAAGTTTACTGAGAAGGGGGGGGGTCCTACCCTCCCTACCCCAAAAGGCTATGATTTGATCAAATTTAAATCTTTAATACATGAGGATGCTTACATGTCAATATGACTATAAACATAGCTTTTCTGTTCTTTGGATTTTTCCTTTATTTTATTTTCCATTATTTTTCTACGTAAAACTTTGATCGACCTTTGTGGCCCCAGCCTTTCCCTTGGGGGGGGGGGGGGGGGTCGGTTGGTTATGATTTGAACGAAGTAAAATCTACACTAAGGAGGTTGATTCCATATAAATATCACTAATCATGGCTTTGAAGTACTTGAGAAGAAGATTTAAAAAGAAAGATTTCCATATATATTTCTATGTAAAATTTTCATCGGCCATTGTGGCCCCGCCCTACCCCCGGGGGTCATGATTTGAACAAACTTGAATTTACACTACCTGAGGATGATTCCACATGAGTATTATCTTTCCTGGCCAAGTGGTTCTTGAGAAGAAGATTTTTAAAGATTTTTCCTACATATTCCTTGTAAAACTTTGATTGGCCATTGTGGCCCCACCCTACCCCCAGGGATCATGATTAGAACAAAAGTGAATTTACACCACCTGAGGATGATTCCACATGAGTTTCATCTTTCTTGGCCCAGTGGTTCTTGAGAAGAAGATTTTTAAAAGTTTTTCCTATATACTCCTATGTAAAACTTTGATCGGCCATTGTTTTCATGATGTGAACAAATTTATATACTCCTGAAGATGATTCCACAAAACTTCCTGGCCCAGTGGTTCTTGAGAAGAAGATTTTTAAAAGTTTTTCCTATATACTCCTATGTAAAACTTTGATCGGCCATTGTGGCCCCACCCTACCTTTGGGGGTCATGATTTAAACAAATTTGAATCTACACTACCTGAAGCTGATTACATAAGAGTTTCATCTTTCCTGGCCCAGTGGTTCTTGAGAAGAAGATTTTTAAAGATTTTTTCCTATATACTCCTATGTAAAACTTTGATCGGCCATTGTGGCCGCACCCTACCCCCGGGGGTCATGATTTGAACAAATTTGAATCTAAACTACCTGAAGATGATTCCACATGAGTTTCATCTTTCCTGGCCCAGTGGTTCGTGAGAAGAAGATTTTTAAAAAATTCCATTAAATTTTTACTAATTCATAATTATCTCCCCTTTAAAGAGGGCGTGGCCCTTTATTTGAACAAACTTGAATACCCTTCACCCAAGGATACTTTGTAGCAAGTTTGGTTGAAATTGGCACAGTGGTTCTTGAGAAGAAGATGAAAATGTGAAAAGTTTATGATGACAACGACAACAACGACAACGACAGACGACGGACAAATTTTGATCAGAAAAGCTCACTTGAGCCTTTGGCTCAGGTGAGCTTAAAACTAGCTGCAGATCTGTAGCTCTCCGAAAAAAATATTGATAGACCGGAGAGCTACAGTGCCACCCATTGAAAAAACTGTATATTTATTGCGCACAAAAAAGATTAATTCTTCCAAATTCTTACCTCAACTGCAAAAAAGGGAAGATTAAAAAAAATCCTCTCTCCTTTATCAATTATTAACATGAACGAAGCATATACCGAATTATCTTTGAAACCAAAATGGCAGTATAAATAAACGAAATGTTCGATGACTACAATATCAGGATCAGGAGGACTATTAACAACAATTATGAGGAATGTTTGGTTTTGGAAACAGCGAAAGAATGCGTTAGGAACATACGGTTAGTAATATTTTGAGATTGCAGTTTTAAAAACATTGAAAAATAAATCGAAAACCGAGCACATTTTTTTGTGCGCAATAAATATAGTTTTTTTCAATGGGTGGCACTGTAGCTCTCCGGTCTATCAATATTTTTTTTTCGGAGAGCTACAGATCTACAGCTAGCTTAAAACATGTTCTTTTAATTTAAAAGAATTTAACGTGTTTATTAGTAGAGTTTTAATTAAATTATAAATATAATGCTGTACGAGTCATAGTGGCTTGTCACAACTTATTTGTCTTCATTATACTAAACCATCTCTTATTTGTAAACTTGTGTATTAAATAGTACTTAAATTTATAGCACAGGAGCGGTCAAATAGAATGAAGACATGAATATATAGTGACGAGCCCCTAGCTGTATTTGTCAGACTTAGTCACTTTAACATTTTACCCAAATAACGTTATACATGATCTAGTACTATATTATCTGCATCAGTTTTCTAAGAATATATTTGTTTGTTACCTATCCAGAAGTGGACAACTTCAATATGTGAGCATAAAATTTTCACAGACTTGTTACTTTCACTTTCCAGGGTTGAAGTTCGCGATGTTCGCAGATTTCCGAGGTGTTCCGTTTTATGCATTTTCGGGAGGCCTCGGGAGAATTTATCAACTTCCGGAGAGAAACTCGAGATTTTAAAGAATGTTTTGAATTTTTATTTATAATCTATTTGCCGTAGAAGTTGCTACCTTAGAGGTAAGTTATAAAAATATAGGATTAACATGTATTGAATTTTAGCAGACTTCATGTATTTCTTTACCCATACCTTGTGGTCTTTGAATCAATGATTGAATGAATGATGATGATATGTTGCAAACCATTTCATTGTTAAAATCAAGTTTACAAGTGTTTTCTTAAGCTCATCTGAGTTGAGGGCTTAAATAAGCTTTTATTCCGTATCCGTCTATCTGTCTGTCAGTTACATTTTCGACTTCTACAATTTATAGAATTATTATCTAAGTATTCTCACCTTGTTTAAAAGGACACAATGAGTCAAAATCATGTCTTTTTTAAAGAATTAACATACAAGAAAACTTATGAAAATTGTAAATGACAATTAAACTGCAAAAAGACTGCACAATATAGGTTCGGAAAATGAAAATAATATATACAGTTTGTTTGATAACAGCCAAATTCATAAAGACTTTTATTTTCTAAAACTTGGGAGGTTGACAAAACTTTCGGATAAGTCATAGATTCTTTTGACAGTTGCTTTTACACACTATCTTGTTTTACTGACTCTACTGAGGAGAGAAACAAAGAATTGTTAATTAACCTAATTATTAATATCAAACAAGTATATCTTAACAATAACACTGCAACTGGTAACTAGAGCCACACACGTGTACTCAGAAGTTGTTGCTAAAAATAAGCTAGACAGTCTCTTTGACAAACTGTATACGTAACAATGTATCTAGTGTTTTCACTGATGGTGCAGGGATTTGGCTTAGATCATATGACGATAAATCTACAGAAGTTCAACCTATAATTTCGAATAAATACAGCCTTAGAATGTGTTTTATTTGATATGTTTACCATATTTAAGTCATTATTTTGATACTAATTTTACTTAGTGTACCTTATTGGTAGATAGAGCTCATGACAATTTTACTGGTATTATGCTTATTCCTCCTTTGCATTAGATCAGAGATTGGGTTGCAGATGGACATAGGTATATTTCAAAGATTTATAATTAATAAATATATACTGTAAAACAACTGTTTTATATTTCTTATTTTAAGGATTTTTTTCTCATTACTAACAATTTATATTTTTTTTACTAATAAAAAACGGTATCTTCATTAAAAAGAAAAAAATATATAAATCGTGATAGCGGTTTATATTCATTTGTTATACAAAAGTGTTAATTGAGGGGAAAAGCGCAAATAAATAATTTTTAATTCGTTTTTTTTTACTAAAAAAAATCTTTAAATAAGAAACATCGTAGAATATATCTTAAATGCTTAAACTATAAATATGTCAATGAGTTTATTGAAAAATAAACAAAAATTCCCGTGAGTCTACATTTAACTTTGTGATCAAAAAAATTTAGAAAATGTAAAGACCGAATTAACAAATTAAAATCAAAATGATGTGTATAGGGTATCTGTATTATACAGAGAAAGATTTATGAATAGTAAGAATATAACGAAGATATGACAACTAAACTGCATTGTAATGCAATAAAATACTGCACAATATAATTGCCGGAGAAATAGATGTTGTATCTACCGCTTTGATTTTTAATGTATGTCAAGGTCACTTCTATTCTTAGCTCAAAGTTGTAAACAACATTGAACTGGAGCATGCAAAGTTGAGAAATATGTTCTAACAACTTTTGTAAAAGATTACATAAAATTTTTTGGCCTACCTACATTTATTACAGGATACCTGAGACCATGGTAAAGTTATTTAACTTTTCTGCACACACGTACAATAGGGAGGAAGAAGTAAAACAACATTTTTGTTATTGGCATACTGAAATTATTTTTACTTTTATTTTTCTCCATAAAAATAGAATTTTTAGAATCTGAAACCTGGAATTTTCTGAAACCTAATACTTTTGGGAATTGAACAAAAATTTACACGGGTCATGCAAAAATTCTAGTACATTTGTTGATTTTCTCCTTTGTGCGTCACAGTGTCTCTTTAAGCTATAGAATATGAAATTAAACAAAGGACCAACCAAACCCTGTTTATATTTTGAAATATTTAAACTCCAGTGGTAACGGTATTGACGTTACTTCTCTGTTATATCGTGTTCCACTTGGAAATTTTTTTCCAAAATTTATTTACCAATATTTCCGTAAAATAATTTGATTTAATTATCATTCTCTCTCTGAAGTACACATGGAAGCATTAACTTTGTTACATATTTGCCCGAGAAAAGAGATGTAGTGTGATTTCTTTTGCTGGAAAAGGACTGAAAAATGTCGTAAAATCTAGGAGCTTCCGGGAGCTTTGCCCCCTGGGCCCCCACCTGGGCTTCGCCGTCTTCTGCGTACACTTTATTTCACTGGCTACACGCCTGCTTACTATGACTTATTCTCACCATATTTTGATTCAAATATTAATTCTTTGGACTCTTCCAAAATATTTATTACAATTAGAAGATATAGTACACTATCCTGCCATGCACACATGCGTAGAGAAACTTCTCAACATAAAACATGACAATTGAAACCAAACTAAGGCAGTATGCCTTGTAAAACAAATGAGACCTTCTAATTTGATGAAAAATTATGATATACTGACTTGATTTCATTTTCAGAGGAAGTATATTTTAAATTAAAGTAAACTGGAAATACTGTTGACTGTTTCTCATCAATGTTCTTAAAAGTGATGAATTTTGTTAAGTAAAAACTAGTAGAGCTACAGTCTCAACAGAGACTTTCGTTTGATTCACATTGTATGAGATATATAGTGTGGTTAGTATTATGTTGCTTTTATATTATAAGTAATTCTACAAAGTTTTTATATACACTGATTGTTATAGACAGTCAGGAAGGATGGCAACAGGACAGTTACAGACAGGGCTCCCCCAACTCACTCAGGCCCCGCCCACCATGTCACAGGTAGACAGGGAGAAAATCTACCAGTGGATCATAGAGTTGACAAACCCTGAAACCCGCGAGAACGCCTTACAAGAACTCAGGTAGCTTAAAAAGCACAGAATCATCTGCAACTTGATCAAGCATAAATTCAGGACTCTGCTCTTTTTCAGATGTGTTGAATATTATCCATATGGAAATGCAATAATTCAATATGAATTAAGTCTTTATTTGTAGTAATCTGACCTATCACTGGTTTGTAGATTATATGTTTATTAAGTTTAGTTGTGCACTGACATTTATGTCATCTATTGTTTGCAAGTTAATATGCAGAAAGATGAGAGAGTGACCAAGAGCATAACATGCAGTTCTCTCTTTTTCCTGCATTTCTCCACTGAAAGAAAATGTCACTTTAAAAAAAAAAAATTATTTCAGCTCAGTCTTTGAAAGGGGGCTGGGGTTGGGTGGGGTGTTGAAAACAAAGCAGATATCTTGCTACCTTGATATATGTATTGAGAAAATTGCTTTTTCTTAAAAGGAAGATAAAATTAATATTTAAAAAAAAAGTTTGACTAGAAATGAATATCAGTTGTTATGTTGTTTCTTTGTTAAATCACCAGTGAGGAATAATGTGTGTCTAATGTTACAGTAAGAAGAGAGAGGCAGTGCCAGACCTGGCTCCCATGTTATGGCATTCATTCGGGACTGTCGCTGCTCTTCTGCAGGAAATTGTCAATATTTATCCAGCAATCCATCCACCCCACCTCACGGTAAAGATCATCCTAACTCCGAAACAAGCTATTATATTAATCCTGCTGTTTGCTGCTAAGTACTGTATATGTGAAAATGTTCATCCCCATTTTAATTTAACCCCTTTGCCTTCATCTTAATTATGTGAATTTAAAACATGGTGAAATTTAAAAAAGCTTCATCTCCTATGTACATGTAGATTTGATATAGCAAGGAAAATTTTTAAGACATTATATTGATTGAATATAAATTAGTCCTTTTATTTAGAATATATAATCATTTTTTGACAATCAAGCTGTACATCTAGTATGTAATATTTCAGCACTGACCATTATTGTTTTCCTCTAGGCTCATCAGTCAAACAGAGTGTGCAATGCCTTGGCCTTGTTACAGTGTGTGGCATCACACCCAGAAACGAGATCGGCATTTCTTCAGGGTAACGGCCTCTCACATAACTTAATACATCCATACACATTATAGTAAATACAGAGAACAATAATAGGCGATTTTTCTTTTAAAAAAAAAAAAAAGTGAAATTTTAATATGCATGTATATTAATACTAGTACTAGCCATAGAAATAAATTACATGTGTTATATATCAGTAGATTATAATAGAGTTGTACAATATATAAATCATTAAATCTTGACTCTTTGAACAGCCCACATTCCACTGTTCCTGTACCCGTTTCTTCACACCATCCATAAGACACGCCCATTTGAGTATCTAAGACTGACCAGCCTGGGGGTGATAGGTGCTCTAGTCAAGGTGAGATAACTCATATAGCCTCGGGGTGATAGGGGCTCTAGTCAAGGTGAGATAACTCATATAGTTGTCTATTCATGCATCTCCAGAATATTGATTGAAACAGTTGAGAAAGAGATGACCTTTACCCTGCTTTGCTGTGTTTAACCATTAGAGTTTTGTTTTTTTGTCTTTTATTTTAGTCAATGGTGGAACAAATCAATGATTGAGGCAAAACAGTTCGCTCAATTTGACAAACCTTTAAATGCTGTGATTGTTTATATGAATGTCTTGATTTCTATACACTCTATTTGAAATTTATATAAATCTGTAGTCAATTTTCACGGAACTGTATAGAATTTCATAATTAGATTTTTTCGTCACACAATTTATATCCCTAAAAATGTCAATATTTCCTAATGAAAAAATCAATTTAAGAAAAATTATTGCTTTCCTTTGTATTTTTGAATGGACCCAAAATTGTGAAATGTTTTTATTATTACTATTCCTGTATGGCAGATTAATTGACTCCTTATAACCATCTGAAGCTATAAAATTAGTGTTTATCATTGCATTGATTTCACCTATATGTCCAAAACAGAATCTCTCAAACTAAAGGAAAAAATTGTTTATGGTAAAATGGTGGATTTTTTTTACAGACAGATGAACAAGAGGTGATAACTTTCCTTTTGACGACTGAGATCATTCCTCTTTGTCTGCGTATAATGGAGGCAGGAAGTGAACTCTCAAAAACGGTAAACATTGTGTCTTTAAAGACACATCCTTATAAAACAGTCCTGTTTTCTTTAATGATTTACTATCATCATTTGTCATCATTGGCATAGAGAGGATAATTTTTTTGCTAATAAATGTAAAAAACCTTTTCTGTTACAGGTAGCTACATTTATTCTTCAGAAGATTTTATTAGATGAATTAGGCCTCTCATATATATGTCAGACGTATGAAAGATTTTCACATGTTGCCATGATTTTGGTAAGTACTGTAAAATCACATATTTTTTAGGGGTCAGATTTTCATGGTTTGAGGAAAATATATTGGTTCATTGGGATTTGATTCTGTGGTTAATATTGATAATAATAACAGGCCGTAATATATGTGAAAAGTAAAATTGCATTTCAATGTGGATATAAATTTGTGGGTCTCTTCATACCTTGAAAACCATGAAAATTAAACCCCTATGAAAATTAATGATTTCACAGTATTTGAGTTTGTGCAGTTCACATTACTTGTAAAATTTCAGACAAGTTGGAAAATTTATGTTATGCTCTGTATGCAGTCCTTGTAAAGATTAAATTTCTTGCATAAGCTTTCATTCCTGTTGTGTTTCTTTTTTTGTAAAATAAGTATTAAAATTAATACATGTATTGAATAACATAATTCATGTACATATAATTCATACATGTGTATACCTGTACTTGTAGGGGAAGATGGTGCTACATTTGTCCAAGGAAATGTCTGCCAGGTTGTTAAAGCATGTTGTCCGGTGCTATCTGAGACTTTCTGATAATCCCAGGTGGGTTTCTTATGTTTCTCTTATTGATAAACATGTCGTATTTTTACCTAAGAATAAGACCAGTGTTATAGAAAGGTTTTTGCTTTGAGTATGATTTTGTAAATTTAGATAAATAATAATACTAGTATGACAAAATGAAATACATTTATTTAATCTGAATTACAAGACATGATATATCACCAATATTCCATTCTTTGGAAACTTAATGGATATGAAGTACAGTGAAACTTTTTTAGTATGAACATGGATATTGCGAATTTATGGACATTGCGAAGTTATCTTGGGTCCCCAGCTATATAATTTTTACAAATTCCTTATACAGATATGACAAATTATGGATATAGCGAAGTAATTTCATAGGTCCAGGTGACTTCATTATAACTAAGTTTTACTGTTTAATGTAGATTTTATTCAGCTTTTTTAGTTAGAGATATCCTGTATGTTGCAGGGCAAGAGAAGCACTCAGACAGTGTCTGCCAGACCAACTCAAGGACAATACGTTTTCTAGTTGTATGAAGGATGACAATGCCACGAAGAGGTGGCTAATGCAGTTGCAGCAGAACCTGGAGGCCCCCGGGATTCCTGACCCCAGAAGTATGCCCCTCCACCAGCAGTGATCACGGAGAGGTGATTCCTGACTTCAGAAGTACCCCCCCCCCTACAGGGCTACACCAGCAGTGATAAGGGGGAGGTGTAAAGACAGACCTTTGTGTGGGGTTTCTGTCACGCTTAACCTGTCAATGATCTCAGATATATGACAGGTTAAGTAACATTTGTAAATAAATCATAATTGTGGACAAAAAGTTGTATTCTGTCATTTTTATCAGATGTTCAGACAGATTAAAGTAAATTGTGAATAAGAATTGTTTTACCCAAACGGAGAAAAAAATTGGTTTAAGCCTGCTTATTTGTTAAAAAATTGTGTCTTGACTGTAACCTAAAAAATATTGATAGGAATGGGTTCAAACTTTTGTGGCATGTTGTCCATGAGTCAAGGAGTAGCATATGCATTGATAAATTGTAAAATGTTACAGTGAGAGAATAATTACTCTTTATTTGTCCTAAATCAAACATATACCTAATCAACATTTTTTAGGATCTTGACAACATACCTTTTACCAATAGATTAAGATACATTGAATGACCTTGAATAAAGATCATAACATACCTTTAGGTCGCAAGAAAAAAACAACAAACAAGTAAAAATACATTCTAACCAAAATTCTCAGATATGGCCACGTTATTGAGATGGGCAGCACGGTAGACCAATCTCCTCCCACTAGGGGGAAACATCAATTTGTTAAATGCGTTCAGTAACTCTCTAGAGCTCATGATTTAGGGTCATTATCTTCCACTGACGCATGATCCATTTAATTGACGAGAGCTATAATCGATATAAAATGCGCACACTGGTTCCATTAATCTACACAAAAATATCTTGAAATAATTAAATATGTCAATTATTTTAGTTTGATGTTAATTTGATACAACATTGATCTGAACTTGCATTCTGTGAAAAGCGTCCCATTTCTGATGATCTCCAAAAAAGTATAGATTCGTTTGGTCAGAACACACCTAGATTATATTTGAAGCCATCGGGAATTGAATCCTGCAAATCAAATAACCCGGATGTTACTTAAGATCCTTATCTCGGTTAATTGTAGAGTACATATTGATTGGTTGACAACTTTTATAAACAAAGGAATAAATATCTCTGTGTTAATACACTTTGAAAAAAAATACGCACTCTGAAAAAAATTCAAAGTGCGTTAAAATATTTTCAAAGTGCCTCAAATTTGGGACTAGCAGCATAACTGTAGCGTTTTGGTTTTATATGTTAGTCTTTGACTATAACTATACTAATAATATATAAAACCATAACGCTACAGTTCTGCAGCTAATTTGGAACAAATCAACACACTTTGAATTTTTTTTCTCAAAGTGCGTTAAGTTAAGAGTGTACATCAACATTTATCCCTTTTTGAGAAATAATTAGCATTCTGATGAATTGATCTACCTTTATCCAGAACGAGAACAAGAAAGGCAGAAGGCCCCTCAGTTGAAATCTTTTATCTTTCCTACCCAAATATATATTTTCAAATTTCTCTCAAATAAATTAAGTTCGAGTAAAATTAGTAAGCCTTTCTAAAAATAATATGAAACACATGCATTCTAGAAGTGAGGTTGCACATCGCTGATCTAATCAACTGACCAAATTTTAACCAAAGTAATTTTACAAAAACAAATACAAATCAAAAATAAAAACATAAAATGCACATGTAATTTTTCACACATCTTAATACTAATCTAATAATTAAATAACTGAAAAAGAAGCCATTGTTTTTTTTTTCCTCGCGGTATTAAAAAGACCACCATTTTGTGTTGGAAAATTATTTTCAGTGAGAATACAAACTTGGACTCCCATTTTGTCGCATTTTTAGCTCACCTGAGCCGAAGGCTCAAGTGAGCTCTTCTGATCACATTTTGTCCGTCGTCCGTCCGTCTGTCTGTCTAGCTGTCCGTCTGTCTGTCTGTCTGTCCGTCTGTAAACTTTTCACATTTTCGACTTCTTCTCAAGAACCACTGGGCCAATTTTGACCAAACTTGGTACAAAGCATTCTTGGGTGAAGGGGAATTTAAATTGTTAAAATGAAGGGACATATCCCCTCGCAAGGGGAGATAATCAAGAAAAGACAAAAAAAGGGTTGGGTCATTAAAAAATCTTCTTCTCAAGAACCACTGGGCTGAAACTTATGTGGAAGCATCCTGGGGTAGTGTAGATTCTAAATTGTTCAAATCATGACCCCCGGGGGAAGGGCGGAGCCACAATGGGGAATCAAAGTTTTACTTAGAAATATATAGGAAAAATCTTTGAAAATCTTCTTCTCAAGAACCACTGGGCCAAAAAAGCTTAAACTTATGTGGAAGCATCCTGGTATAGTGAAGATTCTAAATTGTTCACATCATGACCCCCGGGGGAAGGGCGGGGCCACAATGGGGAATCAAAGTTTTACTTAGAAATATATAGGAAAAATCTTTGAAAATCTTCTTCTCAAGAACCACTGGGCCAGAAAAAGTGAAGCTTATGTGGAAGCATTCTGGGGTAGTGTAAATTCTAAATTGTAGGAATCATGACCCCCGGGGGAAGGGCGGGGCCATTATAGGGAATCAAAGTTTTACATAGAAATATATAGGAAAAATCTTTGAAAATCTTCTTCTCAGGAACCACTGGGCCAAAAAAGCTGAAACATATGTGCCCATGGAAGGATCATTAGGTAGTGTAGATTTCAAAATGTCTAAATTATGATCAGTGGGGTAGGGTGGGGAGTCATTATGTATAACACGGGGGAAATCTGGTAAAGAACAGAATGGTCAAAGCTTCTCAGGTGAGCGATGTGGCCCATGGGCCTCTTGTTTGTGCCCCTAAGCGTCATATGTACAAGAGGCCCATGGGCCACATCGCTCATCCGAGCATTGTGGCAAGGAAAAAGGAGTAATTGGTTTACTATTGAAAAGTTTAAATCCAAAATTTTGGCCCCGCCCTACCCCCGGGGGGTCACGATTTGAACAAACTTGAATCTACACTACCTGGGGATGCTTCCATATAAAGATGGGCAATTATGGCTCTGCTGTTCTTAAGAAGAAGATTTTTAAAGAATTTTCCTATATATTTCTATGTAAAACTTTGGTCGGCCATTGTGGCCCCGCCCTACCCCCGGGGGACATGATTTGAACAAACTTGAATCTTCACTACCTGAGGATGTTTCCCCGTAAGTTTCATCTTTCCTGGCACAGTGGTTCTTGAGAAGATTTTTAAAACATACCACCAAATTTTCACTAATTCTCAATTATCTCCCCTTGAATGAGGGGGTGGCCCTTTATTTGAACAAACTTGAATCCCCATCACCCAAGGATACTTTGTGGCAAGTTTGGTCGAAATTGGCCCAGCGGTTCTTGAGAAGAAGTCGAAAATGTGAAAAGTTTACAGACAGACAGACGGACACACAGACAGACGGACGCCGGAAAAATGTGATCAGAAAAGCTCACTTGAGCCTTCGGCTCTGGGCCAGAAAAAGTGAAGCTTATGTGGAAGCATTCTGGGGTAGTGTAAATTCTAAATTGTAGGAATCATGACCCCCGGGGGAAGGGCGGGGCCATTATAGGGAATCAAAGTTTTACATAGAAATATATAGGAAAAATCTTTGAAAATCTTCTTCTCAGGAACCACTGGGCCAAAAAAGCTGAAACATATGTGCCCATGGAAGGATCATTAGGTAGTGTAGATTTCAAAATGTCTAAATTATGATCAGTGGGGTAGGGTGGGGAGTCATTATGTATAACACGGGGGAAATCTGGTAAAGAATAGAATGGTCAAAGCTTCTCAGGTGAGCGATGTGGCCCATGGGCCTCTTGTTTGTGCCCCTAAGCGTCATATGAACAAGAGACCCATGGGCCACATCGCTCACCCGAGCATTGTGGCTAGGAAAAAGTAGTAATTGGTTTACTATTGAAAAGTTTAAATCCAAAAGTTTGGCCCCGCCCTACCCCCGGGGGTCATGATTTGAACAAACTTGAATCTACACTACCTGGGGATGCTTCCATATAAATATGAGCAGTTATAGCTTTGCTGTTCTTGAGAAGAAGATTTTTAAAGAATTTTCCTATATATTTCTATGTAAAACTTTGGTCGGCCATTGTGGCCCCGCCCTACCCCCGGGGGACGTGATTTGAACAAACTTGAATCTTCACTACCTGAGGATGTTTCCCCGTAAGTTTCATCTTTCCTGGCACAGTGGTTCTTGAGAAGATTTTTAAAACATACCACCAAATTTTCACTAATTCTCAATTATCTCCCCTTGAATGAGGGGGTGGCCCTTTATTTGAACAAACTTGAATCCCCATCACCCAAGGATACTTTGTGGCAAGTTTGGTCGAAATTGGCCCAGCGGTTCTTGAGAAGAAGTCGAAAATGTGAAAAGTTTACAGACAGACAGACGGACACACAGACAGACGGACGCCGGAAAAATGTGATCAGAAAAGCTCACTTGAGCCTTCGGCTCAGGTGAGCTAAAAACGTCAAAATTTCAGATCATAAAGTGACTTCAAAAAGTGCGTTAATATGGTCGACATTAACGCAATTTGAAAAGAAATATTATTTTTCCCCAAGTGCGTTAACTTGGTCCCAAAAGGAGATGGGTGAACATGACGAGAGATAAGCCCATAGTGCAACCAACATGAAGGTGAAATATTAAATCTCAATTTTGTCAAAATTTTCCTTAATATTTCATCTAACATTAAAGTATACTTTATGTAAAATCTCTACTTGCACAAATCTCATGAAAATTGAAGTTATTTGCCTATGAAATACATGTATTATACACACATGAAAGAGGACAAAACGAGTCATTTTTAGCTCACCTGAGCCGAAGGCTCAAGTGAGCTTTTCTGATCACATTTTGGCCGGCGTCCGTCTGTCTGTCTGTCCGTCTGTCTGTAAACTTTTCACATTTTCGACTTCTTCTCAAGAACCGCTGGGCCAATTTCAACCAAACTTGCCACAAAGTCTCCTTGGGTGAAGGGGATTCAAATTTGTTCAAATGAAGGGCCACGCCCTTATTTAAGGGGAGATAATTGGGAATTAATGAAAATTTAGTGGTATATTTTAAAAATCTTCTTCTCAAGAACCACTGTGCCAGGAAAGATGAAACTTATATGGAAACATCCTCAGGTGGTGTAGATTCAAGTTTGTTCAAATCATGACCCCCGGGGGTAGGGCGGGGCCAAAATGGCCGACCAAAGTTTT